AGTGTGTTTTGAGTGCAGAGATGCGACACTGAAACCTAGATTCATTCAGACTATTTCTCCTGTCTCTGCTTTGTTTGGATCTGGTACAGTCTGAATGTATTTTATGGTCTCCTATGAATGGGAAGTAAAGTTCTAGATGTTTTACTGTCAATTGATATGAAGTTGGAATCTGCTTTGTATGGAAGTTCTGGTGCTAATCAGAATGAGAGACAAATGAAAGAACTAGACATACTGGATTTATATTTTAACAATGCAGATTTTAGCAACATGTTAGAAAAAAGATCTGGTTGGTTTGTTTTTTTAAATCCACCTAATCCGGTAACAAAGATTTGATAAGCTCCTGATGAAAAAAAATGTTCAAATTCTAAAGCAAGCGTTCTTTTGATTATCCCTCAAAAGTTCCCAGAGTTATGACTGTAAATTGAAATAAACACTGTATGCTTTATTTACACATTTAATTTCATTAATTTTATTTTTCACTGAGACTATAAGCTTGCCTTCATCAGAAAACTGAGGTTTCTCCTGATTTAAATTTCAAATTTATCCTGCAGACTGTTCGTTACAGTCTGTGGCATGATCAGAATTGATCTAAAGAAAAGGCAAAGAAGAGCAAACTTACAAACATCTGAAATGCAAAAATAAATAAATAAATGAACAGGTGTATTTAATCTCATTGCTTGAATAGTAGTGAGAAAAATGCTTCTGTGTTGTGGGAAAACAGACATAATGGAAATATTATAAACTGTCCAGAGTTATCCTGGATGGCCAAAAAATTGGATAAAGATATATTGAATTTCATCATTATTTTTTGATATTGTTTTACATATTTTACCCAGCTTTACCGCCAAGTCTACATATTAATGATCACCTGATCAATTTAGAAAACATCTGAAAAATTATAGTAACTTGACATTTTAATGATACAGTCATTCAGTAAATCTCTAATCTGGTAAAGAGTTCATTCTGAGTGACTCAGGACATATATGTTTTTCATTAATGAACACATATTGGGATGGGGGGGTATAATAACACCATGCCAAAACTGAACTGCAGAATAAATTTGCAGCATTGAATTAGTTCATATTATAGAATAAATACTTTGGAAGGCACCAGAAAGTTCCCCCAGCTTGGTACAATTTTTGGTATCACGCTCACAATATCACACTCTAAAAATGCATAAAGGAGTGTTGGCTTTCTAATTTTAGGTCTTATTGCTAATTTCTGAAACTGAGTTCCATTTCCCTTACATACAGTACTGGAAAATCTCAGGTGGGTGAAATTCATCGGGTAAACAAGATTAATCTGTGCCTTTTTAATGAACTCTAAATAACTAAATACCTGTTCTGCAGTTTTGCTGCACTGGAATAAATGTCACCCATGGATTAACTTCCAAACAGTGCTACCATTAGTCATAATGGGACTGCTATGTTGATTAATATACCATTGAGAGTATGGAACAATTTTCCGAGACTGGGAATTGGAAGTATGTGTGTGTATGAGTTAGACTATGCCTCACTGGGTGCTCTGCTGCCCTTAAGGGCAGGGAGGAGACGTCAGGGTATAACTGCCAGTCTAGTCAATTTTTGAATGCGCTTAAAGGAGGGAGTGCCATCCTCTGTCTTACTGAGACAGAAGGATGTCTTAAGCTACGTAGGCTTTTTGGCAAACTGCCTCCATCTGTGTATTTGTAGGGTTATGTTAACTTCCATGGAGAGCTCATGTCTTGTAAACATAGGCTAGATTGATGGCCTATCTTGTTCATTGTTCTAGCTAAATAGTTTTTCATATTTCATCTTTCATCTACTGGTTCTGCAACTAACCAGTGATGATGGCAAATTAGCTCAGTCCTTGTTCAAGCCATCATTTGAAAGATAGAGATTGAAGTATCTCTAAAACTAAATGGAATGATCGCACAGTTTCTCAGCAGATTTATCCATTAGTGGAATAGCACTTGGGTTGTAAATATGTTTTATTAAAAAAGAACAAAATATTCATAATACCAGTTGTATTATACATAAGACAAAAGTGGATTCAGTTTGGACTTGTGTATGAACATTTTGGTGTTGGTGTTGATTTTTATAATATGTGAGTATTTAAATATTCCATTAGCTAATAATTAGTTGAATCCTCCTTGTCATGGTTTATGCTGTAGTTGAAAGGTAAAGAATAAAGAAATATTTCCCAAAAAATCCCATTGTTATCACAAGGACATCATAATGAGTGAAGAAAGAAAGAAAGAGAGAGAGAGAGAGAGAGAGAGAGAGAGAGAGAGAAAGAAAGAAAGAAAGAAAGAAAGAAAGACTAGTATATGCCCAATTAGGAAATAATTAATATTCTGCTTTGAAAATTAGTAATTGTCTATGGCTATATAGCAAAAATATAGAAAAAATGTTTGAGACATTCTGAATCTCCGTGGTTCTAATTTTCTGGCATTCTATGGGGAAGAAGATTCCTCTGAAACTTCTGGAAATGACTCCCTTTCTCTCCCATACATATGTGATGAAGATCAATCAATCAGAATAGAGCTGGAAGGGATCTTGGAGGTCTTCTAGTCCAACCCCCTGCTCAAGCAGGAGACCCTATACCATTTCAGACAAATGGCTGTCCAGTCTCTTCTTAAAAAACCTCCAGTGATGAAGCACCCACAACTTCTGATGGCAAGTTGTTCCACTGGTTGTTTGTTGATGCAGATCAAGCATTCATACCATTCAAATTAAAGAATGTAGATGAATTATAGGACTGCAGCAACTCATCTAATATTTTTTCTGGGATTGGAGCTTTTGAGCTTTGCTGTATATGGGAAGTATTTTGGCATATGTGCGGTTAAGTTTTTGGGGTGTCAAAGCTTTGCATCTGGTTCCTCAGACTATATCAAACAGGCCACCCTTTCTGAATGCCCAGGTCTTTGGCGGCTGCCTCCTCCAGTTCTCTATCTCTTTCCTCCCATGTTCTCCTGCTGAAATGACATCTCTGAAGTGGGCAAGTTCCTTGTCTAGTCCTGATTAAAGCAGCATGCAAACAGATGTTTTAATCCCTCTGCAGTGCTAAGCTTGAGCAGGCATAAACAAATCATGAGAGCTTTTCAAGAGGGTGCTGGTGCCCCGAGGAAGCCATTTGTCTCTAGAGCTCATTTCTTGGAGATTATTTGTGGAAAAGGCAAGATTTTTTTCCCAGTTCCATACCAATAAGAACTCATCCCTATCAAGAAGGCAAAACTCCATTCCCTTAACAGTTCTGCCATGATTTAAAAGTTCAGATACTTTCTCCTGCCTGAGCCATTAATGAATTTCTTCACCAAAATAATGGATGTTCTGATAAGTATAATGGATGTTTTGTATGTAATTACAGCAAAAATACTTAACAGGGTTTCATCTATTTGTTGATATTACAGTTGTTTTTTTAAAGGTTAAAGGAAAAAAGTAGATTTCGCAAAAATGAAAGAACAACCTCATGAATGAATATTACTTGGAAAAAAAAGGTTATATATTATACAAGTTTCTAAGAAAATTGTTTCAAAAATTATTATAGGGAAAATTTAATAAAGCATGTGTCATTTGTCTTCAGCTGAGTTTATACTGAGACGAATATATGAGGTGAATTGAAATTATTCCCCATGACAGCTCTATCTACTCATTTTGGTTTAGTAATTTTTCTGTTATAACATCTTATCAATATTGTAATCTCAGATTTCTTGATATACAGGAAAGAAAGAATTTTAGATTTGAAAAAAATATATTGTAGAAGAAAGTGAAGTGGCAAAGGCTTTGAATATTTCATTTTTACTTGACTGAATTGTATTTGGTAAATACAAATCGGCAAGATTTTATTCTAATGAGTTTTGGATAAGAACTTTCCAAAAAGGGCTGATTTCTTCATGAACAGGATGGAAAGGATATAAGATGTTTGAAAGTACTCAGGTAGGAATAAGTGGGATTGACAGATTCATTCTTTCCTAATCTTGATTGATAGTTCATCTTCTGTTGCAATATTGTGGATGTTGATTCCTACTGCCCTTTGCCAAGCTTACTCCCTAGTAACTATGTTTTGGATTGCAAATCATTACAGACCTATCAGCATGTTGAGCAATTTTGAAAGATTTCTGCATAACATTTGTAATATATAAATTGATTCTTACTTGCTTCTTTGACATGCAGCTGAATGTATCACATCTTCCTGTAGCAGACAAAATATGATTTCTTCATTTAATATTCTCTCTGGTCTGAAGCGTCATTTCTCCTAATTTTTAAAATGTCAGAAGTCTAAAATGCCACTGAACTTGATTTTCAATTTGGAAACAAATCTAGTGACTTGAATTTTGAACCACGACAATTTTGGAAAGACAACGCAAGCTAAGGTGATGGTGTTCACCCTTTGTCCTTCAAGATAAGCTTATGTTATGCCAGATGTACCTGGTTATCCATTGTGAGTGGAAGTGAAAGAAAGAAAGGCATTTGCAGACCCTATAAGTGGACTTTACTCACAAATGAAAGGGAGAACAAGCTGGACTTCATAAATGTCAGAAGTTTCAAAATTATTCAATTATTTATAGTTACAGGCAGGCCTTCTCTGTAACATTGGCCATACCTTCCTAGACTGCCTCTCCATTTTAGCTACATCCATTATTTTTCTTCAAAAGCCTAAAAAAAAAAAGACAAGAAGGAGAAGAAAGAAAGAAGGAAGAAGGAAGGAAGGAAGGAAGGAAGGAAGGAGGAGAAGGAGGAGGAAGAGGAGGAGGAGAAGAAGAAGGAGTTCTTTTCATAGCATCCTTCAATAGTAGCTTAAGGCTGCAATCTCACACAGGAATAAAACTTACTGATTTCTAAATAAGATACATGCACAACACATTATGTTATCTCTCAATTTGATCTAGTTAGAATTTCATTCACACTCTGTCAGAGAAAGAATAGCTATTGCTTGCATTCTCTTCTGAACAAATGAAAGGTTTGCGGTTATTTGAGCAGAAGTTAGAATTCACTTCTGAAAGATGCACTCTCTCCCAGTTTTACAGTTACGGCTGCAGCAACGAAGAAGCCGAGAGCAGCTTGCCAACCAAGGCATCATGCCACGTAAGTACTTCATTTTGTTCTCCCTACCATCACTGTATCCACAGGCATCCTTGGTTGAGGTCTGCCCTGTCCCCCACCCCCACCGTCTCCCCCTCGCCCAGTCCCTGGAGCATTTCATCAGGATAATTACTGATTCAGAGCAGGGTATGGCCTCTACAGGTGCACTGCTTTAGGATCTCCAGTCTAGAGCTATGCAGTACCCTTGCAGAAACCAACTTTTTCTCAGGGGAGGGATTGAAAAAGAATTCTGTATAGAAAGATCTTTCATGAATGAAGGCAAATATAGGTATCCCAGGATAATGCTGCCGGATCCAATCTGGGTCGGTCACCGGGACGCATGCTGCAACTCTTCCTCAGGGAACTTCTCTGTATGCTCTGGGCTATTCTGTGTGTGGTATTTGTATGGTGGCTGTTGTGTAGCCACCAATGCACAGAACAGCCCAGAGTGCACAGAGAAACTCCCTGAGGATGATTCCAAACGCTTCTGGTCCCAGTGACCTACCCAGACTGGATCCCGCAGAAAGATCTTTTTTCTCTACTCCTCATCCTGAGAGGGTTGTACTCCTATTTTCTGCTCCAATGATAAGCTAGTAGAAGGAGTTTCCCTGTAAAATGTACTTGGGATTTTTTTTTTTTAAAAAAAAAAACTTAATTGCCAAGAGCTATTGCTGCTGTGATAATTAAAATAAGGTATAAAACTTTAACTTGTACTTTTCTAAGTATTCTAAAGAGCCCTGGGATCAGTGGGGATTATAGGTGTGGTAGACTAGATTGTATTAATTTGTTGCCAGGTTTGGGATGCCTTGCAAAACAACCCTTCTAAGGTAGGTCATTAGGTCATGATTATTCCAATTTTTTGCAGATGGGGAAACTGAGACTGAGAGAGATAACACCTTGCCCAAGGCCACCCAGTGAGTCCATGGTCAAACTAGGATCTGAATCCAGGTCTCCCAGCCCAAACACTCTATCTGCTGGATCACCCTAACTCTTAGCCCCCCACACACAATTTCTGCAAAAGGCTTTGGGTTTAGCATGTGGTTGTTAGCTCTGCTATTGCTTTCCTCTTGAGTCACAACCTGCCAACCGTTCTATGCATTTGGCATGGATCATCTGTCACTTCCCTGCAAATGGCGCATGCAGCAGCTTGGCAGTTTCATAGGGCATTTCGGTATCGGTAGGACAGGTACAGCATGTAATCACTTCTGAGTGGATCCTCACGGACTGTTTATGTAATGCGTGGCCCAAAGTTCTTGACAGTTTTATTCCTATCCCACTATCAGGCCAAACTGGCGTGTTCTGCAAAAATGAGGTGTCATTGGTGTTTGCCAACTGTCAAGGGATGCTCTGACACCCCATAAAAGTTGCTAGTTTACCTCCCGAAAGGCATTTTTGGTCGCAAAGAGAAGAAGGAAGAAAGTGACAGGGAACTAGAAGCAAGAATAATAGTTGTAGGTTATGCTCTCAGGCAAACAGATCTGAACCACCTCCTAGATGTTCATCCTACCGAGAGAGAAATCTTTATCTCCTGTCCTTCATAATCCAAAATGTATCTTCCTCAAGAAGACAGAGCTTGGCAATATCCTTTACAACCACTGAGGAGCAACAGATTTATTTAGCTAGGTTTTACAAAAAGCAGATAGGAGAGCAGCCATGAAATAAGGCATGGGTTTTGTTAGATTTAGCTAGCCATATACAAGATAAATAGATTTATGCCACATGTCTTTGGCCAGTTTGTTTGTTTTCTGCAAAAAAAAAGTAGATCAGGAAAAATCTTTAACAGCCTTTACAGTAGTTCATTTTAAATAGTAGTCATTTATTATGGCAAGTAATGTCAATTACCTTTTTAATCTGATTATTTACTTCTTTGTTCAGTGATGATTTCTACAGAGTAGGCAGGGAAATGGCTACCAGAAATGGTTGGAAATAGCTGCTGATACTAAGTGGTATGAATTTGGACAGGAGATCCCTGGAAAACCCACAGAGAGAAAGAGTGGAAATATCAGTCATATTATTCAGCCTTCTTCCTCATTTGCTGTCAGTATTTACTTTATAAAAATGTTCTCTTTTTCTCTGTGACTTTTCTCTCTATATTCCTTGCAACACATTACACTGGCAAAATTCATAATTGGAGACAATGATTTGATTAGTGTTGTTGTTTGATTCATTGGTAGAGTACATTTTTAAAAATGTATTTGCCTAAATTCTATTCTTCAAACCATTTTCATCTCTTCCTTAGCTCACATCACACCTCTGGACAGGCATATTCGTTCTAAAGCAGGGATGTCAAACTTGCAATGTCATGTGACATGTCGTGATGTATCGTGACTTTTTTGCCATTGCCGACAATGGGGTGGGCATGGTTTCACTATGATGCATCCGGCCCGCAGGCCGGCATTTTGATACGCCTGTTCTAAAGCATCTCAAAGGAGGAGGGAGGTTTTAGATTAGCAAAGTTGGCACTGATCATTTTTACAATTTATTCTGCCTTTTCTCACTAATTTTTTTTCAGCTGCTAACTGTGGCATTAGAAGTTGTTCTCTATGCTTTTTTTATTGCACTCTTTTTCTTATCTGTTTAGTTTTTGTAGAGTTGCTGTTTGTTTTTTGAGTGTATATTAGATACATATATCTCCTGAGTCCACTTAAGTGTAGGAGATAAATAATAAAGTAGCTTGTCCGATACATCAGTGCAGAATTACTCATTTCTCTGACAACAAATTCATTTGAAACAGAGAAGCCATAACTGGCATGTGAATATTGGATAAATCATTGATTAAAAGCAGTTTTTACTCTCTTAATTTTTTTTCTAGTGAAAGAAAGTAAAAAAAAAAAAACCATGCTTGTGAAATTAAAAAATAGTATTGCCTTTATTTTCTCATTGCACAGCTTATCACAAATTGTACAAAGAAAGCAAACAATAATTTGACACTTACTAAAAAAAGGGATCTGAATTTTGTCTGCAAACTTTGAGATTGAAGTCAGTCAAGACGTATGTGTCAATGCACCTTCGCTAAGCCTCTTAAAATATAGAGGCAGCTTCCCACTTGATGAAAAACAGTTCCAAAAACAAGTTTATGGGGAAGAAAGATTTCGTTATGAAAAATTCACTGATACTTCAAAAAGCCAGAATAGACCACTTGATTGGCATCTATTTAGCTTCTAGTCGGTACAGTTTGTCAAGTTTAAGATTCTTGCCTTCTATTTTCTCATTTTGAAATGAAATTTCAAAAAATAAAAATTGGGAAATATTTCTATCTCAATCTCTTTCTCTCTCTCTTTTCCTTCTCTATTCCAGTGAGATTATTAGATTAAAGATGAGTGTCAGATCTGGCACAGAATGGCTTCCTAATAATTAAACCTTATATTCAGGCTCTTGCAGTTGCATAAGCCCTCTCTCCGTCTCACTGTTTGTGTGAACCTCCATTTCAGTATAGTTCCTTTCCCAGCACAAACAAAGATGGGGGGGGGGTGGGATAGGAGCTGGCAATCTGCATGCTGGCTTGTCTGCCTGCTTAAGTAAATGGGATCATTGTCCCAGAGCTCTGTGCAAATTTAAAAAAAAAAGATAAACTATGAATTAAAAACACACAAACCCCAAAACACACTGGCTAGTTTCATGCAAAACAGAAGGGAACTTTTTGTTTTTACTGTAGCCTGTTTGGAAGAAAACAGACAATTAGAGCTGGCCTGTTGCCTGTTAACTCTGGTCAGTTTCACCCCTGCTCACTTTTCCTAGGCTACAGGATAGCAAAAAGAGTTTCAAGCAAGAGTTGGGGGGTGGGATTAGAAGCAAGCAAAATATTTTATCTGAATTCAGAAGAGACGGGAGTTAGAAAAGCAGATATTGTTAAAGTGCCCCTTGCCAGCAATTAACTGATTTTTGAAATGTATTGTTGAATTTATACTCCACTTTTCTGCTCATTCCAGCATTCCAAATGCCTTACAGTAGCCTTAAGATTATTTCATACTATGGCACTGTTTTTCAACCTGACAACTTTAAGATTTGTGGACTTCAACACTCAGAATTCCCCAGCCAGTGGTGGTGGTGGGGAAATGAATTCTGCACATTTCAAAGTTGCCAAAGTTGAACCCCCCCCCCCCGGCATTATAGCATAATCGGAATTGGATTCCATGTGAAGGACCTGCAGAGATGATTGGCTACTCAATACTGGGGAAATTAAGAAAGCAATTTTTGCCTCACACACTACAATTTCTCTGTCTCTTCTCTTACATAAATACTTAGTTGCTGTTCATTGCTGGCAGACAAATAAAATAGTTTCGAAAGAACATTACCCAAATCTGTCTTCTTCCATTGATTCAGGGCAACTTGGTGGTCCCAAGAGGCCATGGATGATACAAACCCATCATAATAATTAGGCATTTTTTCCGGTATATTTTGTTGTTGGCTTTTTAAGATTGTTTTTAATCTGCCTGCTACAATTAGTATGCTAAAATGGTTCATAAAAAAAACACAACTGGGAAAATTGGAATGTAATGGATAATGAATGTAGTAGCCCTTTAAAACTGATAAAATAAAATAAAATAAAATAAAATGGGGAGAAGAACATATTTTTCCTTTTATTGATTCCTTAAGTGCTGATGCCATGTGATGAAATAATGCTCAAGTTTTATTAAAGGAAGAAACTCGTTGGCAGTTTACAGCTAGATCTTCTCTGAATGATCATGCTGAATTCTCCACCCCAATCTGAGAAGCATGACCTAGCGTAACTATATTTAGAATTAACGTGCAAGATTATAAGTGCATCTCTTAGACTTTTTCAGAGAAAATGCCCAGATCCTGGACAAGCTATGCTTTTGTGTTAACCTCCCTCACCTCAAGATATCCACCACCAGAGGGTCTCCTGCTTAGACGACATCTGTCTCTTTGCTCAGCTCCACCCTCCACCATTTTTCACGCCACTGCCCGATCTATGATAAGACGAGTGATTTCCATAGGATTGTAGATGTCACTGTTGTTGTTGTGATTATTATTGTTGTTATTATGAAGAACGTGAAGCTGACTGTATGCCCCATGTGCACATTGAACTCACTAGGCTTCTGCCTTTTTCTGTTTGCAGCGCTGAAAAGCCCTTCTCCCTTCCATGAGCAAAAGAAGAGCTTGGAGAGAACCAAGGTAACATTGAGTAGGCATTTGAGTGGGTAGATAGTGATGGCCTCACCTCAGATAACAATCTTTTTAGGACTCAGAAAATCTCTCTGCGGAACTGTGACTGAAAAAAACATGCTTACTAACATGTCTCAATAAAGACAACAGTGCAAAGACAACATCGATGGGATGTTCAGCTTAGGCAGTGGCACATAGCCATAGGAAATTGAATATGTGCACTTTGTAAGCTGAAAGTGTGTTCAAGTTTGCTACACTTGATCATGCAAGCCATGAGGGTAGTGGGGAAATCCCAAAAGGAAACCTTGATCCTTGCTTGCCGTGGACCACATTGCCCTTCAGTTCTTATAATAATATAAGGTTCCTTTGAGCTGGTGATCACTTATGCTCTGTGTCTTGTTGGCAACAGCCCTTGCAGTGAGATTAGGCATTGTTAAAGCTAGTGGAAAAGCCAAAAGGGAAGAGCTGATAAAAAAAATTGCAATATATTCTCACATTTATTTTGCTACACACATGCTCATTGGTTAAGCCAGATCTTATTATGAAAAGAGATTGACTTGTTTAATAGCTGATCATGGGCTTGGATGATGGAAACACCAGTTCTGTAACAGGGTTGGTACTGCCCACTTGCAAATAACTTATTTGAAAAAAAAAGGTTTGTCTCATGTACATTGGACTAAGGATTTTCTTTTGTTTACTGGCAATTCAACTTGTCCTCCCACTCCCAGTTGGTGTAGGTTCTCCTATTTTCAAAGACCAAAGTATCATCTGCCCTCCAACAATACCAACGGGATGCTGTTCAGTCTGTGCTGTCTGTGATATGCCTGATAGACACAGTTCTTCTTTTGTTCAGACAAGATTCCATTTCTCATTGCAGATATGATACGATAACATGGATATATTTGTCTGCATGGAACAAGTTCTTTTTAAGAGATGTAGACCAACTAGGCCTTTAAAAAATGTATTAGAAGAACTATAATCCCATTGTAAAAGCTTTGTTTATTTGTGACTGTAGGTTCAATGTCCTATATTTCTAATTTATGGAACATGACAGTCCTTGAAAACTATCTACCACCATAAATAATGCAGGTTAGGGGCCAATAGCATAGAGAAGCTTTGTAAGAGCTTAGAAATGTCCATTGGTTTGAAATGCTTAGGAATTAGCAATAGTAATAGTAATAAACTTATATAGTGCCCCATAGTGTTTTACAGTACTCTCTGGATGGTTTGCAATGTCAGCATATTAGCCCCAGCAATCTGATCTCATTTTACTGATCTCAGAAGATTGGAAGACTGAGCCCATCAGGATCAAACTACAGAGTTAGGCTGCCATACCACATTCTAAGCACATTCTTTTTACTTATAGCCCCCATAACACAGCATGTGTATTATTTCTCTGTTCATGGAACAGTAGGATCTATTTAATAAATGACTGGATCTCATGCAGACAGGGGAACAAAATGATTGGCTCCATTTTACCAATTCAAAACCAGATTACAATAATGTAATCTCTCTGATGGGAGAGATTACATTATTTTACATGAGTGTCTTGCAAAAATGCATGGCTAATGTAAGAAAGGATCTATAGCCTATTGTGAAAAATTAATGTGCTTGGGAGACTTCAAGCAGTCTGAAGTATCTTTGAAGTACTGTGTATGTTCAGACATAGGTTAATATCTCACTGTCTCTTCAAAAGCTTCTACTGGCTGGTTGCCTAGAAGAAAAAAAGAATTATATGAGTCAAAAGACCTAAACTGGATCTATTTGGAAAGCCAAAATACACTCACAAATATATTCTCGGCCTTTATTGAAAGTACTGGGTGCTTTATTGAAAGTACTGAATGAGAAATTTACATTAGTATATTTCTTAGGTAGCTAGAGAATGGTAGTTTGATGGGAGGTCTGTCTGAATCTTTTTTTATATACATGACCTGAAACAACATTAGTTTAATTATACTAATTCAAACAAATGCAGCAGTAGTTACATGGACAAAAAGCAGCACCTGCAATTTATTTAAATGAAGCCACAGAATTTGCTTTAGTCCAAGTGTATGTTGTAGAATGTAGACAGTTGCAGGCTATGTTAAGAACAACTGAACTGTTTTGAATTTAATACATGTTCTAAATTGTTGTTTCATGTCATCAGTCCATTGTATTAGTTATCAGTAATTTGTGTTGTAAGATATATTAATGGAGGCCTTTAATAGATCCAAATCTAACTGGCAAAAAATTGGTATCCAGATTAGAAATTGTTGTAAGCAGGTCATGTTTTAAGCCTAGAGCAAAATAGAGAGTGTCTAGTAAAACAGTAGAGTATCCTTGTTATAATGCAACATCTAATACTTTTAAGCTAAGCTAGTGAGGTAACAATCTCTGTTCTTATGTTCTACAGACTGAAGATTATTTAAAGCACAAGATCCGAAATAGACCTGAGCATTCTGAACTGCTTGATATGCACATTGTTCAAGGTAAGACTGGCTAAGTTGCTCTTCATTGTGAAAAAAAAATCTATTTAATAAGTAAGTTAAGTCTTAATATTTCCTCCAACTATGTGCCATTCCATCTATCCACTCGTCCAAAAGTTTTGCATTTCTCTTTTAGCTTAGGAGATGTGGTTTTTTTAAAAATGGGGGCATATAAATGATTTTATCCAGATATGATATAAACAATGCCCAGTAACTCTAGTCTATTTACACTCCTCACTCATAATGAGTCCTAGTCTATTGAGATAGAGGCAGTGGAAAATGTTCCCATGAATGAAGAAGAATATTAGTTGAAAACCATATACAGGTAATACTTTTTGTATATTAAACCAACCCTGAAAGAAAGTCCTTTCCAACTGTTACATTCCGTGATTCTGTGATGTTAGGTACCTACTACTTAATGTAGTCAATGTAATTATTTTTGTTGCATATGACTTGTCATGCTTGCTGGAGTTTATTTTAATCATGCTTTGTTGAACAAGCTAGGAATAAAGCAAATAAACCATGAGGCTGAATAAATTATTATGATAGTGTGAATATTTCTAATACTGATTCTAATATTTCTAATATTGATTTTAACAATCAATAAGCCAATCCCTAGCCATAGTTTGAAACCATGATTTCCTTTCGAAAATAAGTTATGATTTACTGACTGGCCTTGTTGACATATCACACTAAGCTACAAACATGCCACTTTATGATATAGTACAAAGTGAAACCCATGAATGTGTTCTGGTTAAATGCTTTTTGTTACAATTGCATCCATGTATAAGGACCTGCATATTTCCTCTTTAAAGAAACTGTTCTGAAGTAACATAGAGCAAGCTGTGCTTGTTGAGCTTTTTCTAAGCAGGAAAAGAAAAAAGGGACTTGGTACAAGACTTAATAATTTTCACCACTTACTTGACAGATTCAGCTGCAGAAGAATCCATTCAAACTAGTCAGATGAAACTAAAACGAGCTCGTCTTGCAGACAATCTGAATGAAAAAATTGCTCTTAGACCAGGACCTCTGGAGCTGGTGGAGAAGAATATCATTCCCATTGACTCAGCTGTGAAAGAGGCCATCAAAGGTAATTTTAATAGGTACCTGTTCAGGTACACTGGTTTTAATTGGCAATGGTTCAGGTACACAGATTCCACTATAATGGAGAAACTCCTATGGGGTTGCCTTTTGAGTGACTCCTCTGAAGGAGCATGGATGCATGTTGAAGATCTACCAGGACTTAAGTATTCCTGAATGGTTTATTCCTTGTTGGCATGTCCCCTCCAAATCCAAGATATCTGTTTGCTAGCTAAGCAGGAAGACACTTGATCAAAGCCAGACTCGGCCCTGCAAAGATTACAGGGCATAGAAGGAATCTTCTTTTCTTCCACTGTCTTCCAGCCTTTCAGGGTCTTTGTGATAGGGCCTGTCTTTCCCAGCACTTTACTTATCAGTAGAAGCCAAGGGTCAAGTGCTTTTGCCTGCTAGATGACGGGGATATTGCATGGGAACACTTTCCAGAACTCCCGAGGTCTGCTGAGTGGCAGAGAAGCAGCATCTGGCAGGAGTCATACTGAGTCTTGAGGAAGCAAAACCAACAACGCAAAAAGTCTCCTCGTTGTGTTCCTCTAAGGAAATTTCTAGATGCTACAATTAAAAAAAAAGGGGGGGGGGTATTCTAGAATTTTGATGTTTGTTGACCAGAGTTTATCTATTGGGCAACACAGTCTTCGGATTTCCTTGAATATGTTTTCTCTCCCGGGATGAACTCCTTTTTTGCCAACATTTCTATCCAGTTTTAAGAAACAAACTGACAAGAGAGGAATAATTTGTCCTGAAAGAATAGGTAGCGGTTGCATTCTTCAGAGCTGTGAAATTCTGGAAAAAAATAAGGATCTGAATCTAAAGAGGATGCTTGTGTTAGTGTATGGTTGGCAGAAACTTCCAAAAGTTCATTATGGCCCATTATGTTGAACCAAATTTGTGTTGAATATGGGATGAAATCCTGTCTTGACTCACCTTCAGTAACATTCGACGGCTGTTGCAGAGCCATTGTGGTGCAGTGGTTAGAATGCAGTATTGCAGGCTAATTCTGCTGACTGCCAGGAGTTTGATTCTGGAACGGTTCAAAGTTGACACATCCTTCCATCCTTCCAAAGTCTTCTAGTCCAACTCCCTGCTCAAGCAGGAGACCCTATACCATTCCAGATAAATGTCTGTCCAATCTCTTCTTCTACAAAAGAAAAAAAAATATGATACGATCATAGAATAATTGTATTTTCTTTTAATTAATGTGAAGTATAAATTAATGAAATCAGATTTAGCTTTTGTCCTAGACACACCATTTTTGCAGTGATGATCCAGCATGAGAGTTCAAGATCCAGTGTAGCTTTTGGCCCAGAAAAGTTATATAGGAACTGATGGGGGTGGTTTAGCAACTTACATGGAAACAAATTGTGTACAAATTATATATTATAATATGTCCATTAGAATAAAAACTATCTTCCAAAAACCCAGATTAGAAAATAATGGCCCTTATTGCTCTAAGAAATATCTTGAATATATACATACAAGGTCTGCTAAAAAAAAAATCACTTGATAGAAATTCCAGCAGTCTAAGTTTATAACTTGTGTATTCAGCACAATTTTAACTGCATATATGTGATGATGAAATATACACTGAGTTTTATAGCCAGATCAGAGTATTTTTCTGAAATAAATTTTATCTTGCAATTATGAAGCTCAATCTCTATTGTATAGTGATAGTTTTCATCAACTGAGTACCATCACTGGTTGACTATTGCTTTATTTTGAGGTTCTTGGAATTTTTTTTAGGGGGGAGGGATTGGTTATTTATATTTTATTTTGATTTGTTTTATTACTGGTCTATAACTGGATAAGACTTTGCCATTGCAGTTTTGCATATCCATGATTGCTAAATAGAGATCAGGATATGGTATATACATAATGGTCCTATATACAGTTTTGGTCTTGTTTTTTTTTTTTTTTTAACATGATGTGTGCAAAATGGTCGATCATTTTGCACACATTCTTGTAATACATGTTACATTTAAAATATATATATCAAATTTACATGTATGGTAATTTTTTAAAGGATATACCGTAAGTAGATCATCTGGGCAGTGTACTTCCTAGTTACTGTAGGTTTTGGTGGATCAGCCTGGTTGTGAGGCTTCAAAGGGATTTTCTGTGGCAACAGACCTTCTTCTCTGCAGTGATTTACTCAGCTGATGAGGTGGTAGTATCTCAGTTGCACCATGTGACTCATACTTGGTTTCTCTGCATTGTGTGGCTCTTTCATAATCTTGAGAGAGTATCCTCTTGATTGTGCTGGTGCAGATCAACATAGTTTTGTAACACGTGGCCACTAGAGTTTGCTGTGAGCTGTGAAATTGGCTCTTTTGTGATCTTGCTGGATGGGTCTTTCACGAGTGAAGCAACTGCACAGTACTCATGTCTAGCTGCGTCATCAAGAAGGCCCTCCACTGAGATCACAAGGGTTGCACCTAGCAGAAAAGCCTGTGAAGTCACAGGAAACAACTGTAGCTACTTCTTCCATTATCAGTCAAGCAAGTTCTCTAAGAAGGAAGCCAGCTTACTAGGGAAGTCATGTGGAGCCTTGCAAGAATTTGACTCAGTCAGATCTGCCAAGAGGTATACTGTGCAGATGACATCAGTGGAAGGACATGCTATATGGAAGGAAAAAGACAACTAAAGACTTTGGAACCTAACCCCTCAGTTCCAGTGACTCAAGTTCTTGTTATTCACAGTTTTGTGGTTCTCATTTTAATGTTAAAATCAAAAATCATCTTCCCCCAAATAATGAGGGCCCTCTGTTGATGTTATATATACTGTAATACTAAGTACAAACATTTTCTAGTTACAATTTTTTTTCTTGCAAATTCATTGGATACCCATTGCCATTCACAATTAAATCATGATAACCTATTACTGAGTTCATCTATCTGTCTAGGTACCCAAGGAAACTTCACTAAATCTTCAGATGCCTTTGCTTTTGAAGAAGATAGCAGCAATGATGGGATGTCCCCAGAGCAAGTTAAAAGTGAGGATTCTCAGGGGTCTACAGAATTAGCAGCAAGAATCAAAATAGCTGAAGCAACATTTCCTTCAGTGTCTGGGACAACTCAGGTAAAATAATATTTGGTGGGGGTGTTTCAAGTCTCATCTCCTATTAAATAACAGGTTATTTTTAAAAAAAAAAACTTTTCAGGAGTGTTATTCTTAGATTGGTGTAAAAGCAAAAAACTATAGGGACTGGTTGAAACAATGAGGTTTGAAGGTTTGGTAATAGTTAACCTTTGACTTAGAGAGATTTCATAGCTTAGAGCAGGCGTCTTCAAACTTGGCCCTTTTATGACTTGTGGACTTCAACTCCCAGAATTCCTCAGCCAGGCACATTGGCTGAGGAATTCTGGAAGTTGAAGTCCACAAGTCATAAAAGGGCCAAGTTTGAAGACCCCCAGCTTACAACCTGTTTTGAAGTGTACCTGAAGAATGTATCATGCCTCTTTTAATAAAGTCATTCTTTGTAAGCATCTCTGGCCCCAGCGGTCTTGTATGAGAAAAAAAAATCCCTCTCACCCTCAGAGACAGCTTTTTAAGAGAGTGTTGAGGTAAAACGGGAAAATCCTGAAGAGCAGTTTTAAACAAAAACTCTGGGATGTGGAGTCCAACCCAAAGTCCAACCATCAAAGGATTTTTGCTGTTGTCTATAAGATGGGTGGATATATTTTAACAAGTATTCTAGGACCCAAATGTAGCTTGGAAAATGATGGGAATTCTTTCCAAATTTGAGGAAAATAACTGGATCCTATCGGCCTTAACAAAAAATGAACCTGGAATTGTTTGACCCAATCTGTAGACAACTTTGTACACTGCAGTAGTGCTGTTGGCCTGGAACATTCTAAGCTTTGACAGTATAATGAGTCCAGAGTGATTTCACTTTCCCTTTCTCTGTGATGACAGAGCTTTCAGATGACTGGTTTGCCAATAGTAAGAACCACAGTGCAGAAGAGCTGAGTTAGTAGTACATGGTTATTAGCTTTCCATTACATTTTCCTGAGTTTCCTGTATCTCTTCTCTTTAAAACCATGGTAATGATTTATCACCATATTACTATGGTCATCATGCTAATTTCATTTTTGGTTATTTATTATGTATTTTAATATGCAAGGTGTGCAAGCAGAAGACAATATTTTTCCCTTTCCAGTTTAGTGTGAGGAAAAACTGTACTTGTAGCTCCAACTTTCTATTTTCTCTGGATTAGAGACAGCCTAAAAGCCTCAAATTAAATAAAAATAGTTTTGTTCAGAAGAAAAAATTCCATTTGGTTATTTATTATGTATTTTAATATGCAAGGTGTGCAAGCAGAAGACAATATTTTTCCCTTTCCAGTTTAGTGTGAGGAAAAACTGTACTTGTAGCTCCAACTTTCTATTTTCTCTGGGTTAGAGACAGCCTAAAAGCCTCAAATTAAATAAAAATAGTTTTGTTCAGAAGAAAAAATTCCATGAAGTGGCTATAAAGTATATAACAGTTGCAAGCTAGACTGTTAGGTTGATATATGACTTCTGTAAGTTTGCTTTGCTCTAATATTGGTGGAATTTACAGGTTCTAGTACGCACTTGGTCAAATAATCATTTTTAATGTTTGAATTTTAGCTGTATTGCCTGAGTTTGTGTTTAGCTAAGTAGCTAACTCATTTTATGCAACATGAGTTATCATGGATTACATGTCAGAATGACTATTACTTGTACTTGCTGACTAAAATTGAACTGATGTGACAAAGCTTTCTTAGATACTTTCTTAGATATTTTATCACCTACTGCAGGATAGACTGCAGAGAGTTGTGAATATTACGTTCAATCACACCGTGGTTTGGAATTTGTCTTGCTTAGTAATAGGAGAACCAAAATTTCATTCAATTTACCATCTCATTGAAAGAACTAATTAGATTGTATATTGCTTCTTCTTATGTGAAAAGTTGTGTTGCCCATTTTTCTGAATTACTGGCCCATCATCTTAAATTATTCTATAGCTAATGGCCTTTGCTGGCAGTCTTGGATGATCTCAAAAAGCTAAGGGAAGATCTGGTTAATATTCAAATGGGATTCCATATGAAGACGTCAGGGATGTTGATGACTAGGAAATGGAAAAACATCCTGGAAAAAATCAATGGCAAACTACTTCCATATTGCTGCTAGGAAAATCACATAGAAATGTCCATGAAGTCACTAAGAATAGAGCTTAACATAAAGGAGATCTTATCTTCATTTGGGACAGTGCACAGTAAATATCTGTATTCCCTTCATCAGTACTCTTTAGGTCTGATTTGAGGGAAAAAAAGATATCTTACAGCCAGTGTAGTAAGGATATTTCTCATCAACCCCATTGCTATATATTTTCATAATTTGCCTTCATTCTAAAATAGCATTCAGAATTAGCTAATTGATTCTAACTGTGAGAAGAGGAATAATTTGTTCTTACTCAGGCAAATACAATCAAGGTATGGGTGTAAAGGTATAATACATGTTAAAATTCTCCAAAATTCTCCAAGCCTGTGGAGGAAGTCATCCATAAGGTCAGCCTTTGGTGATTATATAAAACATGGGGGTGTCCTGCAAAGGATCCCAAGCCACTGTTAACCTGAACACGACATATTCTTGGCTAATGCTGCTCTTCTTCATTCCAACAGCTTTGTTACACAGTGTACTTGGCATGGGGCATCTCCATTTTCCAAGCACTTATGGCAGGGAGCCCAATGATCATCCATTTGGTTTCCTAATAACAACAGCCTGATAAATGTGATTGGTCTTAGTATGCAAATACACTTATAGGAATAGTTTAACAGGCCATCCAAAGTCATCTGCAAAAAGTATTGATTATGGTGAAAATCCCCAAAATGTTGTTTGTACATACACTTGCACATGTGAATCACTTAGCAGCCTGGATTTGCTTAACCATATGCAAGCTAAAAGTTAGTCAGACTTCCACAGTATACCTCATCACTCTCACAGGTTGTCGTGCATATCTACATAAACTTCACTTCACTTTACTTAATTTTGATCCAAGACGCCTTTTGCCATGACTCACCATGAGGATTTTCCTAATAGTACAGAGAGTTAAAGTGTCCTCTCAAGGAAGTAAGATTCAGCCTACACATGTAAGATTCGAGCTGCTAGGTATAATGGTTATACATGGATGGTTTATAGTGAACGTATTTGTATTTGCAGAACTCCAGCTATAGAAGATATAGCACACGTATTATTTGAGTATCAACTATATAAGAAAGAGAGAGAGTGGCATCTTGGACCTCATATCAGACAAATATTGGGACCCTCATATTTCATGTGTGGACAGAACTGAAAAAAATCACATACAACACAGCCCTTTATCTGAATAAAACAGTTTAGTTGGGATCTATATATGTGGGTCTGATTGGGGTAATTTGTAGAGATGACTCAATAACCTAATATTTTATTTCTCAGTTTATCCTTTTTATTTAATCTGTTTCTCTTATTCCACTTTTATATATGGTTCTGTTGTGTAATGTATTATGTTTTATTCTGTATTTGGATATTTCCTATGTCAGTGATGGTGAACCTATGGCACGGGTGCCAGAGGTGGCACTCAGAGCCCTCTCTGTGGACATGTGTGTCATCACCCCAGTCCTAGGCCTTCAGCTGGGTTTTATAAAACCTTTTCGCTTTAGGCCTCCACCATGTGCAAAAAAAAAAAAAAAGTTTCAATCAATCAGTCAATTTCAACTTCTCACAGGAAAAAAAAGATCTTGCAAAGTTGGAATTGATTGATTGAAATTTTTAGTCCCACCCAGTCTGCCGTTACCACCACAGCCACACACTCAGCCAATGGGCCACACCCAACCAATGGGCCACACCCACCCGGCACCCGACGATGCATAAGTGGGTTTTGGGTTGCATTTTGGGCACTCGGTCTCTAAAAGGTTTGCCATCACTGTCCTATGTGCTAATAAGCAACAACAAATTGCTGCTTAATGGAACAAAGGCAAAGTAATCAGCCGTTAATCTAACTAGCGTAGCTCATTTATATATGCCTTTATAAATTGCCTGCCTGCACTAATCTTCATGAAACTATCTTCATGAAATTATCTGCATTGGTGGCATAATTGTCACATGTATTTTCAATGGTTTTTTTTTTGTTTACAGGGTCATTCCCATAGTTCTGAAAATGATACGACTGATTCATCATCTCTGCAAAATAGCCAGCCAGAGAGTCCAAAACAGCTCAATGGGCAGCAGACACCTCCTATTCCTATTACTACATCTGTAAAGGTATGTTACTATCTTTCATCATTTAGGCAAATGTGTTGACCAACTAAACCATAACCATGGTTTCTCTGAAAGACAAATGCTGGTTTAAAAGTAAATGGAATATTTCTGAAATTACAGCACACAAATATGGGTACTAAGGCAATTTTGCATAATTAATTAAGTGGAGTAATTAATCAGAAAGGCAGGGATGGCAGTTAGTGTTCTACAGATGCATCCTTTTTGCCCTGTTCTCATTTATGGAGCTGATGGATTTAAGTTAGGGAGCCCAAATTTAGCTATTTAAGTGTACTTTGATTTTTAAATATTATACTAAACACCTGCACCAAAATGCAAGGGTCTTTGCCATTTTGAATGGGATTATTTCCCATGTCTTCTTAAATGGCAGCAGGTAGAAAATCAGAATATTGGAAAGGAATGTGCACCTAATACCATGTGAGCATGGTCCTCAAAACTGATGCCAGTGTTTTATGCTCTGAACTGCATATAAAAGGAAGAAAAGTGACTTTTGTCTTCTTATATTTTTCACCCATCATTTTGAAGCTCAAAGGCTTTTGAGGGTACTGAATATCAGTGGCAGTCCTCCAGAGAATTCAGACTTAGCAAGATATGGGTTAATTAGATAGGCCAGTCAAAAGCTTTGGATTCTAACTGACCTTCCTGATATTTTTTGCGTGGAACACAGTCAAAATCCTCAAGTGATGGCAAGAATCGCCATAAAAAACCTAAGGAGATGAAGCCCAAAGTGAAGAAGCTAAAGTATCACCAATATATTCCACCAGACCAGAAGGCAGAGAAGTCTCCTCCTCCCATGGACTCTGCCTACGCCAGGCTACTGCAACAACAACAGCTCTTCTTGCAGCTCCAGATCCTTAGTCAACAACAGCAGCATCGGCACCAGCAGCAGTTCAATTATCCTGGGTCACATTCCTCTCAGCTAAAGTGAGTAGCTGGTGGAAATGTTTTCTGTCTTCCTAGGTGACCATTTGTAACAGAGCTATGCCACCATTTGACGGTGTGGCTGATTAGACTTTATTAGACTTGCATGCAATAGTGGGATTCAAATATGTGAACAACCGGTTCTCTGAGTGGACGCCACTCCCGGAAGTCCATTCTGGGCCTGGGCAACAAAAAAATTAGCTACCGGTTCTGCTGAAGTGGTGCGAACTGGCTGAATCCCACCACTGCTTGTATGTTTCAAATATTCCTACTAAGTCCACTGGGTGTGCAGCTTGCACACTAGGAAGGATGAAGGATCAATATATATATCCAGTAGGTTTGGGTGCCGTTGCTATAGGATATGAGAAGAGTTTGGGGCTTTAGACTTGAGTTGTTAAACTAGGAATTCTTCTCTAATTTGAAGACCTTGAAATAATCCTTTTAAGGTGAGCACTATAAGCCTGTTCTGGGACAAATCATCCCTCGATTTGAAATTCTGCTAAAGTACTACTATTTTGTACTGAAATTGCAGAAAAATGATGGTGAATGAATAATAAAACTAGGATCAAAACTGGTACATTGGCGATGATTTAGAAACAAAAGAAGAAGTCACAGTAACAAATTTTGCTCCTGTTTTTTTTTAGACAACCAAATGAGCCTAAAATCTCAGGCTCTTCCCCTACGACAATCACCAATAATCCTCTTTCTCCAGTGAAGGGAACCTTTTCTGGGCCAACTTGCATTTCATCCCTCAAACCAGGTCCTCTTCCATCCAATTTGGATGACCTTAAAGTGAGTATTATGTGCAGAATAAGGTGTAACAATGTTAGAAGGCATGGCAAGTTATAGAAGGTTTAATCATGGTTTATTGAATCAATTGCAATAGCCCATGTTTGCCAAAGGCTAAACCAGAAACTGCAACTTACTGTATATACTAGAGTGCTAAATCACAGCCAATAAACATAATCTACACCACACCCACACCCCAACACATACCCAAGTACATGTTGCTCATATGGGGCAAAATGGCAATAAAAGGTGTTTTTTTTTAAGTAATTAGAAGGGTTAAAAAAGCCTTTAGCTCCAGTGACCGACCCAGATTGGATCCTGCAACATTATCCTGGGACACATATATTTGTCTTCATTTGTGTTAGAAAAGCTCTTTCCATTTGAAAGGCAATCTCCAAAATTATCATAAACGGCAGTGGTTCTCAACCTTTTTAATGCTGCGACCCCCAACCGGTCGTAAGTCAAGGACTACCCAACCAGTCGTAAGTCGAGGATTACCAACCGGTCGTAAGTCAAGGACTTTCCCTGCCCGGGAGTGCTGCGCATGCGTGGTGCCGCCCCCTGCGCCGGCTGAGGTGTAGCTGGCAAGCGGCAGAGACGGCGCAGGCTGACCACTGGCTGGGCCACCAGCTGGCCCGCCCCAAAGGAGGTAAGGCACCCAACGGGCCCCACGCATGCCAGCAACCCTCCCTGCGCCCGCTGGCCTCCCACCTCCCACCCCTGGCCCTCTTTTACTTACATTTTTAGTAGTTGCTCAGCAGGGAGGGGTGGAAACTTCCAGACAGCTCGCCTTCGCTGCAGACAACTTGCAGCACCGTTTGCAGAATGGACTTTTGGCGGGCTCAGCAGGGCAGAGACAGCCTGGACAATTCCTATTGGCTTTTGAAAGCCAATAGAATTAGACTCTATTCAAGAGAGTCTATTCTATTGGCTTTCAAAAGCCAATAGAATAAAAGGGAGTAGCACAGCTAAGGAAAAAGGGGAAAAAATGGCGGACTGCGTTGTTTGGCGACCCCCGTGAAATGGTCGTTCGACCCCAAATGGGGTCCCGACCCACAGGTTGAGAACCGCTGATATAGGGAGTCAATTTCAGTCCTTGAGGGGGATTCCCCCCCACCCTGGTTTTTAATATGTAGAAGTGGATACTGGAAACTTCTGAAAATCATCCCATTTCCTTTTCACCCTTCAAACCTTCAGATGCAGGTGTTGAGCTATTGTGGTGTGCATTATATGTTTAAAGTGGAATTGGGGTTGTTTTGATTGTTCTCGGTGGCCTTTTTCCATCCTAAAAATCCCCAAAAGAGGGACAAACATATTCACTCTCACTCCATTGAGATTACCTTCTGAGGGTCTTGGAAAAGGGAGAAAGCTGAATTGAGGTCCCCTTAAATGTAACACACTGCACATTACATTACATTTAATATCACCATACAGCTTGATGCATTATGTAAGCCCACTCTTGCAAATGTGTTGTTTGTTAACCCTAGCAATTTAACCACTGTGAAAAAGTCTTCCTGAGTAGTACAACACTTAACTAAAACTTCTGTTATTTTTAAAATTAAAATTGCAGCACTTTAACATGCAATATTTGGGAAATTGTGATTTTGTGTGTAATCTAAGATGGGTGACAATTAAGATGTGGATTTGAAGAGGAAAAGGTGATTTGGCATACATATACCACATTACCTTTTGATCACATGTAAGCAACTACTTAAAGATACCGTATCTTTTCCCGAGCTTATTTGGGACTCCTGGAAAAGGTGCGCCTAATTTTGACTCTGGATCTTAGAATCAATGATATCTGAATTCTGGCCATCTCAGCTAAACCACCATGACTTCTTTGATCCCCATTCTGATTTTCTTTTACATAAATTGGTTGATCTATATCTAGAAACTCTGCATTAGAATCATCTTGACATATATGAATAACACAGACTGAATTTAGACAAAAATCTGAAAGACAAAGGCATTCATTCTTAATTCAGACTCATTACTGTAAACTATGATTTGATTATTCCAGGGTTATAGAAATCTATTAGAAATGACATTGTTGTACAAGGTACCCCAATTTAGAGTTAACAGTTAATAGCAGTCTCCCTAATAATAAGACCTCTTTGTCAGAACAAATGATTTTAAATTTAGCTTTTGTTTGGGTAAAACAGTTTGATTAAAATAAGTTTCTTTTTCAACAATAAAGATGCAATACAGTAAAAAATGAGGTTGATACTAATTAAATTTTATCACAGGTGTCAGAATTAAGACAGCAACTCCGAATAAGGGGACTTCCTGTGTCAGGTACAAAAACAGCCTTGATGGAACGTCTTAGACCCTTTCAAGAGTGCAGTGGAAATTCAGTGGCATCTTTCAATGAAATAACCACTGTCACTTTCCCAGTAACTCCAACAAGTTCTCTCTCCAGTTATCCATCGCAGTCTTCTACCAGTCTGTTATCCAATGGCTTTTACCATTTTGGCAGCACTAGTTCCACTCCACCCATCTCTCCAGCGTCCTCTGACCTTTCAGTGAATGGCTCCTTGCCAGACAGTTTCAATGAAGGACCAATGTCATCCCCACAGTTTGTCTTGCACCCGTCACCTGTGCAAGGTGGTTGTGAGGAGAGCCTGGTGGGAAGTATCAATGGAGCTGGCATCCAGCACGATGTTGAAAGGGTTGACACAGAGAAAGACAAAATGCTGGTGGAAAAGCAAAAGGTAATCAATGAGCTGACTTGGAAATTGCAGCAGGAACAGAGGCAAGTGGAAGAGCTGAGAATGCAGCTCCAGAAGCGCAAAAGAAGCCATGGACTGGAAGATAAGCAGCCACCAGCACGGGTGTTTGGTTTTCCAGTCAAGCAGGAGAATGCAGTGTCCAGCTGCCCATTTGCCTCTAAGCAAGCTGCCTTGAAAGGTAAGGCTAGCAATTCTGAGGCTTTAAGTAACTGTGGGACACCTCAGATGCCTCATCTTGTAAATAGCCATTGCATGGAACCTTCTGGACAAAATGGCATACTGTCCTCCACATTCCTAAGCCCACAGTGCTCTCCTCAGCATTCTCCACTAGAGGCAGTGAAGAGTCCTCAACATATCAGCCTTCCACCTTCACCAAACAGCCATTATCTTCTCTCTATGTCTCCTAGCCATCAGGGAGACGGACGCAGCAGTTCTCCACAACCTAGCCGCCATTTGTGCACATCTCTGGTAAGAAAATACATATATTTTGTTCTTGTAATTTACTCATTGGCCTTAAAATAGTCAGTACAAGCAATCCAGTAATAAGAGTCATATTTTAAAAGGACTGAGCAGGAAGTATTTCTGGAGGAAAAGTCAGGGAACCATAACCACCATCACTATTTCCAGTGACGTTAGATGTAAAGAAACAGCTGCTTAGATATACTTATAATACTTGGACAACTGTATACAAAACCTCTCAAAATAGGCAGATCCCAGGTTGTTTGGGGCTTTAAAATATAAACATGACACTTTGAGTTCAGTCTGAAAATAAATTGGCAGTTAGTGCAGATATTTTTAAACTGGTGAGATGGATTCCAGGCATTGTTTCAGCACTGAACAGAACCTCCATTTTTGAATGTCTTCCTTGGGTCATTTGGAAAGGGAGTTGGTTTTATGGCTTATGTGAGGGTGACAACTAAGCAAAGTTTTCTTTGCATCACTTCAGTAAGACTGTATCAGCGTGGAAAAAGTATTTTTGGCAAGATCTGGGTTCATTTTTTTTTCCTCCCTTGGGGTTGCCTTACGTTATGATTGACACCAATATGTAAGAAGTTTTAACTTAGGGGCCTTAAGATGCAGCTGCCAAGGAACAGAGATTTGACTGGATTCCTACAATTGATTTTGCTTCCACATAGGTGCCGACACAAGGGGGCCCAAAGTATTCCATTCTGTCTGCCAGCTTTTGTAAGTCCAGTGCTGCTCTCCCAGACGGAAAACAGCCTCCACCTTATGCTGATGCTGTAAAACAGGTAATGGTCCAGGAGGGTATTTTTAGGGCTGTGCTTGGCTACAGGTGGTTTTTTACTATTGTACCGTTTTATCACAAAACACAATCTGTTGCAAGGATTCTTAACCTTTTTAAGAGTTTGGTCTTTAAATAAAGGAGTCCTTTTATTTTGAATGCATAAAATAAATAGATTTACTGTGTAATTGGAAACCAGTTATGCTCAAATATAGCTATCAAAATATTAAATATGTAATACAGCAATATATGTTCTTTTTATTGATCTGTTAAATTAATAACACAATACTCTTTTTTAGTTTTAATAATTTTAGCTAGTGAAATTTCTTGACATTAACAAATTTTATTGCCATCTAGAGATCAAAGATTATTTTGTTGTTTATGTAGAAGCTAGTAAAAATATTCAGGGTAACAGACACCCTGAAATCTAACCATGGACTCCAAGGAATCCACAAATCCCAGATTAAAAACACCTGATCTAAATGGCTGAGAGGAAGAAAAAAAATCAATGACAAACCTGAAAGATCTGAGATATAAGCTCAAGTTGAGCATTGAGTCTGAGCTAGCAGGAAAGATGATTTTTCATTGGGAGTTACAGTATTATTAGCTTTAATTTATTTGGTCAATGAAGTACAGACAACTGGGCTCATTCCTTTGAAGTTCTTTAAGGCTTCTTATTTCATCTAACTTCCAGGCCCCTGGCTCTACAGTAATGCTGGGATCTAGTTATCTAGCTGATATTGGTACAGCTTGTCATAGTGTGACACTGCAATTTAAGAATTAAAATAAAATACCAACAAAGGAATTAAGCCAACTTTTTTTTATTAGCGGTGAAATAGCACTAGATTACATTCACTTGAGTCATGTAGACTCCTTCCTTCCTTCCTTCCTTCCTTCCTTCCTTCCTTCCTTCCTTCCTTCCTTCCTTCCTTCCTCCCTCCCTCCCTCCCTCCCTCACTCACTCACTCACTCATTCATTCACAGAGAGGTTACAATCCAAACGAATAAGAACTGTAAATCTGCTGGAATTATTTTTTAGAATATATGATAAAGCTGTATTGGCATGTAGAAAGAATAGACCATAATCTGCCACACTGGGTTGGCAGATGTGATTGGTGTTAGTCTGGGGTATCCATCATGGCCTGTTCACCTTGGGAGACCCTTCTGGGCATATACATGTCCAACAACTTAACCCACAATTTCATTTACCCACACAAGCTGTTTCACCTCACCAAGGCCCTAATCATCAAGGGCCCAATTGGCAAAAGAAAGCTCCGGACCATATAGGTTGGAATAATGTGGAAGAGGCCTTCATCCTGCAGTGGATAGACAATGGCTAAAATGATGATGAAATATGATAAGGATGAGGTTGACTATCCCAGTGAATCCTGGGACGGGTTCTCATTCTTGTCTAATGTTTGAAAAAATGGGACATTAAATAATGCATCTTAGGGCATATTAACCCCTGGGTCACATGGGCAATATATTATTAACATTTTAACATTCATAGAGTTGGTTGAGGGTTGTAGGAAAAGTGAGACCAAGTCATACAAAATGATTCCCCTGGTGTTTCCTATTTTTTAACCCTTTCGGGGTTCATATTACATTGTTCATGTGGTCCCTGAGTCAAAATGATGCTGCTAGTTTTTAGCAGTTATGGTCAGTTCTGATGCCAAGACCTGCAAAGGGGGACACAGGGAACCACTTACAGCCTTGGGAGGCACAGATTGCTCATCTGTGCATTTTGTGCACTAAAACCTGCTGGTATTTGTGGAGAATTAGCTGGTTACATCAGATTTTTAATGCCAGCAAAAACACTACAGAGCTATGATATCTCAATCCCTTAAGAGTGATTTCTTTTACAATAAAAATATGTAATCCATTTTCTCACTTCCCAATTTCTTCTGCTTCTTTTCTTGCTGCAGCAAATGACTCAAAGTCAGCAGATGGATGAACTACTAGATGTGCTTATTGAAACTGGAGGTAGGTGATGCCAGTAGAATGAGGCTCTTGGTTCTAACCTAGCAAAAGAGGATATAAACTTCAGGCTACCCACAGTTGATATGCTGTGCTTGTCAGGTGTGGTAGGGGGACTGAAATCCATCGTGGGTTCCATCCACTTCCCAAAGCAATATGTAAATATCTGTTGCTTAGTGAATTATCCTAAGCAGTACTCAATCTAAACACTTCCAGGTTCTGCCTACTAGCGCAGCCATTGACCACTATAGAAAACTGCTAGGTTTTGTCACATGTATATGAAGTGATTATTTAAGAAGAAAGAAGCAATTCTGGAAGTTTAGCTATTCTGTGACCAGGAATTGGTCACAGAAACTGTTGTGGTTTATCTTGTCAACTTGTATCTCGACTTTCCAAGATTGAAGAAAGGGATTTGAAACCAGTGACAACCAAAACATTGTTAGAAATACAAACACATTCGACAATAGTACAAATATTGAGAATTTGTATGCAAGAATAAAAATAATGCTGAATAAAATCAGGCAAGAAACCTAACTGTAGGTAAGAGCTGGCACTTTGTAGATCAAGAGATAAAGGGCAAAGGAAGCCACCAAGGTCTCTGAAAATCACATTGGCATGGTCATGCCCATGGGCACCCATGTGTCTTCTGTTCCTAGAATACCCGTTTTTTCAAAAGAATTATTTAAAAAGCTGAAAGAAGTAGGCAAGACCTATAGACATTTTTTTTTAAAATAGGTGGGTGCTTTGCTTGAAAGTATGCCCCAAAGGAAAACACAGAGCCAAAAAAGGCATTGTGGATGGGACCATCTTGCGGGGAACACTGGAACCATTTCCTTCTGTTTGCCTTCTGTTGTGAGCACTTTGTGGTGTGAATACGTAAGCCTCTCTATCAGCCTCAGGCATTTTGAGAGAGAACCACAAAATACTAGACTCCAAAATCAAACCTTTGTAAATGTTTTTCCTCACTAGCTTCTGTCTGCTCCAGTGAATCACGTACACAACTTTAATGCCTTCATGCCTAATTTAAATGTTTTAACAATTTCTTACCCTCTGCATGCTCAAGCATGTGTACACATATCTGAATGATCAGTCCTTATTCTAATAATTCTTTACATCAGCTTTTTTATTGATTCTAGGCAGGCATTACAAACACCACTTATAACAACTTTGTCTTATATTAACACAGCTTCATCACTACTTTCAATTGCAGGCATTTTATATGATCTCCATGTTCCTCTCACCATCCCTTCTGTACCCATTTGAGCTAGTATAGCATCAAGTAAGGTTTTATTCAGCCAGAACAAAAGGTTGGAATGTATCATTGCAATGGCAGATGCTGTTGGGAAGTCCTGTTACACAAGCAGAAGTATATTCACTTAACAATGGAAGTAGACACAAAGTGGTTTGCTCTTGACTTATCATGTTTGATTTGCAAACAGAAATGCCTGCAAATGCTAAAGAGGACCGCCCTTGTCTTCAGAAGGTACCTCAGATAACAGTGTCTTCAGGGACTTCTGGAACACCCTTGTTACTAAAGGCATCCACTTCATTTGAGCAAAACACCTCAAATCAGCTCTCCTTTGAACGCTGCTCTAGCAATGAGAGTCATTTGGAAATCTTGTTAAATTCCCACAGTCCTCTCAGGCGGTCAAGTGAAGTCACCCTTCTGAAATTGGGTACTGAGGAACCTCACTTTGATGGAGCAATGGAAGGATTTTCTAGCAAAGCTGCTGATGAATTAGTTTCACCCCATGAGATCCTGCCAACTCCCCTCTCGCCCATGGAGACTCAGTTGTCTCCCTCATCTGGTGAAGGACCTGGTTTGCACATGAGCTTCACAGAGTCTCCCTGGGAAACAATGGAATGGCTGGACCTCACACCACCAAGCTCAGCCAATGGTTTTGGTTCCCTTACCACTTCAGGGCCCAGCATCTTCAACATTGATTTCTTAGATGTTACTGATCTCAACTTGAATGGCACTATGGATCTGCACTTACAACAGTGGTGATGAAAGTAAAGCTTAAGAATGGAGAGGAAACCTACCACAAGTAATTTCCATGGAAACAATTAAAAGACTATTTCAGAATGCTCTGGAATAATCCAGAGAGAGCAAAAAGAACTGGAGACATTTCCCCCAGGACATAATTTATCTTTGCATCATCAATGGATTCAACCAAATGACTATTTCCTTTTCCTGCTACACTCAAAATAAAGAATCCTTCATTTCTAATACAAATTCCTCCTTACCCTTTGTAAGCAAATCCAATTGCTTATTATCAATTCCAACCTCTTCCAGGAGATTCTCTATGCAAGACAACTGTACATTGCCCAAACTTGTCAGTATTAATCCTAACAGGTTTATCAAACTATATGACTCTGTTATGGACATATTTGTAGATCCAATACACTGCTCCTTGGGAATCCTTGCCCTTCATGCTTATCATATATATATATATATGAACAGTTTTACTGGGGATTCCCACCCCCCACTCCTTTTCAAGTCATCTTGCTCAGATCGTCAACCTTTTACTATCAATTTTCAAAACTGAAATAATCTTCCAGTGTTTCCCTGAATATTTCTCCCTCTTTAAGTTTATTTATTCCTCTTGTTTTCTCAGTTTTAAAGATACATGCAGCAGACCTGAAGTAATATGACTTATTCTATAGTGGGCACTCTCCTTGGAAAAGATTTCAAAATGGAACAAGAAAATGTAGAAATAAGAGGTCTTTAATTGAGAGTAATTGGAGGAGAGCCTCCATGGCCCCATCAATGTTCTGCTTTAAAGGTACATTCCTCCTTTAATAAGTACTTGTCTCATTTTTTAATTTTTTTTATTAAATTAAAATGTAAACACATATATATATGTATATAATTTGAGATACATAAAAGTTATAACAGATCAGTACGTAACTAATATTAATCCATCATTCAAAATCTTTGAAACATTTGACATTCTGAACATAAATTTTGTCCGTGACCCATAATTAGAAATACCGAATATCCATATCATCAACAATAAATTCACCATAAGCAATAGAGTCTTCACCATTTATAAGATACAGAAGACAGGGAAGATAAAACCTTTGAATTCAGAAATCTCTATTCTTCTTCAGATCTATTCTTATTGGGTTGCCATGTCTTTATGAATGTTCCAAATAGCTTTATTCAGTAAGTCCCAATGTTTTGTTGTATTGTCCTCTTACTTCAGTCTCTTTTATTTTGAATTATTTGCATATATTATTTTTGCTGCCATTATGGGGCAAAACAACAACCATATCCTAGCCTTTTGGTACCGCAGATCCTTAAAGCACATGAAATGAAAGTAAAATTAGAAGAAAACCTGTCTTAATTTAAGACCAGAAATTGCTTGGTGTGGAACAGTACAATTTCTGTCTCAGCTATTACATTTTGTTGTTGCTCTTGTTTTCTCACTTTAATTCATTTTTCCCTGAGAGGTCTACATACTGCTTAAGCTGAGATGTGTTCTGTATAAGTGGAAAAGCAGTCTTGCTGAATTTCTTTGATTTCTTCACTTTACTGCAACTTCCCATGCTTCATATCTTGTCATTCTAGAGCAGTGGTTCTCCACCTGTGGGTCGGGACCCCATTTGGGGTCGAATGACCATTTCACGGGGGTCACCAAACCATGCTGTCCGCCATTTTTTTCCCTTTTCCCTAGCTGTCCTACTCCCTCTTATTGGTGGCCACACCCACTTGGGGGTCACCACAACATGGGGAACTGTATTATGGGGTCACGGCATTAGAAAGGTTGAGAATCACTGTTCTAGAGGATCCATCAACCCTCAAAATGCATCTCTGTGGGTTAATATCAAGTAAGGGAATAAAATCAGGAAAGCAGCAGTCTGCAAGTAAAGTTCCTTTTGGTTTTATCTGGATCCAAACCCATTGTATTAATACTACATTCATTTCTAAGTTTTCTAAGTGAATAATCTTGCTGCTGTCAGGATGATAAAATAGTGGATTGTCCACATCTTCAGAAATCTTGGTAGCTAGTTTTGGAAAGAGATGACTGAAGCTGTGTTTTTACTTTTCACTAATTAATACAAACAGCTCCAAAAACGCCTTTCAATAAACAAATTGTTTTCCCATGACTAGTGAAAGGCATTACTTCTAAGTTCTTCTTCAACCCAGACTTAATATTATGAATTACAAATCTTATCATACCTAGCCACGACAGGCAAAAGTTGCAGGTTATTCATATTTAGTAAATTCTGAATTAATGGTAATAGGTAGCATATAAATTGGATTAAGATCCCTATATTTATTCAAAAACATCCAAATCTTTAGATAACACAGCCTCACTTTGTGTATAGGTGTAGGTTCTGATGCTTTGGGTCCAGAGGATTCCAACTTTCCCTTAGTCCCATCCCATTTTCCTGTCATTCTTCCACTACAGACTGTCTTACTCCATAGCATTTCTCTATCCTGAATCACCAGAAATCAGTCAATAATAAATAAAATGTCTCATTACTGTTATTTTTCCAATATGGCTGTGCTATAAAAAATGTAACTGATTTGAACAATGGCAACCCCTGATAAGCTATAACTTTTGTTTTGATATTTACCCATTTCTTTTTCATTTTAATCTCCTTTTATTTTAAGAGAGTACGAAAGTGGGAGGGGGGGGAACCTTGACTGGAAAAAAAACTGTTTTAATATTGCTTCTGTCTTGCTTAGACTTAAGTGAAAATAATTTAGTTTAGATAATGTTCCATTCGTGGCCTTTGATATGACAACCTCATGCCTACATTTCAGTATTTCTTCCAAAGAATGATCTGTGTTATATGATACACTTTGTGAAACAACAACAAAAACTATTTTTAATCTAATCTCTATCTCTATATTACTTTGAATAACTTTCAATAATAGCTCCAAATATAAATTCAGTTTGGAGGATAAAAACAGCTTTCTGTCATGTGCCAATCCAAATTGGGCAGTTTCTCATTAATGAAAAGTTTATTTTCCATTATTTGCTTAAATTCTTGTTTTCGTTAATGCAAAAATATTGAATGCAAATTTCCCTGCATTCAATATTTTGTAGGTTTGTTCTCAGAATGTTTTTATAATTATCCATGTCAGTTGAGAACTGGAAAAAAAATGTTAAAACATCTCTAGGATTTAATAATTTGGAACATGGGTATCCTGCATTTTTATAAACAAATCATCCAGAAGACATATCTTTCAGAATTAACCTTAAAATAAGTTGCAATTTGTCTGATCATTTTTCTCTATAAATATCATCTCTCACTAGGACTTCACTCTATTTCAGTTATGCTTATTCTCTTGTAAATGGATATTAGCTATTAAGCTATTATGTCATTTAAAAGTCTACACTTGCTTTTTCAAACCTACATCAGCTGTGTGGAAAGTCATTCTTCAGTATTTTTTCTGAAACGTTTAAAAATCAGGTTGCTTTGATTTTTTATTCCAAAAAGGGGAGTCTTGCTAATTCACTGATTCATTCTACATCCCTTGAAATTTAAAGCATGCATAGAATATGTTGTACAGTCTTAATAGTAGTTCCATATTCATTATTTAAAGAATTTTTATTCACCATCTTAGCTGTCTGCCAAATATACTTTTTCTTTCTTTCTTTCTTTTTCTATTTAATTAAAAAAGTGGCCAAACTATTACTGTTTTCCTGCAAAAGACTAAAATGTCTTTGGTAATGGCATTTCCTTTAACAATTTGGTCCTAAATATATCTTGTTAACTTAAATGTTTTTAATTTAACTATTAATTCATAAATAAAAAACAAATGTATACATAGGCAATGATGGGTAATATATGGAAGAAATATTTAAGGAAATGTCAGTTTAGGAAATTCCTATGAATTTAGAGGACCAATTATTATAATGTAATATGTTTATAATAATGTAACGGAACACAGTAAGTTCAATAATGTGACTTATTCTCCACATACATAAGATAGCCAGGGTGGCCCAGGGGCTAAGATGTTGAGCTCGGAGCAAAGAGAGTGAGATTCCACTTCACCTTCATCACCGATGCTTCCTGGGTGACTTTGGACCATCACTCTCTCTTAGCCCAACTGGTTTCATGGGGTGGTTGCTATAATGGGGGGGGGGGGCAAATAATGAATGCTAGCGCTATACATCCATCAATTTGTATCCATCTTGAACTACTGAATAACAAGAACAAAGGAGAATGAAAAAGCTACAAAAGCAATTCATTAAATAAGCAAGTAAAAGCAACTTTTTTAAAAAAAACCCAGTCCTTCTGGGATGCACTTTATTTAGATCATTTCCTCAGCAACTCTTTTTGAGTATCTGCTAATAGTTTCCCTATCTACATAGTAAGATAACTTCTTATCTTAGACAGGAAGGAAAAACAGATTGTAGAGACATTCCATGATAGGGCTATCCTATCTGGTCTGCAACCAGTCAAGACTACCATTATTTAGCTAGTGGGCACAGGGAGAAATGTGCTGCAATCCTTGGAATTTTGCAGCTCTGCTCCTCCACTGACTGTTTTGAGTGAGCAAACTTAGTTCACTAGAATTCTAGCATCGGCACCAAACAGCCATGAAAGGAGCAATCCCACTTTTTATATTTTTTAAAAGTCTAACATTCACCTCAGGTCCCTTCAAATGCCTACCAAGTGTCTCCCCAATGCTTGACACATACCCAAAGTTGCTGCTCTAGCAGCTCTGTCAGTCCAATAGATTTGGAATGATGGCCGTAAGAGTATCTACTGGGTGTGGTAAAAAATGACAAAAAAGGGGGGGAGCCATGTTAACTTTTTTGAGCACATCCTGCAAACACTTTTGGATGAGTCCATCTTTGCTTTGCCTCTTCCCCATCTAGAGTACAAGTGGAATGTACCGCTATCCTAAAATATTCTATTTTAGGATAGCGGTACAAAAGTAAATGTAAGTTCCAACATCAGTTCCTTCTTTTTCCTATGACAAAGCAACATTTTTAATTCCTAGAATTACAAACGATAGGAGTACATGTATATGTAGAGAGTGTGAAAGAGAAAGATACGTATCTTTCAGTAAAATTGTGGTGAAGATTTTTGATGTTTAGTAAGAATATCCAGGACATTTGGAAAGTATTTTAGCAGCAGAAACAAGTGTCAATAAACCAAGTGAACATTCCTAACCACCGAGATATTGGTTTGTATATCTCATACATTCTTTCTTTATCAGAGATAGCAAAATAGGCAAATACCATATAAAACGATTGCAGAATTTAAAGCAATATTAAATAGGGTTGTGCACTGAAAGCTGTCAATTTGTATTAGCATGTAGACATTAGAAGACAGATGAACCAGGATATTTTCCATACAAACACAGTTTTAAGCACCATGGCTTATGAGTAATGCTATTTAAACTCAGAAAATAAAATGTGTATGTTGGACAATGACACATTAGTCTGTGAATGCAATTTGATACAATAAATCTGTATGCAGCATCACTCAGCTATCCCTCACATGTGTCAAAGAGCAAAACCTAGAAAATAGTAAGAATGATTTAAAAAAAAAAAAAAAAAAAAGCTAGGACAAATGTGGGCTAATTAGATTGAACTGCAGGAGACCTAGCTGTAAGTTTCCAGGACCAAAATTGAACAAAAATAGCAGTGTTCTTTGCACTAATGCAAAATTTCAAGAAATTTCAAGGAATAATAAAGCAGATGCATTTTATTTAAGCTTTAGCATAAGCAACATTTTAAACCAAGCAATACTATGTATTGAAAGGAAAGCAAAAACAAGACTTTCCACACTTATTTTCATTAAAAAAAATCCTTTTTTCCTACTCCCAAGGAAAATAGCCCTTCTCATCCATCACTCCAAGTATATTTGGAGCTACATGAAAACAAGAGGTAGTTTTGTAGGGTAAAATCATTTTAGCATCAACACATTTGTCTGTCTTCTATCCCAATCCACTGAAATTCAGTTTAAACTGTTTAATTCAGTTTTCCTTCAAGTTGTCACATGCTTTATTTCCTGAAACAATATACATTCTGACTAGTATCTTTCTTGTTTTCTTACATGCATCATTCATTGTAGCAAGTTGAAGGCATCCTTTTCCTATTTAGTTTTTGCTAATTTTAGACTATGTGCGGAATGATTATGCATAAGAAACAAAACATAAGACAAAGACAAGGACATTCAACCTTGTCCAATAATTGCATTATGTTGTTAAGAATAATGGAAGTAATAAATCAAAACTCCAGATAGAACTTTAAAGGCAGTCAATTTGGCTCGAATCCACCCTCCTCCTTCATATGATTTCATCTACGGTGAAGGTAAATTTTATTTTATGTCAGTCACTATCCATCTTGATGTAAAAATCATTTTGTTTCAAATCAAATAATCAGTTGACCAGTAACGCCCCGAAACAGGCTTAAAAGTCTCAAGAATACCTCAAAAATCTTGATTGTCTTAAACCCAGACCAAAGCTAGATAAGTCCCACTCAAGCAGCACAGTCCCATGCTTTTCTCTTTAGATATATGAAATTGTAGGAATAAGGGTATTTCTATCATCCTTTATTTGGTCACAGAGCAGAGGAGTGTTATACTATTTTTTCAAAAGCAATTAGATACCAGTCAAGTGAACCGATAATCATTGCTGGAGTCTTTGGAAAAAATAGGTGCTATAGGCAGCTCTGTGTGCTTCAACAATGCAAAAGACTTGCTCATTTCTCGCCTTGAGTGAAAATGTTTGTCACAGCACTCTTCTTGTTATGTGGATTCTCTGGTGGAAAAAACTAACAACATTTTCACAGAACGAGGTACATGCCCTGCATTCATACTGAGTGAATAACACAGAGTGATATCCAGATGCAATCAGAGCTGACCATCTCTTCTGCCTCGCTCATTTTTAAAGTCTTCAAATAGAGGACAATACAAGACATTGGCCATTGGTGCAGTGCTTCATATTTCAAAGATCTAACTTTGCAAATAAATAAAGCCTATTCCCCACCAATCAACCTTCTGATCTGTTCCTGAACAGTAAGTTTACTATATTTCAAGCAATAGGTGATATTTGAGGAGAAATACATTTATCAAGAAACCCAATTCAACCCTTAGTAGTTCTTTAATTGGTCTTTCTTACTAGAATCCAGTAAGTGCTCTTCTGCTGTAAGATCTATGCAGATCATTTTACCGATTTTCCATAATTGAACAGAATATTATAGGATATAGCATTTTTGTGACAGATGGGATGGTGGTGTCCTCGAGTGTGCTTCCACTACTAATAGTTATGTAGATGAGATATGGTACATACATGTGTAAAAATGTACTTAAAACACTGTTTTAATCTTGGTGCTGTTAGGTATGTTATAGTTTTTTTTAATATGTATATATAAACTTCTTAAAGAATCAGCAGCGCTAATTATTTGATAGTACAAAATTGCATAGTGATAAATTTGTCAAGGAAATCAAAAGCATCAGGGGAATAGATGTTTAAAATAAATATATTTGTATATTTATTAAATAACTCTAAAACAATTCAAAGCTGTTCCATGCTTAAAATCTAATGGAATGCTAAACTATAATTCAATGTTACAAATTCATTCAAGGCATCCATGAAAAATGCTGTGTTCAGAAACTATACATGTCTATGACAGTTACAAAACTTTGGTTTGATTTGTATGGGTTCACAAAGGTTTCCTCCAATGGGATCATCAAATGGAATGAAGAGAATTTATTTCCACTTCAGTATGTAAACGTTATTACATTTAACCTAAAGAGCTCAGAATGAACATTGGGTAACTGCTAAAGAAATAGATATCTATGATCTAGATTCCTATTTAGCTTTGTGTTTTGACAAATTACTTAAGCCACCATTCCTGGTATGCAAATTATAACCCAGGATTGAAACCACAATTTCTGGTTTAGATTTACAAGAGGAAGAGGAGATATTTTCTATATTTTATTGTGAAGAGCTGGAAAACCCCATTTTAGGATATTTTAGAAGAGTGTGTGAACCCACCCATGAAAAGGATCGGTTCACTAGGTATCTTGCAATACTGGTCATCTATTACTACTTTGGTTTTTCTCAAAAATCTAGACACAGAATCCAGAAGGTTCTGTGGAAGGGGTGGTAAACAAAGAAAAATCCATTTATATTTGTCATTCCTATTTCTTTTAAGCTTTGTAAAAATGAGGATTGGAACCTAAAATTCATTGTTTACCAAATGAGTGTACCTATTGGATTTGTTTGGAAATCATATTTGTGTGTGTATCATCAGCATATAAAGGACTGTGTGCCATCAATATCTTCATGAGGAAGATCAACAGAATGTCTGTAGACCTCACTCTCTATAAAACTATGGCCTTGTTAAGATGACTAACTTCAGTGGCTGAAATAGGATACAAGTTAACAGTTGCTGCATGTTAAAAATGTTAACTGTCTGTAAAAATCACTATTTAACGCATGGGTTTTCGATTGTACAAGTGTTCACAGTGCACTAGTAGCCAGAATATTCTTTCACGTGCTTATTTTTCTTTAGTTTTTAATATTAATATGCAAAGAAGTTTGAAGCCATTCCAATGAGACATTTTAAATAGCACTTGAATCCAGAAGAGTTTTAGGTGCTACACTGTTGTGCGGTACAGAACTTTAAAGCCAGCTTTATCCTTATTTAAAAGGATGCTGTTAAACTACAAAAAAAAAAAAAAAAAAATCACACTGTAAATAAATACACTGCTTACCTCTGTGACCAGCACTGCTGTACTTATTAAAAGAATCCTGTGATGTCACACTGAGTTTGTGTTTTAATGTTATTTTGTCATGTCAAGTCTTAATAGTACGTGCTGTTCTGTTTCCATATAATATTACTTTAATTTCTTCTGTAGCCTATCCAAATGACTCAGAATGGATTTTTATGTTCACCTTGAAGGAAGACAACTATGTTTATTGCTGGTAAAAAGACTGGACTGGAAAAATCCTCATCTGACTCCACTACTATTTTGTCAGTGAATCTAAGAAAAAGTATACATTTAAGGAGAAGTTATTCAGGAAAAAAAAAAAAAAAACATTTCTTAGTATAGTCCTAACTGGCAGGCCAGTCACATCAGTTTCAATTCTCTGAATGCTAAAGGAAAATTAGAAATGTGGTTAATTCCTTTACAATTTTTCTTTTTAATTTTCCCTCTTTCCCTGCCCTCTTCCCCATTCCTTATATAATAAACCTAGGCTTGGATAAATGAATTAAAATGATTTTAGTGCCCTTCGTTGAAACCAATTAACAAAATGAAACCCAAATCAGATATTGACAGATGGAACAGTAGTGTTAAATGGGATTTTGATATTAAAGAGTAAATCACACATGTAAATAATAAAATGAAAAGTAATTGGACTTTTCTCACAATGGTGGGATGTAACTAATGCTGACATAGGACCAGTAGTTGTTTTAATATGTTTATAAATTATATGGAATTGGATGTGAAAAAGCCAGATTTGCTGGTAACATTAGTCAAAACAATAAAAATTTTGGGTTATAAACAAAAAATAAGCAACTGCAAAGAGTTCCACATTAGGGGAGTAGGCTTCTAAACAGCAGATGTCATTTAATGTGGACAAGTGAAAAGTTATGTATGCTGATGTCAAAAATCCCAACTATGTAAACAAATTAACAGGACCAGAGTGAGCAGTGACAATGAATATGTCGACATAGTGACATCATGAAAGGCATCCAACAAGAAAACGCTCAGTTCCATCTAGTTGTCCCGACTCTACCCTGAATTAGCAATAGAAATAGCACTTTGACTTATCTATTGCTCCACGATGTTCTACATCCCTCCCTAAACGGTTTACTGAGTCAGCCTATTGTCCCCAACAATCTGGGTTCTCATTTTACTGACCTTGGAAGGATGGAAGGCTGAGTCAATCTTGAGACGCTTAAAATCAAACTGTTGGCAATCAGCAGAATTAGCCTGCAATACTATGTTCTAACCTCTGAGTCACTAGGCTCTGAGAATTAAGAGATTACAAGGTCATAAAAGGGAATTTTAGCATGCATCTGCTGTATAAAACCCCCAACATGTCAGGAATAATAAAACTGGTATTCAAAATAGGGATGCCAGTATCATAATGCCCTTCTGTAGATCAATGATGTGACCACAAATGAAATATTGTGTGCAGTTCTACAAGTAGTCCTTGCTTAGCCACTGGTTGCTTAACAACTATTTGAAGATATGCAATGGACTGCAAAAAACATAAAGACTCATCTTCAAAATTACAATTTTTGCATACATCTGTGATCACAAGATCATGTTTTGGGTGCTTGGAAACCAGCTCACATTTACAACTGGTTGCAGTGTCCTGGAGTCATATGACTGATTTGTGACATTTTTTTAACTGGTTTCTGGCAAAAAAACATGTATTTGCGAGAATGGATGCAATTAATAACTACATGGTTCATTTAACTATCATGGTGACTCACTTTATGACCACTGTAAAAATGGTTGTAAAATTGAGCCATAGAACGTGGTGATCAGCTTACCAACCCCAAAGACTTATGACAGAAATCCCAAGCTCAGCTGTGATCATTATGTAGGAACTACCTGTAATTGCCATATTTCAGATACATTGTGGAGAAAAGAAGTTTCAGAAATGGGCAACTTGCAGGCTGGAACACTTTCCTATGAAGAACAATTGTGACGTGAGGCCTTTTAGATTAGACCAGAGGTAAATGAGAAGATACATGATTGAGGTATACAAAAAATTATGCATGGTGTGACAAGATGCAAGGGGACTAGAAGCTATTTCCCCTTCTCAAAAGTACTAGAACGAGAGATCACCCAATGAAGTTGAATCCTGGAAGAGTCAGGAAATATGGGGAAAGAAAGTATTTTTTTTTTACATAATGCATGATTCAACCTTGAGATTCACTACAATGCTGACTACCAGCTTAACGGGCTTCAAAAAAGATTTGGACCAATTCAAGAAAATCATGGGGATCAATGGCGATTAGCCTCAATGGCAATACAATTGCCTCTGAAGACCACCAACTGGAAGATCAGTGAGCTTTCTTGGACAGTTGGTTGGCCACCATGAGAACAGACTGCTGATGGGCCAGGAGTCACATCCAGGAGTACACAGCTTATGCTCTTATGATGCCACTGCCGAAATAGTGAAGTTTTGGGATACATTAAAAATATGCATAAGAAATGACTAGACCACTCAAGCAATACTCCAGGTCCCAGTTGCAATAGAAGTTAAGTAATCATGATTATTTAGGTGATGCATCAGCAGAAATGGTTCATGAGGCAAGGACAAATACCTGTTTAAAATACATCAATGATCAAATAGAGCTTATGGTTTTTGTTTAAGATGGGAAAAGAATCACCTTAGTTCCGCCATCTATTTTATTTTTTTTCTTTTCAATAAATAGGGGAAACTGGCCAGAGAAAGGTGGCATTTATTGATTTCCCCATTGCATACCTGACCTTATAATAAAAATTAACAAGGTCTACGTTGCATCTTTGATTTATTACAACTGACCTGCAGGCGAAAAAAAAATAGAATTATTACATTAAACACTTTGATTCCATGTAGAATATCTTAAATAGAACAGGAAGTCAATTCAGGAAAAGATAAAATAGTTGGAAGCTTTTAAAAGCCATCATGTTGTGAAACTCCATTTTACTTACAGACGATTAGGCAATATCCCTGCACATCAACTTATCAATAAACTTTTATACACTTTTTGCTATAGTACAAGAAGAAGAAGAAATTAACCAGAGCTCACAATGTACAGTTCTTACACTATTTTCACAGCTTCTGAACACTATACATCTTTATAAACATACACTGTAATATAAATGCTGCACCCTTAATAGTATAATAATATTATTATACAATAATATTATAACAATCTATGATTAATATGCTAGGACTTCCATTGCACTGAGCCTGCGTTGGAAGCTACCTCCATTTTCTGATCAACTGCATGGAAATATTCTGCTTATATAAACAAATAACAGAATTGGGAAATGGGGCTCTATAACAATTATTCATTTTTTTATTTTTTATTTTTGGCAAAGACAAGGAAGAACCAACAGGAAATTGTTACGTAAGGCTGGAAAGCTCTATAATTTTTTTTGCCTGAAAGGACTAAAAAGAAAAATTATTGCATTATTGAAGTCCAAATTCCATTCAAACAATATCTTACTTTTTATTTCATATGTTCTTGCAGAGACAAAGGTTCTTGTTTTGACTGTTTTACCTCTTGAAAGTTTATTAAAGTTGGTAAACTAGAAATATAACAGTTAACTGGCTACAGAAATAAAATTTTGTTTCTGCTGTGTCTTTAAAAGGACACTTCCTTTCCGTTGTCACTTAGAAATTAGTATTTCATCAAATATAGCTGAAAAAATGAATACCGGTTTAATTTTGTATGGCTTTTTTTTTTGTATTGACAATATTAAAATGCCTTGTTCTGTCACTCTGTCCTTTGAAGAATTTAACACATTAATCCCCTTATATTAGCAATATTGATTATATGCCATCAGGTTGGTAATGGCTCAGCAATTTTCTCCATAAGATATATCAACAAGCCATCATAAAAACTGAATTCCATTTTCAGAATAATTCAGTGGAAATTGAATTCTTCATCCAAAGTACATCAAACTAATTAGCACCATTTTGCTATGCTTTTGGAAGTACAAATATTGAATTGCAAGAGAGGGAGGAAGCTTATCTGCTTTGATACTGGGTATCAGACATGAAGCAGAGATCCAAACCACATCAGGAGTTCATTAATAATGTAATTCACAACTGCAGGCCATCCACTGTCCTTTCCAAATGTGAAAGTTAGCCAGCTAATCACCTGGTTACAGTTAGAAATCAGGGGTCACAAGCCAGTTAAATTCCACTGAATAGTTTAATAATTCCTCAGTCCAGAATTTTATGTCACTGGTTAACAGTTTGTAGGATACTAGTTCTGCTGAAGATTGGTTTCTTCGGAAAGTGAAAGAATACATTATTCCTCCTCTCTTGTAAGTTGAATTGTTAGCTCTTTCAACGCACTGAATGTTTTTGGTAAAGAAATAATCCATTTTACATGATCACTCTTTCCTCCCCCAACATTATGAAGTTCTGCTGAGCTGCACTGTTTTAAAAAATATACACTGTGGCTGAAAAGCAACAGAATTTCAACTCAATCTATTGCACTTTGTGAAGAAAAATATATTTATATATATATTTATATATTTATATATTATCCCCCGTTTGCCTTTGCTAGCTCCAGAAGGTAAAAGTAGCTCCATTCGGCTGCACAATTTACTGTCTCCCAGGCAGTATTTTTTACATTTCGAATCAGGCAGACCAACAACTTCCTTTCCTTTAAATTATTTGTAGCAGTTGGAAGAGTTTGAGAATAAAATCCCTCCAGTAGCTGCTGAGAAGTTTCTGAGTTTAGAACTTAACTTTAGGTGCTATCCAATCATGGCCAACAAATAAAATGTTACTTATTTCCACATTTTTATGTATATGTCCACAAAAAGAGCAAAACAAAGTCTCTCTTTGACTTGACTCTAACACTGTGAAATCGGATATTACATGGATGCACTTTGTAAGTGACAATGATTTACAGACAGAATGGAGGAGAAACACCAACATTATTGCACATGGTGTCTGGGCGAGCATTAAAACACTGCAATATGGGGTGAAGATTCTGTACATCTTGCTTTCTCTCAGCACTTGCACTACAGTTTTGATATAGCAGCAGTATCAATCAACATACATTGGTGAGCTGGGAGTTGTTGGCATTTGATCCAGGATTTTACAAACATAGCATGCAACATCCACTGTTCGTTCCTCATACATTAGAATGAAGGGATGTTTCTGGAAGAAAAGAGGAACAAAACAATCTCACTGTCAGTAAACGTGATCACAAAAGGTATCTATAGGACGTAAAAATATTCAGTGTTTCTATGTATCTTAAATTCTATGAGCTATTGCCATAATTTCTAAAAAAATTCTTATTAGGAAAAAACAATCCTCAATGGTTTAAAATAGCCATAAAACTTTCAGAATAAGAATCTGTAAAAGAGACATGATTTGACTGAAGCCCTTCAAATGAAGTCTACAAATTATTTAAAATAAACTGTTGTGCAAGTCTATTATCCAAGCACAGAATTTCAATTTTATAATCCAAACCTAGGGGAAAAGATGATTTGTACACCATACAGAGAAGCAACCATCACTTAATTCTATATGTGCAATATAGGTGATATTCTACAGGATGAAAAGTACCAATGTTTCTATTACAGAGCTTCAATCATTCTTCATGACAGGGATCATCTAAACCTTCAGTTAAATTTTGCTGATAGGTTCTTACTCCATACTCACCAGAAGCTCCTTATACTTTGGCCTTTTGGATTCATCCTTTGTAAGGCTAAAAAGATTAATAAAAAAGATTACACATGAAAATGATTGAAGAAAAGCATTTGAGTTAATTCTTGAACAGCACAAATTAAACGAATGATCAGAAACAGGTAATTCTAATGTTTTTTGACACATATTCATTTTTCTGCTAAGTTTCTATAACCTATAGACCAATGATGGTGAACCTTTTAGAGACCAAATGCCCAAACTGCAACCCCAAACCCACTTATGCATTATCGAATGCCGGATGGGTGTGGCCAATTGGGTGAACGTGGCCAATTAGGTGAGTGTGGCCAATTAGGTGGACATGGCTGCAGTGATAATGGCAGACTGGATGGGACTAAAAAGTTCAATCAATCAATTCCAACTTTGCAAGATCTTTTTTTTTCCGTGAGAAGTTGAAATTGACTCATTGATTAAACCTTTTTTTTTTTTTTGCACACGGCAGCAGAGGCGTAAAGTGAAAAGGTTTATAAAACCCAGCTCAAGGCCTAGGACTGGGGCGACGGCGTGTGTGCCCAGAGAGAGGGCTCTGAGTGCCACCTCTGGTACCCGTGCCATAGGTTCACCAACACTGCTATAGACTATTACTTGTTTTCAAATTCTATCCTCACGAATGCCTTAAATCTGTAGCACTCATATATCTGTGCTTCCTTTTTTCTTCCTTCCAAGCCTGTTCTAACCCCTTAGAAACAGTTTTTTTTAAAAAAGACTCTATTATATTAGCTTATCCTGTCAAAATACCAATAATCAATAATTAACAGTTGATCAATAATCAGACAGAACAAAGCTGGAAAATAGGGAAAATAACAGCTTCTTTTTAAGAGAAAACCTTGGACTTTCCCAATGCTACAAAATAAATAATATCACTTTGTTAAAGCTTTTCTATACATCAACTCCTGCAGCCCATTAAGAATAGCTGTATTGTAAAAACAACATTTACATGAAAACCAGCAGGAAGAGCCATTCTATCCAGATTGAAACAGTTTAAACAGTTTAGTTTAACAAGCTAAGTTTCAGTTTAGTTTAATAAGCTACTAAAAAACTCTCTTTATGTGAGCTGTTCCTTCATGTCAGCAAAAGAAATTATAACTGACTTTAGCTTTCTGTAACACACAAAGTGAAAAAAGAATTGCCTATGCATTTCAATCAACATGAACTTGTGATTGACAAATGATTGTGATTAACTTATTCATTCAATTGCAAGATTTATAGGCCACTCCAATCCACCAACAGTGGATAGCTCTCCAATATTGGAAATTATAACCATACAACTATGTCCACATTCCTATGGAACTGCAAACCCTGAATAAATACAGTAACAGCAATAGTAAAAAGGCCTTAAACCGCAACCCAAGAGGAAATCACAACTGTTCTCTCAGTTTGATGGAACAATCAGATTTTTGTCAATTTTCTAAAAGCCAGGAGGGTCAATTGAGTATTTGCGGAGTGCAGTTCCAAGGGAAGGGTTTGCAACTGAAAAGACGTGTATGTGGCCCCTGATGGTCACAATCTCTTATCAAGCAGACATATAGTGAGCCCACCCTACTGAATCCTATCATATCCTGGGAGATGGTGGTCCCACAAATCCAGAAAAGGTTTAATGACAACCAGCACCTTGAATTTCACCTGGAAGCAAAGTGAGCAATCCAGTGCAGTTCTTGGAGTAGAGGTGGGATTGGCAACAGAATGAGAAAATGTTAAAGGAAGAATTTTAGAAAAGATTGTTTAGTTCTAAGAAAGCATAAGAAATTCAAAACAGCCCTGCCTTGATTTTGTTTATTGTGAGACAGAGTAAAAAGAAACTGCTACAAAAGCTAAAATAGCATCCATATTCTGGTTTATTTAAAAGCCAATAAATAAAGCTCCAGTTTGACATAAGGAGAACCTATAGTTTAACTGCAGCTTCCTAGGTTTTGCCCTTTGTGTGCAACGGAATTGTGAAATGGGTTTCAAAAAACAGTTTAAATATTGCTTATTAAGCCACAAGCTGATGGTCAAAATGTGTTTTATAAAGTGTTTGAAACATTAACAAGAAAACAGACTGACCAAGTTTCCAAACAAACTGTAAAACCTATTTCTGTACTATTGTTCAGAAACTGACATGGATATTTCCATGAAATCATCAGGAGTTCAGCATGTCTCAAAGGAAATTTTATTAGTTTACTACTCAAGTTACACTACACAGAAAGTTCATTAATCTTAAAAATATCTTTCTTCTGCTTTCCTTTTTACATAATTTAAAGTTCAAAAGCAACTTATTTTATCCTTGTCATTTTAAATGTCTGAATTCCTGTTTGGTTTGCAATTATTTTACTGGTAGATTCGATAATATTTCCCATCTGGTATACTAATTTCAACAAGACTCAGAAACCATTCTATCTCCAATATATTGTAACAAATGCATTGCAAAGCTGCAAATACAGCCAGTAGAAGAAGTCTATCAATTCTTGTCACTAGATACTATAGCAAAGGTAGGCAGTACAATGTCATCCAAATATTTTGATTAACCCTTATCAATCTTAGTGAGCAGAGTTACTGACTTGGAACAGTGGAAAAAATAGGCTACCCTATTGCCTACGCCAGGGGTAGGCAACCTTGGCTCTTTTATGACTCATGGACTTCAACTCCCAGAATTCCTGAGCCTACCCCTGGCCTACGCCTTCGGAATGATGTGAATGCGATCAGCACTATTCCACTCCAAGTGCTAGACACTTGTGAGTCCATGCCCAAATGAGCAGTCTTACTTGTTAGAAAATTTTAGGCCCAGCTATAGGGCCATAGCATGCTCTGGATAGAAAATTATTATCTCCATTCACTCCTGTTTAGCATATTGTCTCAATCAGAACCTTAGGTATGGCACACCAATTCATACTTAAAATGAAAATACCTACTCAGTCGTAACACCCCAGATACAGGATTCAATTTTGTGGTTCAATTAGCACAGATCATTCTGTTTACTCAGGACTTATAAATAAGTTATAATAATTTGAGCTTTTTAATTTTAAACCATATTTTTGGTCATGCTGTGAGTTTCCTTCTTGCATTTTATGATCTTTTTTTAAAAAAAGTGTTATTTTACAGGTTTCCTTCCCTTTTTTAAAATTAGCTTTGCAGAAAAAAATATTTTTCAAGGTTACACCGAAATGTCACAGTAAATAAAGACTAGTATTAATTTAAAATCTGAAATTTAACTGTCTGAAGTGATTGGAACACATTACTAAGAAAGGCTTATTAAATAAGTTATAGTTGACTAGTTCCCATTATCATACTTTAAGTGTAAGGCATCAACCATGTTATGCAAAAAACACACTGGTTGGATTTACTTTTGAAAAACAAACATATTTCACCTTAGCATATTATACAAATTTATTTACATAGATATTATAGACGTATACCCTAAACCAGTGGTTCTCATCCTTTTCTTCACCATGGATCCCCTTTAAATACCTGTTGTAGCCACGGACCTTGGCACAAGTTAAGTCCCCAAGACTTAACTCAAGATTTACATTTCTTCAAACCTTCACGGCCCCCCTGTGAGAATAACTGCCCTAAAACATTCATCCAGAATAAGATCAGAATGAGACACACTCACCACAAGTTGACAAAGTTGATAAAACTTTGGGAGAACTCCCGTTCCTCTGAGTTGCTCAGTTGTGGTGGATCTCCTTTGACCACTTGTGTCAGCTGATCAAATACACTATTCCATTTAGGATAGGGAAAACGTCCTGTGGCTAACTCATACTGCAGCAAAGAGACAGCACAAAACACACAGGGCGAATTATTCAACACAAAGTTCACAAAAATAGAATCAGTTATTGCTGCTATTGTTTATTGTACACTATTCTTCTTTCTGAAGGAGCTGGGTGAGGGATATAATGTAATACAACAGTTCTATAACAATTATAAAACACAAATCAAAGCATTCCAGCTGAGACAGTAAGCGAACTGCAGATCTAACACTCCTAAATAGTTAAGAGTAAAGATCCGGGCAATTATATCTACTATGAATGACGAAACAAGTATTTTAAGCATTATGTTAAGCTTAGTCATTTGAAGGTTACCTTCCTGTGAAATAAATTCAACAATTCACTATAAATAAGGTAAAAGCAGCAGCAGTTGCATTATTAGTGAAACTACAGATCATCACAAAGTATGGTAAGCCAGTACAAGGGAAATGAACTTTTAATAGTTTACATTCTAAGTTACTGAGGACATGATATACAAGTAGTAATCCCTTCAGTTGTGCCTGGGAGATCATACTTAGCCATTCCCATTAGAATGTGTGCATTCTGTATAAACTGTAGCTTTGTGACAATCTTCTAGTATAGCTTCGCACAAAGTACATAGCCTTGATTCAAGAAAAGTCTAGGCTAATCAGTTGAAGCTAAACAGAACATACATTTATTTCTCATAGTCAGAGATACATATATAAAAATTTATACTAATGATGAAAAGGTTAACGTTTCATGCTCCTTCAAATCTGCCACTGGTGCTGACCAATGATTTTAAACTTTCTCATTAGACAGGTACCCCCATTCCATTTATGCTAAAAAGACATGGCTTTCTACTCTTTACACAAGCAATGATTTTATATGTCCACTAGGGGGCAGCAATACACGGTACAGCAAAACTGAAAAAATGGACAAAGAAGCCCAAGTTATGTACTTATGAGACGTTTGAATAGACAGATATTTTATCTTTTTAAAAGCAACACCTATCTGACTTTTACATTTCCCAAACCCTTCTATCATTTCATAAGCAGATTTAAGAACTTCTCTTCAGCAACACCCATTATTTCTTACCAATGTAATCCCTAAGCTCCACACATCAGAACGGACATCATATCCTTGCCTGGATGCACTAGGGTCTATCCTCTCTGGCTGAAATAAGATAGGAAAAAAATCAGGTATAAAGGAAAAAGATCAAATGTATGAAGAAATGGTATAAAGATTACACAGTGAGATGGAGGTAAGATTTCAGGTTAACATCAACATTTCCCTCATCAAACATCACTTTAAGGAAGAACAAAAACCAAACAGAGGTCTAGAATCTGGTTAGCAATTTCTGGGCTCCGTATGAATTGTGCCAGTTCAGCATAATTTGATCAATTGTTTATACATCAACAATTTGATACAACTAAGCATACTTCAGGCCTAACTACATGTCAAGCATTTCTTAAAACTGATGCTTAAACCGAGTCTCTAGTTGCTTGTATAATTTACGACACAACCTGGTAAGAAACCAATGTGCTTTTAATTCAGATCAGGAGCATGCTCTGAAAAGGGAGTGTGAAGCTGTTTTTTGTTCAAAGCAAATTTAGGCACATTTTTAAGAGTACTTACTATCATACTAAAGTTTGGACATTCAAGGCGCCTCCATCTCTTTTCACAGTAAACCTAAATCCTAATTTCCAAACCTATTTCAATGACTCTTTTTCTCTTAAGTGGAAGCAAAGATTCCAGTGATGGTGAAATGTGTCTCCCAACTCTGCACTTCATGGAAATCATCATTCCCTGCCGCCTTCTTTTCATTGTAGAAAGCTTTTTTAAACACTGCCTAGTTAGACCTTTATCCCTCCTGCAAATGTTCCTGGTCCTTTCACTAATAGAGAGTCCAGATTATTAAAGATTATTAAAATATGTGCATGATTTGCTATGCCTCCAAAGCTACTCAGGGATGTAATGTTCTACAACGAGACTGAAATTGTCCCTAGTCTGCACAACAGTGGTGTGCTTTCAGCCCTAGCCATTCACATTTGTGAGATGTTAATGATGTGCTCTGGCCAGAGAGGGCATACTTAAGACACTTAGAAATAAATACAGAATTCTTTTTGTTGCCTGTGTCAAATCTCTAAGAATCGTAATTCACTCAGGGGGTCTTTTTCAAAATTAAACAGAGCTTGTCCCCTAGCAACCATACCGCTACACAATTTACAATTCATATGTGTGTGTAACATTCCCGCTGCCTCTGCAAAACTACTGACAGACAGCTGCAAGAAACCTTCCTACTCTTTCCTATTCCCTCCAAAGGAATTCATTTCAAACCTTTCTCTGGGATCACTATAATCTCATTTAAAGAATGTTATAAATAAGAAACATTCCTGTATTAATGTGCCAGAATTAAATTCTCCATAATCATATGGAGACACTGCTATTAAAACTTCACTGTTTTTCTATTCTCTTAATAATATAAGCAAGTGTGAAATAAAATGTGCTGGACTGCTGTTCAAGCTATCAACTCTTTAATTTCTTCTTTTTTTCCCTTAGGAATATTGGCAAGATCTATATGACACCATGACATTAATTTAACTACAGCAACCTTTGACTGGAGATTTATCTATATAAACTTTTCAACTCCTAATTTGGCAATTCCTGCCATGTATAGCTTAATGTTTGATACCATCCAATAATTTAAGTTTATTAATATATGAAGATTTTGGGCGTTTCACATCATTTTCCATCCCTTCCCTGACCTACAGCCATTTCCCATCTTATTATAAACTACAGGAAAGAAATAACTTGTTGAGGACAAGTGTTCTATTTTATTATTGTTGTGATTTAAAAAAAAATTCTACTGGTTCTGTTCTGGTTCTCCTTCTGCTTTTATGATAATAATTCTAGGTCTAGGTTATGTTTTTACAATTTTAGAATTGGAGACCATTTTGAAAACCCTCCCAAAATCCAGGGAGAAATAAATTAAATAAGAACATAAATGTATACAGTTTGCTTATCCACTAGATCCCTATGAATATATTTTGGAGGTGAGATAATCTCAATACCTCTGAGTCTCATAGTCCATTAAGAATGCAGAGAATGTCTGGGTAGCAGGTCACACAAGAAAGTGGCAAACAATGGACTTAACAACAATAGAACTAGGTAATAGTTTTGCCTACTGGCAAGAATAGGATAAGCAAACTTGAGGGTTGAGCAAGGCTTCAAGAATTCCAGAAATCAAGGACAAATGAAATGAATGAAAGGTGCTTTGCTATAACAAGTAATGGAACTGAAGATATGAAACAGTACTTCAAGCAAAGCTAAGGGCATCTATTTTGCCCCTTATCTCCCCAAAATGTACAAAATAATTCCCTAATATTTTATTCCCTACACTCTCATGGTTACAAAACAGAAGGTGGTGGGCTGCATGTGGTGTCTAGGCTGTAATTTTTACATTTCCAGCTTGGGGGCTTGCCTTGCATATATTCCTTGCTCTGTCAAATGAGCCAACAGATCCAAGTTATCTATCCAACAATTTAGGCAATTAAAACTGACCCAGGGATTCGTCCTGGATACTTATTATCATTCTACATATATTAAAAAAAAAGGTTTCATTCTTATTCCCATAAATTTTCGAATCCCACTTACTGCCATGTATGGTCGACATCCAGCATCTCTGGTTTTGGCAATGGAGTCTACAAGTTGTCCACTAATGCCAAAATCACAGAGTTTAATATTTCCATTTCTATCCAGAAGAATATTGGAAGGTTTAATATCTGAAAGAAATAAGACATAGTTATGAAGTCAAATTCTAGTTAAAATACTTTTAATTTCAATCTACTAAACTACAAGAAACAATATCAAGATGTTGTTTGTGTCTTTGCTGGAGAAATCTGATGTCCTCTATCCTCTCTCTACCATACGTAATCAATATTGTGTGCCAATATTGGGGGAAATGGGTGAGCAATACCGAAAGTTGTGTGTATAAATTTATTCTATTCTTTATCTGAAGTACTCTTTATGAATGTAATGAAAAATCGAAAATAAATTTTTTTTTTTACAAAAAAAAAAATATTGCGTACCAAACATTTGGAATTTGCAACAGATATTTCAAAGTTGATACGGCTTTTTCTAATCCCAACATCCCAATTTCAACTCTGTTTTGGTCTCACCAAAAGTGTTCTGAACTCTGAGTGAAACATTCCAAACATGGAATGTTTACAATCAAACTATTTGATGCACCCCGTTAATAAGCTCTGATAGAATGTGGGCAAAAACACATTATTCATTATTCATGGCTAGTGAGAATCTGCAAAAACTAAGTGATAGGAGAATTTACTAATATCTATTTTCTTAAATCTTTTTTATATTTAATAAATATGATAGAAGGAATGCACCCAGGAGATAGGTTAGTAAGAAAATGTTCACCAAAGCATCCATGTTTCTTCGTTTTACACATTCATTCCAATAGTAATTGCTCCTGCTTTTCAGTTTATAGCTTTATCTGCTATGGGCAAACAGTTTGTTCTTGTTTGGGCTCTCTCTCACACATACAAATTGAAATTATAGTTTTTAATGAAAATTATGCAGCATAAAAGCAAAATATAATTTTATGTACATCAGGAATTACTAGGTGTTATTTTTAACCCACATATGAAGGCACATTGTGAATCTGAAGGTCAACATTAATTCCACTAAGTGATGGGTAAAGTATTTGCTTTTTTTTCATTAGCTAAAACTTGTTCTGAATATATGAGTCTCGTGATATGAAAGGGTAAAAGCAAAGAAAAGGAGATTAAATCCACAATGCCTGCTATTACTTCTTTAACCACAGGAATTGGATTAGAACTTTTAGCAAGTCAAACCAGCACAATGCGCAATAGAGAATGCTGGAAGCTTTAATCCAGACTGGAAAGTTTCAGGCTCCTTGCCTTTGCTTTAAGCAGTAATTTTAGCCAGCATTTTAAGTTTTGTTTTTGGGGGAGGGGCAGTGGGTCATCCAGATTTCCCAAGGATGAAAGAAGGAACTTCTATTATTCTAGCTGATCATTTTGGGCTTCCAATGTAAAGAGTTTCAATGTTATAATCCATGCACTTCACATAATTAATAGTATACCCCGAGAATTGATGTGGAAAATTACAATGTTAGAAATTCAAATAATTTATAACAATTTAAAGCAAAAAGAAAAAAGAAAAAAAAAGAACTATTTTTTAGTTTGGGACCGGAAACTCCCCTGCATTTTGGGAAAAAAAAGCAGTGGGCAATTTTCCCTACTTCCTGCACAGTTCCTTCCAAAAACCAGTCCTTCCTGTTCCAAATGCCCTACTCCTCAACTCTCCAGAGAACCTTTTCTAAGTACTGAACATGGAAACAGAAATGAGCAAATATGTCGACTCTACTAGTGGAAACATTCTTTGGGTGGAATAAAACTGAAAGTATATTCCTGCAATCGATGTGTAAGTAAAAGATCCACACCAGTACAAATAGAAAGAATAGCAGAGTCAAGAGTAAAACAAATAAGAAATGATAGCAGATTAAAAAAAATAAAAGCAATGGGCTTTTAAAATGTTTCAAAATATAAATTGTGCCAGAATTAAATGTCTTAAATTAATGTATAGATACACGCAAGGTCTCTGAAAGGTTCCAAGTTGTAGATATGTTTCCAAAAATCCAGTTTGAAAAGTAAGATGTGTTATTTATATAACAAAAACATACCCAGAGAGGCCTACCTCTGTGAATGATTTTCAAGTTTTCTTTTAAGTGGTTTAATGCTTTCACAGTCTAGGAGAGAAGAGGAAAGTTTTATGGAGTTTTTACTTTAGTCTTATTAATATCACAATTCCAAATCAACAAATGCTTTCCAGAATGTATTTTCAGAAAAATTATAAGGTGGAAATTGAAAAGTATCCCTTCAAAGCCTTAACAATAAAATTTTACAACATAGTTAATAAAATAGATAATTAATTGGAAAGTGCTCAATAGTACCAGTAAAGGAAGAAGAAAGATGAACAAAGGTAGTCCCTTGGGTTATGATACCAATCAGGATCGGAATTTCCATTGTTGAGTGAAATAGTCATCAAACAAAACAAAAGTAGTAACTGAATTACTTATTGACAGCAGCCTTGGTAGTCCAGATTGCGGTCATTAAAATAGGACCACATAGTTTTTGGACAAGAACTTCTGCCCTGAACAAACTATCTTTGTCTCAACTTTCCACAGACATCCATCTTTCTCCTTTGGGTCACCTCCCCAGCCCCCCATGGTCCCCCTAGTTGACCATCTCCATTTTCTTCTTTCCTTTATTGGCATAGGATCCAGGAGCTGGGTGAAGGCATAATCCAGGTCAAACACAGTGAGCACATCAGGAGAGAAAAGCCCCATCTGCAAAAGGAAGCATTCCATGCCACGCTGAGCAGGAGGTAGTGGGTTAGAGCAGATGGAGGAGGCGGGGTAATGGTGTGGGTGGAGGAGACCCTTCCCTCTGTCAGCCCACAGATTGTGGAAAGCATAGTAGGTCAGGATGGTAAAGTGTGCTCTGTCACCAGCAAGGCAAGAGAGGCTGCATCTCCTAAGGTCAAGGTGACAGCTATGTGAGAGACACTCCTTGGGATGACAGTGGAACTGAGGAAGTGGAGGGATGAGGATAGCAAGCATTTGAAGTGTTCCTGAAGAACTGGTCTGAGCAAAGTGTGGTGGTGAGGCTAGCACGGACAGAGCCTACCCACAGGTCCTCTGCCTGCTCAGCCCAGCCTTCCTCCTGCAGTCATTCACGAAGGGCTAGCAGCTTCCAGTATGTTAAAGCCCACAAATCATTTCTGCAGGAGTGCTTCTAGCACACTCTCTGAAGCTTGCTTCAGCACACATTTTGGGCTATGCCGCTGCCAAGATTATAGGCCAGCAGTGGGAGGAAGAAGATGCTGATGGTGAGCAGGGGACAGCGGTGTGTATGTGTGTGTAAACAGCAGAGTGAACAGCAGCCAAAAGGGCAGATATGGGTAGTAGAGATAGGCAGGAGAATGTGACCATGGGATGCTACAATGGTTGTAAATGCAGGCCAGTCACCAAGTGAGCAAATTTTGATTATGCATCTGTGGGGACACGGTAATGACTGAACTTTGAAGACCAGTTCTAACTACCATTCATTCAGCTCTGTTGTAACTTTGAATGATCAGTGAACAAATGGTCATAATCTGAGGACTACCTATAAAAATAATTTTATTACAAAGACAAACCTATTCCTTTAATCTTCAAAGGTCACATGCGACTACAAGTATTCCCTATATTGTCTCAAACATAAAAATATGCTTACAAAACGTCTTTCTTCCTGCTCCCTATTTCCAAACACACTGATCCACTCATTTTTCCTATACATGTTCTGTTTTCCAGGTTAGAGACGGTTAAAATCTCAATATAGCTAGCAACTGTCTGGTGCTTTTCTCAAGTCCACTTAGTCGACCAAGGGATATTTAAACTGTTGTGATGGGAAGTATAATGCATGGAATGACTCTTCTTCCTACTTAAATAATATGGCTTAAGAAACAGTAGCAGGATGATTGTGATGTTTTGAGGCATTTTATTCTATGCACCTTTTTCATCACCCCCATGAACATCATTCAACCTGTCCAACTGTTTGGATCCTTTTCTATGTCAATCAAGAGAGCGTTAAGTAGTTGGTTCAGAATTGCTATGGATAAATTGTTATGACTAAAACTGCATTTATCATTTCTACAAGATTTTCTGCATTACAATTCTGTTCAATCAATCAAACAGCTGACTGGATTGAAGCAGGATAGAAAGTACACACATACATACCATACCCATACTTCACGCAGTGAATTGCAAACAATTTTTTTAGCAAACAAAATAAAAGAAGTCAGAAGAATATCGGAATTCTTTCAGTAATAAGCCTTAAATAAATCGATCCCATTGTTGTCTAGAAGCTGGTTTGGGAAAGCAAAGCAAAGTAAATCAGAAGCATGCACAAAAAAGAGGTGCTTTCAAAGAAAACTTACAGCTAAAGTGATTTTGCCTAGAATTTCTTCTGGAATAACGTCATCTAGTACACTATATACATATTTGTAAAATTTATCAAACGAGGTAGACATGAGCTCCATACAGATCCAACAGTCACCCTAAACAAAGGAAGAAAAAAAGTGTTATTGTTGTTATTGTTAAAGTGATGTTTTGGATGTTTTGCACATTCTATAATCATTAAGGGTAAGCAAGCAGAAATAACATTCTTCAAATGTACTTTCTGAACAAATTCAAAATTCATCTTCTTATTCCTTAAAGGAAAAAGCATTATTTTTTAAAAAATTAGATATTGACTGATAGGTTTTAATGGGTACCGTTTATTTAAATGACACTGTCCTTTAGTTAGAAAAAACAATTGATTTCATTATATGAGGACAATTATATTTGATTCATGAGTGAGTTAAATTTTAATTTATTTCAAGAAAAAGAGATGTTTTCCACTCCATATGGCCTGTTGACTGAATGAAAAGAACATTATACTGTTTGACTTTGTGCCCTAAAATTATATGTGATATAATACCAACGATAACATTATGTTCCTTGGGCTTCGGATCTGTTTCATAGCAGAAGGTCATTATCAATAAGCAAGTTTCTATAAAAAGGCGAGGTTGCACAGCTTACCAAACTACTTCTCTACGGTGCTATTACAATGAGAACATTGGACATATATCCTTTTAGATCAGTGGTTCTCAACCTGTGGGTCGGGACGCCATTTGGGGTCGAATGACCATTTCACGGGGATCGCCAAACAACGCAGTTCGCCATTTTTTCCCCTTTTCCTTAGCTGTGCTACTCCCTTTTATTCTATTGGCTTTTGAAAGCCAATAGAATAGACTCTCTTGAATAGAGTCTAATTCTATTGGCTTTCAAAAGCCAATAGGAATTGTCCAGGCTGTCTCTGCCCTGCTGAGCCCGCCAAAAGTCCCATTCTGCAAACGGTGCTGCACCAGTTGAGTAGTCCTCGACTTACGACCAGTTGGGGGTCACGGTATTAAAAAGGTTGAGAACCACTGTTTTAGATACATGGAGTGTCAGCAAAGCTCAATAACTATTAGTTCAATGCCCTGCCCAAAACATGTCCTCCACAAGATGAAGAGAAGAACTCAAGCATTCTTTGGTGGACTAGCTAGAATAATGTTGCAAATCAGGACCAGGAAGGTTGGGTTTCAAGTCACCACTGATCCGGGAGCCTCATAAATAACACTGGGCCAGTTAAAATCTTTTTGTCTAACCTATCCAGTAGGATGATTATAGTGTGAAAGGATGTCATCCAAAGCCATTTGGAAGGATGATTGGGTTAAAATGTAATTAAGAAAATAAAGTTTGAGAATATGGAGCACAAATTCATAATGAACTTTATTTTTGTCAAACACCAAAACAAAATCATATTCTGAAGCTCTTATGTTCAGCTGTTAGAACTAGTCCTGATAATATTTCTCTTGTAGGTACCCCACTTCATGCGATGTTATCCAGAAAGCTTACTATCTTGCCATTTAATTAATGCATGCCATCACCCATTAAAACCTACTGAAAATACCTAAACTTTTGGATGCAAAGCAAGAAAATTCTGAATGCCAACCTCTCTGAAGAGTGCTCCATAAAACTGAACAATATACGGACAGTCACTGCTTCGCATTACTACATCAAGATCCATTAAAAGCTGTTTCTGTTCCTTTTCATCCACTGTTGATCGAATTCTCTGAAAGAACGATAAGGACAAATAATTAAACTCAAGTCATAGGAGACAGATTTTTAAAATATAAATGGATGTTATCAATATGAAATATTCTAAAATGGGAGGAAGTCCTAGCTTGGCAAAGACTTAAATTGAACAGAAAAAAAAATTAAACCAATTATTTAATTTAATCATACAGAATACATCTGTAATCATACAGAATAAAAGAGAGGGAGAGAGAAAAAAATACCACAGATACAAGCTAATACCAGTCAGAACTTATCTTGATGCAAACATGACTTGTTATCTGCAGCAGTGTTGCCCTGCAACACACCCACACGTCTACGTCCAGTGCCCATCGTCTGGTGGGCTCCTCCAATATATCCTTCCTAATAAGCTTCTATTTCTTGTATTTCTTGAAATAAGAAAAATGGAAGCCAGGAGATGCTGTTTCTCAGCTGCATTCTTGTGAAAATCCTTCCCTTACAATTAAAGCATGCACTATTCTTCTCAAACTGCAGAAACTACAGAAGATGGAATTTTTTGGAATAGCATTCGGTTCAGCAGTTCATTGCCATCATCTATAATTTATCTTAAATTACTTAGAAAGATTTGATATATATTTGATTCTGTTATCTATTTTTCACCATCACTCTATCTTGACTAGTTGTAGTTCTGAGTAGTTATTCATAATTTTAATTTATTGATATTGATCCTGCATGTTTTAATGTATGTTTTTGATTATTCCCCCCCCCCAAGCTGTGGTTAAGTCAATAGAGATTCAGCAGTATATAAATAGAATAAATGAATTTTAAGCTCAAATTTTTGAATTTGAAAAAAATTGGACTACTATTACTGCAACCTATGCAATTATTCTGAATGTTGTTCCCTGCTCACAATGGTTGTGCAGACAAAGAAAATATAGAGAAAATATTTTCATAGGTATGTTGGATAAATTTTACCTATTAAACACCTTCTGATCACTCTACAGAGTTTGAAAAGAACATTTAAAAGTATTGTGTATAAATATATTAAACACTTGGCATTTTTATGCAATTTAAAAGACATGCTGAATTTCTAGATTTTCTTTTTAAGGAAAATGTTCATAAATAAATTTAAATTCACACAAAAAAAGATATAGCTGATGCAAATCATTCAGAAATGTATTTTTTCACTTGTTGTATCTTGGAAACTGTTGTAAGATATGATGAAAGCAAAGGCACCATTAGCATTCTCAAGGGAGAGAATTCTTGACTTGTAATTCCATACTACTAAAAGTCCTTGGATTATATTTAACAAAAGAAAAGAAAAGAAAAAGAAAAAGCAGACTATCAACCGTTGGCTAGCAGGATTTCTGCATATGGCTCTATATAATATTCTTGTTCTAATCGATGCCAATTTGTTTTTTCATTTGTTTTTTATTTTTTTATTGTGCTTTGAAAACTATTATTTGAAATATTTACAATAATGAAGGCACTGACATTTTCATCTATTGAACAACAGTTCTTGTAAGAAATTTTGAAGGACAAATATTTTAATCATGCAAGTAGGCAAAGAAATATGATCCTATGGAGACAAAAGGACTAATTATCCTTTGAGGCAATGAACCAATCTGCACAAGCTAAGAAAGTTTTCCAATTATTTTTACACATGGATTTTCTATTACGACAGATAAAATTTCTAAAACAATATAACATCTCAGCATAATTTTTTGTAATTGGAATAATTGGAAAAATTATTCCATTGCCTGAACAGTGAAAGTAAGAATACAAACAAAATTATTACTGTATTAAAGTTAAGTAATATTGCATTAACCTATATTAAAAGTACAAGCACCAAATCCAAAATAGTACTTCACAATTTCTTCCTATTAATGAAAGCTTTGTAAAGCTAAATATTATTGAATTGCAAGGTATCTGATACCTGATGAATATTACAGAAACATCTAAAGCAAACAATTCCAGTGTTTATTCTTTGAGATAGACAGAATACAGTAGTCTAAAAATGAACATTCGTAGGAAGACATGGGATTGATAAGGTGAATGAGGACTGTTCAAGCATTACCAATGGCACTATTACACTATTAATCTTGCATGAATCAAGATTTTTTAAATATTTAAAAGCAATGACTTTATCCTAAATTGGTAGCAAAGATACCAAACTACACTAGAATCTTCTTACATCTACACCGAGATCTACGATAAATAAAACAGCATCACAACTTTGGTGAAATGAGTGGGTGGCTCCTCCCCCCCCCCCGGCTAAAGAATCATTCACCTTCAGGTTGGTGGATGGAAGCCATCTAACAATCAAATACTAAATTTTATCCAATAAAAAATTGCAAACTACATCCTGGATTAATATTAGCTAATATGTTCAGAACTGGCTCTCTAGACTAAAAAGGCAGATATACAGCAGCCTCAAATCATCTCAGGCCTGCACAGCTGTCTTTTTTTACTTTTTTTTTTCACTGAGCCTCCTCAAACCTTGTTTACTTCAATTGCTATTTGCAGCAAATGATACAAAGTGATTTTTCAGAAGGGGAATTAAATTCCTCTTTCACACCAGGTGCTCCATAGAAATCCCTTTTTCACAGTTCTAATGCAGACATTTTTTAGCAACTGTAAACAAACAAATTTAAAACTATGCATGTCACTGAGTTATAACGTAAGTAATCACATCTCTCACAAAAAAATCCTTATAGCAGCAATAGTCTACTCATAATTATGGATCTCTAGATTTGACTTTATTGAAATTCCTGGATCATCAGTGCTTCTCAATCTACACAAGCCACAAAATAACAGACATAGAATCTTAACTTTTGTTTTATTCCAAAGGTATGCTATATGTTTTCTGGGCAAATTCTTCCAGAGCTATCTATCATTCTGCATTCCAGAAAACAATAAGCAAAGAATCCATCTCTTTATCTGGAAGTTATGGATATTGAAAATATTGCCTATTATTAAAAAAATGAAGTCTTGACTATAAAATGCATTGGGAAACAGAGAAATAATTAAATAATGTGGATAAAAATGCCAAATCCAAGCTAAACATCTGGCTGATTATGGGATCAGGGTTTTTTTTTTATCGTAGCTTTTTTTTTTTTTACAGTGGAGGGTCTGTGTTTTCAAATCAATCAAATGTTGATCTATTCAGTGTGTCTTGAATTGACTGACTGGTCAGATTTCATGAGATAAGACTGAGTGACCAGCCCAAAGTCATCCAGAAGGCTTTCGTGCCTATGGTGGGACTAGAACTCACAATCTCCTGGTTTTAGTCGGGTGTCTTAAACTACTAGACCAAACTGGTTCTTTCTTCTAAAGTTGATTTAATATTTATTTTCTTCTGGTAGTCTCTTTAACTCAAGCAATATCGCAGTTATTTATGGCACTAAATAAGCCATCGATTCCTCTAACCTTTGTCGTTTTCCTTTAGATCTTAATCATTCCTAGAATGTTAAACTCTCCTATGACCCAAGTACAGGCCTGATACCAACGGTAAAGTAGTTCTTTTTTGTTTTTCTTGAATCATTAATATGTGACAATCTACTCATTCCAACTCTTGAGTTTGTTCCTATTTTATAAATTTCCCTCATTTTCTGAACAATCTTTTCCTTGAACAGCTGAATTAATTTTGGTATTTTATTGCCACTTCCCATAGAAATTCAGAATCCCCTCCCCTTAAGTTCACTTTTAGCTGCCATTGAACAGATGTGACAGAAAGAGCTGATGTAAATATTTCAAGCAGGCAAACCAATATTTAAAAGCATAAAGCACATAGGTATTCTAGATAAGATTAAAATTATACAGTATGCAAAAGTAATGCTAAGCCTAGGTACGATATAAATAATGTAGAATGCATGGCTTGCTTAAGCTGACAAGTTAAAACCTAAAATGTTATAGAAGTTCTGCTAATATTCTAAATCCCCACAGGAAGTCTTCTTTGAATGGTTACCCTTTCATCTCAGAATTAGCTTATGCTTAATCTCTCTGGCAGAGCTCTAAGAATTGCGTAAACTTTTTCCAGACAAATACCAGATGGTTATTATAAACAGAACTCATATACTATTTCATAATGTATCCAAAAACCATAATAGAAGAAATAAATATAATTATACCATACCAAAGAGGGACACTTTTAAACAACAAACTTTATTTTTTTATATATTTTTTATTTTTAAAATTTATATGCCATCTATCTCACTGTTGAAGGGATTCTGGACAGCTTACAAAATGATAAAAGATAAACACAGTTAAAACCTACAGAGTTAAATGGACACTAAAAACTAAGGGAATGAACAGCACAGGGTGGGGTCTTCTCTCTTACCCCGTCAACTGTCTCCAACATAGAGCATTCCCCAATGGGGTCCCAGGCCAGCTGGCAGAAGCAGATTTTAAGACTTTTCTGGAAGGCTAAGGGGAGGGTGGCAGATCTCACCTCAAGGATAGAATATTCCAAAGGATGGGGGGGGGGCACAGGGAAAAAGCTCTTTTCCTAGACCCTACAAACCAAAATTCCTTGGCAGATAAGATCCGTAACAAGCCCTTTCCGCTGGAACAAGTGAGGTGGGCCAATCCCACTGGGGTGAGGCAGAGCTTCAAATATCCTTCATATCGGTAGTCCTCGATTTACAACCACAATTGAGCTCAACATTTCTGCTGTTAAATGAGATATTTGTCGAGTGAGCTTTGTCCCATTTAATGACCTTTCTTGCCACAGTTGTTAAGTGAATCACTGCAACTGGTAAGTTAGTAAACTGGTTGCTAAATGAACCTGGCTTCCCCACTGACTCTGCTTCTCAGAAGGTTGCAAGAGGTAATCACATGACCTTGGGACACAGCAACGGTCATAAGTATGAACCAGTTGCCAAGCATCTGAATTTTGATCACATGACCACAGTAATGCTGCAATGGCCGTTAAGTGTGAAAAAGGTCATAAATCACTTTTTTTCAGTGCATTTGTAACTTTGAACGATCACTAAATGAACTGTTGTAAGTTGAAGACCACCTGTATTATGTGAGTGGTAGTCTTTACACTGAACCAAAGAGTAAAAGTAAAAATGGCTGTAACACTTTCAGACAAATTTATACTCTCGAATAATTCAGTTCTTATTTTCGAAAGTGAATAAACCACAGCCTCAGCTAAGATTCTTCTGGTTTTTTTTTTCTAGCATAAAACATGATTTAATAAAACTGCATTCCCCTACTAAGAATTGCACAAATTTAGGGCAAAAGAGGGTAATGTCATTCCATGCGCTTTCAACTTCTTGAAGTCTGACCAGCGGGACATAATAAAATGACTGCCAACTGATTGCCTACAGTACTGATCAGTAAGTATATTGCTGTTTTTAAATTCTCTGCTATGGAAAAATCATTAAGGGCTTATGACTAATAGAGCTAGTACCTCTGCGCTTATATTGTACTTTTTCAATTCAAAAGTATAGTTTGCACTGTGAAAATGTATAATATACGGATAGTGATATAAATGATGTTATCTATGTAATTAAACTTTCAAATTATTAAATGTAAAACATTATTTTACTAGCTTGTTTACTTTTCGGCATTTGCAATGTAAAACATGCATTGTGCATGCATTAGGAAGAAGCCTCAAACTAATAACCAAACTAATGTTCTTTTGCTGCTATTATGCTGAAAGGGTCAATTCATGTATAATAAATATATATCTGCTTTTTGCTGATCTCGGTGCTGTAGCTGTGCAAACAAGCTGCAAAATGCGTGTTTAACTGTTCCTTCTACAGTTAGCTATTGTAATTTTAAAACATTTTATTTAAAAAAAAATCCCACACATTTTCCAGTCCTACCCAGTCCTTTATTGCTACAGAATGAAAAATGAGACAACAAGGCAGAAAGCAATTCTCAACATTCCCTCAAACCATATCAAGTTCTTTTGGGTAACAATCCACTTAAAGTGTAGTGATCATATTGTGTTCAGAGTTCAGATCAAAATATTTTGATTTCATCCATACTCCTAAGAGAGTGGAATAGGAGTGAAGAAAACTGATTCCTTCATTATATTTATTGATGTAACTTAAAAGATATCTACAGTGCTGCTGGAGAAAAGCTGTGGAGAATCTTTAAAATTCCATAAGCACATTGGTTTAAATCAGTGGTTCTCAACCTGAGGTCCGTGGATCCGGGGCGGGGGGGCACAATGTCTTCATGGGGGGGGGGTGTCTATGACAATTCGCCATGGCCAACTTGCTGCGAAATAACTCACCACGATCAACTTGCCACAGTACAACTCGTTGCTGGACAAAAGTTACACCAATAACAAAACAATGGTGGAATAGAATCATTAAAGGATGCAAAATGAAATATAAATAATTAAAATACTTTTTTATTTTAAATAATTAAATAGAATTGCTAAATTGTTCCGCAGTGAGTTGTCCCATGGCAAGTTGGCTGTGGCGAGTTGTCCTGAGGCAAGTTGGTCATGGTGAGTTGGCTATGGCGAGTTGGCCGCAACAAGTTGACTGTGGCAAGTTGTCCCATTCCCTTCACAGGGGGGTCTGAGAAGGCTTGAAGAAATGGTTATGATTTAAATCTTAAGTTTTGGTGGTCCGTGGCCCTGGTCCATGGCCACAAAAAGTATTCAAAGGGGGTCTTTGGTGATGAAAAGGTTTAAGAACCACTGGTTTAAACTAATGAACTGTCCATGAAAAGGTATTTTTATACATCACTTTTGTACATCACTACAATCTTTCAACATTTTTTAATCCCATGTTATGCATATGCAGACATATTTTTTAAAGGACTTATTTTCTTAAAACTTTATATCACCAGATAAACCAGTAATAAGATAGTTCTTTCTGCTAATACTGCATTTACAAAGTGCTGTATAAACAACAGACATTTGTTGAGTGCTAGATGGATGAACATTAAATTCTCCATCATATTTTGCCCTACTATTGGAAGTACAAATAATTATGGGCATCACCTACTTTAACAGCCATAATTTGCCCACTTGGTTTGTGGACCATTTTGTTGACAGACCCATAAGCGCCTCGTCCAATTTCTCCAAGGTCTTTCAAGTCCTCTGCAGTAAAATCCCAATGTTGTTCAGGGGAAATCTTCAATTTTCCTGATGATTCAATGCTGTGTGTTCTCAGTCTCTCTCTGTCAAAAAATTTGGGAAGGAATTTTTCCACATTTTAAATAGTTTAAAACTTTTTTCTACAGCACCAATCAAAAGCATTTATATAGAGGAATGTATACATAGCTAATATAAAAAGATAAACTCCAACGAGGAGTTGGATGGGGGCAAAGTGCAAGATCCTAACTTAATTGTAAGTACTGCAAAGAAAACAAAAAATATTATTTTTTAAAAACCTATTACAAGCCGTGCTAGGAAATGTTTTATAATTTGTCCCTTTAGAATAATTATATGGCAATAACCATCTTTTTTATTAACTGTATTAAAATATCATTAAAAATTTACATCTGTAGTCAATCCTTTTTTTATAATTGATTGATCTTAACACAAAACACCAAATTATAAGGACTTTATTCATTTAACTTCCAAATTCATCGTAAAGCAACTATTTTGATGTATTTGTAAAATAAATTAAAAGCCACAAAATTATTGTTGCTAATTTTTATCTCTAAAGGAAGGAAGTGTACAAAATTATTGTTCTGGCAGGAGTGCCAAATAAAAATATTTTTATATCTGATAGATATAAAAGAGATGTGAACTGCCAACAATAAACTCTTTAACTCCTAATGTGGAAATATTTTAGATTTACATTTCAAAGTTTTCCCAACACTGTTAAATCTGATTGTCTTGGAAAAGAAATCTTACTTTTTAGTTCTTAGACATGGCTCTTTTCAGGAATGATGCTAAGATTTTGTATGAATTTTATGAATAAGTGCCTACATAATGTTGCATATTATCTTTTATGGTAAACTAGTACATGACTATATTTGAACAGCACAAATCATAGCATGACTGCAAATCAAATAGAAATATATAGTTTTATTGAGGTTTCCAAGTATAAATTGACTGAAAGATGTGCAGACAGATAGAAGGGAAAAACAAGCATTATGTAATAACATATCATTATATATGAATACTAATGTCCTGAGGCTTTTGACCCTTCGCCCTTCATTTCAATATTTTAGGGGACACAAACTACACAGAATGTAGCACTAATGGAGGACTGAGAGGCACAGAATGAGGAAGGCCATATGTGGTTGGATTTTTTTTAAGAAAGGTTATTTTTTTTTTTTGCTGTAATTGTGATCTGATATTTTAGGGTTAATTATATTTTTCATGTTTCCACCACAAAATGACAGGAAACAGTGCTGCTAGTCTTCAAAAATCATCCCAAAGTGTTTCAAATGTATAGAAAAGAACCAAGGGGTGGAGGAGATTACTAACCTTTGGGACACAGAAAACATACAATTCTCTTTAATATGTACCTAGATGTTCAACACAGCTAGGCTTTCTAACATAAATAAGTGAATAAATAAAAAAATGAAATAAAAAGTTGAGTGGAATTGAAGTTTAAGCAACAAAATTTCAACCTTTGCCATGACACAACTAAAAACAATCAGCCCAATTAAAAGACGATTATACTGATGCTATGAATTCAGCATTCCCATGCTCCTGCTGGCATCCTGCAGATTATCAGTAAAATGAAAATACTGGCATTTCAGCTGGCTCAGGAATTCTGGAAGTTGAACTTCACAGATCGTAAAAGGGCCATAGTTCCCCATCCCTGGTGTAGAACATAATAGCCTTCTGTTCCAGGACACTGATGATTCAGATAAAAGAATTTAACTAATGATAAAAACAACTACATCATCATACCCATACTTTCCTCCCCCATAGCCCTTTATATAATGTCTTGTATATCTTAGGCAGGTAACAAGAACACAGCTCATGATCGCCTGAGGTGTCACAATTTTTCTAGGACTCAATTGTAGGGTTTTCCCACCCCATTTACCTTGCAAATACTCACTGCCCTCGCTACTTAAGTAGTTCCTTTTTAGTTTAATACAGACTTACAATGAATAAACATGATAAAACGACGTTAGTGGAAATTAAGTATTTAACTTAAAATCAAATACATATTATCATTTTTGTTCAAAAAAAAATCATTTGGCTCCATGCCAACGTAAGCAAAATTACTTCTTTTCTATCCAACCTATCATTAACATCATCATGATCTAATTTATTCAGATTGTAGTTCATTAAAAAAATTAAAAATCCATATTACAAGCATTTGAAATTAAACTCAAAGGTATGAACATTTAGAAGAAATGAAAGATATAGGTTAAAGCAAGATTCAAATTATATAATCCAATATATTTTAAAAAGTCAATACAAATTTTTGAAATTCTATTGAAGTGTTAATACATTTTCATTTTTGATAAGCACTTGGGAAAAATTGTTTATTATTTATAGAAATTGTTTACAAAACTACATTTTATCAGTCTAAGAAAACAAAAGACAAACAGAAGGGACAATTTCACTGATGTATCCAAAACAAAGGACACTTGAGAATAAATTTCAGTAAACAAGAGGCTCTTGTGTGCTCTGAGTTGGATCATTTGAAATTAAGCACATTTTATCTTTACCAATTACCTACTTATGACTGAGGATAAACACCCACGTAAAAAACTATTTTGCACAGTAATGATGGAAATAAATGTTCTTTCTGTATAACTGATATATTTGGAGTTATTTTATAAAATGACTTTATTACAGTTAGTTTTCCATTCTTTGCAAGATATTGTACAAAGTCTTTCTTTGATGGATAAATAATTTTGATGGATACACAATTTTATTTGTGTATCTAAGTAAAAATGTTTAACTATGGAAGTTGTTTGTGTTTTCATCAAGAACTGTTCTATATCCATAGTAACTCTGCTATTATTTCCCTACAACTTCACTGTCTACAAGAGAACATCCACAAATGGATGAGGAACTGGAATTCTGCATTAGTATTTTATGTATCATATTATCTAGCATGTAATCTACAAATGTTTATACGATAATCAATATTTTTAGCCTTATAGATGCCATAAGTTTTAGAGCATGGATATCCAGCCTTTTAGCTGACCTGGGCCGCATTGAAGAGGAATGATCTTGGACTACATATAAAATATATAATATAGTTAATACATATAAGTCACACAATAATGTTAAAAATACCAATAAAGAAGAATATCTATAGATCAAGGTTGAAATGAGGGATCTTTGGTGCTCTCTGAGCTTGGTTGTTTCTTTGCAGACTTTTCATTACCCAAACTAAGTAACATAATCAGTGTTAGTAAGGAGTGAGGTTTAATCTCAGTTTATATTCTAGGCTAGTGGTGGGGATGGTCTTGGACAGGGGTCTTCAAACTTGGCCCTTTTATGACTTGTGGACTTCAAAGCTGGCTGAGGAATTCTGGGAGTTGAAGTCCACAAGTCTTAAAGTTGCCAAGTTTGGAGATCCCTGTTCTAGATCATTAAGGTGGTCCTTCCTAAGTTTCTTTGACTATTAAACAATTGCAGGTTCTTTTCTCTCTTGCCTGAAGGTTTTCTAGGCAGCATCTTCTCTCCCCTTTCCTCAAAATTATCTATTAATTTCATTATACAAAGAAATAGCATGTTCAGACAATCTCTCTGAGGTGGGGAAAAAGGGGAGGGGGGAGAGCTTAGCGACAGGACAACACATAAACGGGTTGCAATGGCAAACGTGACAGAGAAAAATGCTGCAAAGGTCATAAATATAGGCATTGGTACAAATGTCCTTTTTCATCACCATTGTAACTGCAAATGATCACTTTCCAAGACAGTCATTAATCAAGGTCTACCCCTATAATATTTCTTGGTTGCTTTTAAGGGCAAAATCCTACTTAAACCAACTTATAAGCAGGAAATTATGCTGCTACTATTGCCACTATTACTACTCACAATTTACAAAATACTGCCAAGTACTCTATCTGAAATGAGGTCCTTCCACCCCTCTTGACATCCAGGTATTCCTTATCTTGGTGTTACAAAGGGCCTTGAAGATCCAACAAGGGTCAGTAGGTCTACTTCTGGTGCTGTCTGGTTTTTGTCATCTTTTGTTCTTTGTTTTTATTTACGTTGTTTTATTGTGGGTTCGTTTTTTTAAAAAAAACCTGTAAACTTTGTAGACTCATAGGGAATGAGACAGTGAACAAGCTTAACCAATAAATAAATACTATTAATAATAACAACTTTAATGAATCCTAGGTAGATGATGATTGACCAAAATAACCATTTTCAAAGATTTAAATTTGTTTAAACACGATCAGAAAGTTCCTTATCTGATTTTAAATGGGTAAAGGAAATCCTAAATTGCTTTTGTGCTTTAAATATTGGAAGCGTTAGGGTTAGTGTTCGGAAATAACACATCAATGATAATGAAGTTGATGCCATATAATTGTCACGTTTTCTCTGTCTCATTCCTACCAACACTACCAACTTACATTCCTAGACAATTTCCAAAGGTTGTTCCACATAGAATTCTTGCCTGTAGGTTTTATTATTTTACATTATTAGTTTTCAGGAAATAAGCTAGAGCAAACACTACACCAAATTAAGCTTTGCCTCTTCAACCGAATCATTACTGGGTCTGAAGATTTTTTACTTCACCACCGTCTCACTAATTTATAAACAGGAGCAATCTTACTACTTTCACAACTTCTACTTTTACTCAATCAAATCAATCAAGCTTAAAGATTCATAATGATTCCATTCCCGAAAGTATGCTCAAATAGACTAATGCTTAAGCTATGCATCTGAAGCAGAACTTTTTTCAAAGCAGATATTCATCAATCATTTATTTTTGAATAATCAAATAGCACAATCTACTTTTTCTGTACTCTTTCATTTCATCTTGTTTCAATCCATACACTCATATTATCTAACAGAATAGTTTTTTTCCATATGACATTTGAGTCGCTGTGAGCGAGTAGGCGGCTCTATAAATTTTCTAAATAAATAAATAAATTTGGATTCTTGTACAATTTTCCAGTACTAATCCTTGCTCCTTACATTACTGACGTGTAACATGGGACATCTCAAACCTATGTACTCTTACTTTCATATGAAACGACAATAAACTATATGATCCTAGCTCATTTATTTATTTATGAGACTTATATACCGCTTTAAGTGCAAGCACTCTCTAAGCAGTGTACACCAGTAAGCAATGTATATATATATTTACATTGCCCCCAACAATCTGGGTCCTCATTTTACCTACCCCGGAAGGATGGAAGGCTGAGTCAACCTTGAGCCGGTGAGATTTGAACCGCTGACCTGCTGAACACAGTCAGCTAAAGTGGCCTGCAGTACTGCACTCTAACTGCTGCGCCACCTCGGCTCTCTCATACTTTCCAACATACTTAATGTACTCATCATCTCACTTCAAGATCAAATTATCTTTAAGTCTATTACATCTTTTTCCTTTCTCTTATTTTCACAAGCAAATTGCTTATCTATTTTTCTCAATTCATTTCCTTACCATTAACTCTTCTTCCATTCTATGTGTCAGAGTGGTCACCGGATGAGGCCAAAGATATTTACCCCAGGATCAGGGTTTTGGCCAATCAAGGACTTCACACAACGCTTTTTAATAAACGAAGGCATATACTAGATAATCAGCCTTAGTCACACTTGTACCACACAAACCAATCTGCTAAAAACTGGCCAGTTTTTCCCCAATCGAATGCCATAAATGCAACTGAAGTTTAGTTTTATATCAGGTATGCTAGTGTGATTTTAGTCAAGTCAAGGATCTGCTGCCTGTGCCTGGAGATACAGGCTATGTAATGACATATTCAGGAATAGGGTATTACTCAATTATATATCCTAAACCAGGGGTTCTCAACCTTGGCAACTTTAAGACTTGTGGACTTCAACTCCCAGAATTCCTCAGCCAGCAAAGCTGGCTGAGGAATTCTGGGAGTTGAAGTCCACAAGTCTTAAAGTTGCCAAGGTTGAGAACCCCTGTCCTAAACTATTATATGGAAAAGTAAATATATTCAAATATTTCCCCAATTGCTAGAAAAGCTACAAACACATACACACACACACATACAATACCTAGAATAGACAATACAGGTAGTCTTTGGGTTACAACAGCAACTGGAACCACAACTGCTGCCCCTAAACAATGCAGCCATAAAACACATGACATCACTTACTAACAGCAATTCTAGGAGTCCTGCTTCCTGTCATTAAAAAGGACAGCACGGGTCATTAAGCAAGGACCTCATGTGACCGCACTTCGACTTTGTTTTGGGGAAGCCAGCAGGGAACATTGGAAATTGGGATCACATGAAGACCATTTCATTATCTTGGCTTATGCTTTAGACACCACCACTAGTTCTCCGTTCTTGAGCATGAACATCTGCAAAAGTTTACACATGAGCAGGTTTTTTTGTGTAGAATCCACCAAAGCATGGTAGGCCAGAGATGATTATGAAGCTGCTCCCTGATTATTGTATGGAGCTCCTTTACTTTTGATTAATGCATAAAATAAATGTATACTAAAACTACAACACATCATCATAATAATAATGAAACTGATCTAGGCACAAAAAGAGAGGTCCATCTATCTTCTGGATTTCGGGGAAACAATTCATAAAATGAAATGTTACCAGGCTTATTTATGTATTATGATTAATTATCCTTTGACAAGTATTATAAGGAAGTTTATAACTGGAATATTTTATTGAACTTCAAATCACCTCTGAAATAGGAAAATGATTTTATTTATCTAATGTATAAAATAAACTGCTTTCTTGGTAGAATGAGGCACTAGAAATTTTCATTTTTCTGCCTGTGTAATGCCAGAACTAGCACAATTATATCCATTCTTTAGTTCCACATTATCCAAGTTATGTAGAATTAGGAAATTGTAGTTTTTCCTGGTAATGCTCAAGTCTCAGCAGCCTTAATGAGTGTCGTAATTGTGAAGTACACTGGGAAATAGTTTTAGCAGTATCTGTGGGGCCACAGGTACCTCAGCTCTACTGTATAATATAACTGACTCAGAAACATGGTTTCCTAAGGATACTTTTGAATGTCTGAAAAACCTCTCAAAATGTTATTGTATCTCCTAAGACAATCAGTAATTAATTAATTATGTATGTATGTATATTTAGAAGGCTTACATAATAACTTATTGGATCACTTGAGAATACAGTAATATATATTATTTCAAAACAGATTCAGGGAAATTTTCACACAGTGCAGTCCTATCTATAAATGTATTTAGCAGATACATCTTGAACTTTCACTTATCCATCGTTTTCTAAACTTGATAATTTTACAAAATTATGGGTAATCTATCTGTAGCTCCAATTGTAAGATAGATATTTGTTCCCAGGTTTTCAAGGAATCTTTTCAAATGCATAAATACTATTTATAGATTTAATAATGGTTAACATTAGTGTTGATATTTAAACACTTTATTTTGGTTAGCCTCCAATAATCTGAATCTTAGAAACAGACATATTATTTAAATAAAATAAAGTTAAAATATCTATTTGAAAAATATTTTTAATAGTTACAGTGTATTCCAGGAGAATGAAATCTGTCTGTTTGAAGCATACTGAACTCACTCATTACTATTTGTAGAATACAAAATTTCATCAAATAAAGTTTATTCCAATATTTTCTGCATATTTATCTATCAAATTACATGCACATCCAGACCTCTGTAGATATGCTTTTAATTAAACTAAGCATGAATTGAAAACACCAAAACTCCTTTTATTCTCTTAGCATATTTGGTAATTTTAAAGCAATCTTTTTTTCCTCTATGTCCTCTGCAACATCCACTTTTAATAATGAACATGTTTCTTAAGGATGCATTATTATGACATACACAATGATTTTCAAACGGGCAGGCAAGATCTGCAGGTGAAGGTCTTTACATTGTTGTTAGACTCAGCCGGCAAAGAAAACTATTTTTTGAGCACCACCTGTTGGCATTAAGGAAGAACTGAACTGAATCCCATCAAAATTTAATCTTATAAATAAAATAAATTACTGAGTTACATATCAAACCTTCACACCACTGCTTTTAAGAAACCAACATTATGCAGAATACAGAAAAGGAATAATATGGCAAATAAATTAAAGGAATGTGATGAAAAGAAAATGTAAGTAAATCTAATTTACCAACATCATTCACTGCACCTCTCAAAATTTTTGTTTATGCAAATCATTCTTGCTTTTATCTCATCTATGCACTGCTTTATATACTGTTTTGGTTCTTTAAATGTCTTGCCTTTAATTGTGTTTAATTTTAAAAGAAGGCTGTTGTAACTCAATACAAAGCAAGTTTGAAAATATTATTATTTTTACAATAATAATCATTTTAATGCCAGTGAGAGTTAAAAGAGAGACAGTATAGACAACAATAAATTCATTTATACAGATAAAATGAGTATGTAAATTGAGTTATTTCATAATTTTACAGCTGTATTAATTCATTCATGAAAGGAAAAAAATCCTGCAAGGTACTATAATTGTGCTGATGATCTCTTTTTGGCTATTATTAACATATTATGGGCTAACACACAGTTATGCTTACTGTAGCCTGCTGGAAAGTTTCACGATCATCTCCGCCTCTCTCCTTTTGAACGTGAAGGGGGCAATGTGATTACTACCCATTGTTGCTTGAGTATCACTTCAGCCAGGAAAAGGATTATAAAAATGACAGGAAAACACAGTGCTGTTACCATATAATGCAAGGACATGCATAAATAGTCACTGAGAAGACAGCCTGCTTCAGACAAAATATACACATTATTTATCTTCTTTATCCTTCCACTTGAAAAATAAAAAGACATTATAGTATATAAGTTCATTTGAAAGCCTTGTTAAAATCATTGTACATTAAACTGCACTGCACTAAATAAAAGCGGAAGGTTATAGTCTGAGGCTTACTTGAAATATGAAAATCTATTGAACTTCTTAGCAAAAGATGACTATTATCAAAATCTCGTGAGCCTTCTGCTTAGAAAGTATAAAGAGATAGCTAATGCTTCCTTTTATGTTTTTTCAGAAGGTTTTTATTATTTAATAAAATCTAACTAGAGGCTTTAAAAGTGAAAGAATATGTTATATTAATCATATTGAGAATTTTAACAGGAGGAGAGTGGATGGGAGAATCCAATGATTTCTTTCTGGAAAATTTTTAAAATATACATGGAAAACTCAATTTTGAGGCAACTTGTTCAAAGATAAGTTAAAGATTACTACAGCATTATTGATACATCATATATAGAGAGTTACTAGAGTCATCACAATTCCTAAAATGACACATGCAAATATGTCCTTTCAAATACTGAAATAAGGGTGCTTATATGTGGAACTAGACATGAATTCATGAAATATAATAATTAATCTGTCTAATCCTGCATTCTCAACTGTTTGAGACAAAGTAATTACTTTGTTTCAGTAGTAATTATTATTTTAATATGATAATTTCATATAATTCTTATAAAAATTTACTGCAAATATACTTTTCATGATAGAAGATTTTACTTTATTCCTGACTTATTATTGTCAGTTTTAAAAAGTGAGAATATAAATTGCTCGAATACTTGAAATATGCACAAATTATTACAATTCTCCTTTCATGAAAAGATAATGCCAGTTCTCTAGTTAAGAGTTCTAGAATATTTTGAGATAAGATACTTCAGCACAGATATGGAGCCAGCAACTGGGACTCCAAAGGAATGCTGAAAAATTATAAGGTTAAAATATCAGTAACCTATTTTTATTTTAGACATCAAAATAGTAGATATGGCCCAGATTAATGCCATGTCTCACCTGATATGGCTTAATGAAAGCAGAGTCGCTTTTAATTTGAACTGCAACAAGAGGAGCTAAAGGCATTATTAACATCTGACAATTCCTACAGCATCTTGCAGCCAAAAAATCAAGAACCTTTGTACTATTTCATTACATTTTTTTGTTATTTTGATATATTAGCCTGATGTATCTACCAAATTAATTTTATTTTACAAAGCCAACATTAATTAGGGTGACGTTTCTTTCTACAAAGCTATTGCCCTTGGATATTCTGAGCAACTCTGTATCTGAAGAGAAAACTAATAGCTTTTAGAAAAAAACTCATAGGTTGGCACTTACAAACCAAAGTTTAAATTACTACATCATCTCTTGCCTTCTCTTACTGTGAGTAGTTCAATAGTGTTAAACAAAAATATAAAATATAAATGACTTAAAAGCAATTATGAAATGATAATCAAAAATAAATTTTGAAGTAATGCAGCCAAACCAAAAATCTAATGAATTCCAAAGACCAGATACTGCAGCTAGACCACAATACATAGGATGGAGCCACTTTGGAAGAAATGTGCATAAATATTCAGTGGATTTCTGGCAGTTCTGCAAATAGCTACATAGTATCTTTCTAACTCCCACCTCTGAATTAGGCTGAAATCAATACTTTAAAATTTGATAGCAGTGCAATAGGAAGCAAGAAGCATAATTAGTATTTCCATATTCTGTTTTCAATCTAATTCATCATAGCTTCTTAAATTAACAATAGTAGAGATATAAATGATTTTTTGTCACAAGCTCATATCACAGCAGTATGTGTTAATGTAATTTCATATATATATATATATATATATATATATATATATATATATATATATATATATATATATATATATATATATATGTTTAAGAAGATTAAAAACATGAATCCTGGGAATATTCATGGCAAGAAATAAAATGATCACCAGGATAATAAAGGTATAAAATTTATTAAAAAAGCGCCTAGCTTTCGCCGTCACCTGCCGGCATCCTCAGGGCTAGTGCGCCAGGGAGTGAGAATCGCTTTTAAAGGTGTGTCAAAGTCTGCGCGCACCTCCTCAGCCTCGTCATCGGGCCCGATTGGTATGACTGCGCACAAATGGTCTGTTCTTTCCTATTGATTTCAATTGCGTGTTTATCATCGTCCATCCTTCTTTCTCTTGGTCTTAAGGTGGGTGGGTGAATGTCTCTCTTGTTATGGTGGTCCCTACGTTTTAACCTTTCCTCCCCGGGTTCGGATGGTAATACACATTTCATGTTTGTTTTATAACCCTCCTTCGTCCCATTGTTCTTCCTACGGTAAGTTTTTCCTTTGATTTCAACACTTTCACTTCCTATGCAAACGTCATCTGGTTTTTAGACATATTGGTGCAGCGCCAAGTGGACGGATGTCTAACTACCAAGGTATACCGAAAACCTACATGTACAGACAGGATTCTCCATTTCGAGAGTAATCACCCTACTGCCCATAAAGTCAGCTGTGTCAGGACTCTGCTTAAACGTGTGGAGTCGCACTGCAGCACTACCAAAGCTAAGAGAGAGGAGAGGAATTACCTCTTTCAGATGTGTAAACGTAATGGGTACCCGGCCAAGTTCATTAATTGGGTCAATAAACCATCTGGACCCCGGAGTGACCCCACACCTCAAGGATTTGCACCTCAGACAACCACACGGGTTGCCCTCCCCTATATCCATAACGTCTCAGAGGCTACTGCAAGAATTTTGGCACCGCATAACATACAGGTGGCCCATAGACCGAATCAAACACTGCAGGCAGCTTTAATGCGCCCTAAGGACCCACTCCCCAACATTGAAAAATCGGCAGCCATCTATAAGATCAATTGTATGGACTGCCAATCTAATTATGTTGGGGAGACAGCCAAACGGGTTAAGACAAGGGTCCATGAACACAGATTAGCGGTGAAAAGGGGAGACCAGCATTCCCAAATATGGGCACACATGGCGGAGCTAGATCATAAATTCAATTTCAGTGAGGTTAGCGTACTGGCTAGCGACAACACCAAGGGGGGCCGCCTACTTAAGGAGGCATGGCTCTCGGACAGTAATTCCATCAACCGACACGTGGACCTGTGCCCGGCATATACGGCTTTAAGGTTGTGGAGTACGATCAATCAACAACAATACCCCCGACATCCCAGCAACAACCCCAACGGCATTAAGGAGGAGCAACCAACCCCCCAATTGATCAGGGGCAGTCCGAATGAGGAAAGACAATTGGAGAACACCCCTACTACATCTGTAACACCATCACAGCCCCAAAGGGTTAAGGAGGTGGTGGAAACCAAAATCCAGAGTTCGGGCACTATGAATACCCGAGATGGTGCGACCTGTATAAAGGAGGACATAACCAATGGAAGAGGAGAGGGAGCCCTGGATGTGACAGTTCACTCATATACGGGGAAAAATATGATGACCGGTTCGGAAAGAAAGAAAAAGCCCCCTTGTGGGACTAGGATGGCCGGATTGAGAGAGAAAGAACTACAGAGCGCAGCTGGAGGTGGATCCACGAACGGTATTGGAGAGGGGGAGAAAACACAGGAGACCGGACCATCACACACCCCGTCTGCGCATCCCGGAGAATTCCAGAGGACTCGTATAGATAACAACGATGTAAAAGGGAGGAGGCGAATCGAAGGGAGACGCTGCGATGATCAAATGGAACATGATCCCACTATTACCCTCCCCGGACCGATCACCCGCAGCAGGGGGCGTATAAGACAGCTGTGCGCAGTGGCGACCAAGGAACCACCTCCCCCACCCATGGTTGAACAATCTAGCCCCCAACTTCAGATCGTCAGCAAATTACATCCACCCCGGAGGGACTCACGAGATCGCTCAGACGGGGTTCGCAGAAGTGATGAAGCTAAGGGAGGGGCCCTCTGTAAGAGGAACCATGGGATGAAGGGGGAGCGCAAGACAGGGATGGGATGTGTATTGCCATCTGAACCCAGGGGGGACGAGCGAAAACACAATTCTATCACCACCACCACCCGGGCTGACTAAACACTGTATAGCACGCGCTAAGCAGCTGGACGCAATGGCAGCTAGAGAACCACCCCCTCCTCCCGCAACTGAACAATCTACCCTCCAGCCCCAGACCACCGATGGTTTGCATCCACTTCGGAAGGACTTGCAAGATCATCCAGATGACGTTTGCATAGGAAGTGAAAGTGTTGAAATCAAAGGAAAAACTTACCGTAGAAAGAACAATGGGACGAAGGAGGGTTATAAAACAAACATGAAATGTGTATTACCATCCGAACCGGGGAGGAAAGGTTAAAACGTAGGGATCACCATAACAAGAGAGACATTCACCCACCCACCTTAAGACCAAGAGAAAGAAGGATGGACGATGATAAACACGCAATTGAAATCAATAGGAAAGAACAGACCATTTGTGCGCAGTCATACCAATCGGGCCCGATGACGAGGCTGAGGAGGCGCGCGCAGACTTTGACACACCTTTAAAAGCGATTCTCACTCCCTGGCGCACTAGCCCTGAGGATGCCGGCAGGTGACGGCGAAAGCTAGGCGCTTTTTTAATAAATTTTATACCTTTATTATCCTGGTGATCATTTTATTTCTTGCTATATATATGTATGTATGTATGTATGTATGTATGTATGTATGTATGTATATTCTATACATTGTTTTCTGTATATAATATTCTATATTGATCTACTATCTAGCCAGCCTCCAAAATAATTATTAGTATCTTTTATTAAAGACTGATTCTAAAACTACCTCTATCTAAAGTATTGTAGTCAAGCAACAGATACAAAATATATATAAATATGAATCCTCACACAGTGGAGGATTTTCTACGTTATGAGTGCATCGTGAAACTAGCAATGGAAAAGTAAATTATGTTTAAAGAACATGAACTGTCAAACCATAGATCACAACCTACTACTTGACAAGATAGAAAAATGTGGGGTAGACAGAACCACCACCAGATGGATCCGTAGCTGGCTGACCGGCCGTACTCAGCGAGTGGTCCTCAATGGAACTGCATCTATATGGAGGGAAGTGTGTAGTGGGGTGCCCCAGGGTTCTGTTCTGGGCCCAGTACTCTTCAACATCTTCATCAATGACTTGGATGAAGGGATAGATGGGGAACTCATCAAATTTGCAGACGACACCAAGCTGGCATGAATAGCCAACACTCCAGAAGACAGGCTTCAGATACAGAAGGATCTGGACAGACTTGAACACTGGGCACTAACTAACAAAATGAAATTCAATGGTGAAAAAAGCAAGGTTCTACATTTAGGCAAGAAAAACCAAATGCACAAGTACAGCATAGGTGGCACCATGCTCAATAGTAGTAACTGTGAGAGGGACCTCGGAGTCCTAGTAGACAATCACTTAAATATGAGCCAGCAGTGTGCTGCAGCTGCCAAAAAGGCCAACACAGTGCTAGGCTGCATTAACAGAGAGATAGAATCAAGATCACGTGAAGTATTAATACCACTCTTCAATGCCTTGGTAAGGCCACACTTGGAATACTGCATCCAGTTTGGTCACCACGATGTAAAAAAGATGTTGAGACTCTAGAAAGAGTACAGAGAAGAGCAACAAAGATGATTAGGGGACTGGAGGCTAAAACATATAAGGAACGGTTGCGAGAATTGGGTATGTCTATTTTAACGAAGAGAAGGACAAGGGGGGACATGATAGCAGTATTCCAATATCTCAGTGGCTGCCATAAAGAAGAGGGAATTAAGCTATTTTCCAAAGCACCTGAAGGCAGGACAAGAAGCAACGGGTGGAAACTAATCAAGGAGAGAAGCAACCTAGAACTAAGGAGAAACTTCCTGACAGTGAGAACAATTAATCAGTGGAACAGCTTGCCTCCAGAAGCAGTAAATGCTCCAACACTGGAAGTTTTTAAGAAGAGACTGGACAGCCATTTGTCCGAAATGGTGTAGGGTTTCCTGCCCGAGCAGGGGGTTGGACTAGATGACCTCCAAGGTCCCTTCCAACTTTACTACTATTACTATTACTATACCATGATCTATTTTAGATACCATATAAACTAATTCAGAAAATCTAACTCAGAATGATTCTGAGCATAAGCTAATAATAATCACAATCTAAAAATATTCAAATATAATTAATGGTAATAATAAAACAGCTTTCTGTCAAACTCAGATTCCAGAATCAATACAGATGTATTGCATATGTTACATTATAATCACAAAGACAACAAATAAAGTAACTTTTACAATGCAAACAAAATATAACTTCCCAGGATGGAACAAAAAATAACATACTAGTCATATTTACTTACAGCTGAATTTAATACGTAGAATTTTAAATAATGACCTTTAAAGAAGATATATTTTCTATATATAAAAAGAAACAAACTTTTAATGGAAAATTTATCAGTGCCTCCTAAGCAGAACCAGATTTGCAATCAAGAAAATATATCTACAGGAAATTTTTGAAGAATATACACATCACTAAATACTTCCTTCTCCATTATCCTGAAAGAAATAAAGATTAAATTAAACTTCCAAAATGGTGCATCTAGACACAAAACCCCTACCTCATAAAAGGAACCATTCTATCTGAGCTTTCCTATAAATGGAATGACTTAAGTTGTGTGGAACTGAAGTTCAGTTTAAAATCAATAGGAGTAATTAACTGCATAAAGGAAATCTAGAAGACTGGAAAGTATATTTAAACCAATTACAGTCTTGGTCTCTCTGTCCACAGTTTTTTATACTACATATTAATCTGAATAATCTACTCAAAACAGTTCAAGAATACTAACATAAAGGTTTTCAAAAGGTATGTAAAAATCTTCTAGATGAAAAGATCTTATTTGTTAATTTATGGTATCTTAAAAATGAAGGTAAATGATGAACATATGACAAAAGTATTTAACCTTGAAGACTTCAGTGCAATTATACAAATATATACACAGAAGCAAGTGCACTGAATTCAGTGGAACTTGATATCAGATAATTGTAATTTTAACCTGAATTTCTCAAAGTAGGGGAATCTATAAGGCAAGAAAAAAATGATACAATGGGTCTGATTATTACCCAACACAATTTATATCACACAAACTGTCATAGATTATGGATTAGATTTATTCACTGAAAAAGATAACAAAGCTGTATTTCAGTCAAGCACAAGTTATACAGGAATTGCATTGGAACAATCCCAAATTCACTATAGTCTTTGAAAGTTAATTACTACTACTACTAGAAAAAGCTTTCTTCCATTTTCTATTTTGATAATGCCATTTAACTTTAAGAACATAGCAATAAGCAGCATAAGTGAAAGGATGCCAGCATAAGGATGCCAGGGTTTGAAGCTATTATGACAAAAGCCATTACCACAAAGAGAAAATTCAATTGGGAAGTCACTGGATGAGAACATCATTGTAAAGAAAATCTCTAGAATTGATAGATGCCTACTAAAAATAATTTCTTGTAAAGAAGAAAGTTATCAAAAAAAGAAGAAAGAAGCACACTGCGAAAAAGGAACAGAAAATATGAGGCCAGTGTGAAAAGACTGAGCCTGGAGAGTTCACATATTTTATTGTAGGAAGTAAGTCCTGAAAAAAAAAAAGACAGACAAATCTGAGAACTCTGAAATTCTTTTAAGATTTTTTTTAATATCCATATTTTCTAGCTTTTGGATCTTATCATTTAAATATATCCTTATGTTGACTTCATTATGAGGAATAGCATCCTTTCCAACATCTGTTATTTTAGCAGTGATCGTAATCATTTTGTGAATACATGTAGAACTGAAACAAAGCAGAACAATAAAATTGGTATGTTTATGGTAAATGAAAAACTCTGTGGACTATAGCAAACAAACAAACAAACAAACAAAAAAACCAGAAATCCATCCAGCCAAGCACAAGCATTTCATATTGTACAGTAAAAACTCTTGAGGGAATTAAGATATATAAAGGTTCTTATGAACTTCATCAATAAGCTTCTGAATTCTTAAAATGAAAGATAAAGAATTCCAGATTTTACTACACTTGCAGCCTGAGGAAACAGAGAGGGTTTCAAGATATGTCCTATTATATTAAATGTCCAACTGTTTTATATATCTGTCAACTTTACTTCTGAACATAAGACTATTCTGGATGCTTTTTCTTGAAAGCTTAATGAATCCAGTAATTCCCGGAAATCTGTATTTTATCAGGGTTTATTTTTTTAAGAATTTTTTTAAAGAAATGAAATGCCTCAAATGTAAATACATGTAGAAAGTAAGAATATAACAAACTTGAAAAATAGAAGCATTAATCAGTTTACTCATTTAATGACTTTAATCATAAGGGAATATGTCAATGAAAAATAACATGGGTTTTTATGTACATTCAAAAACAATAGCTTGAATTTAAGTAAGGATAAAGTAATATATTCTAAATTTCTCAAAATACATGGTAGGTAGACAGAAGATATAAAATCCTAGTCCAAATAAATGTTTTTGTGATTTGAATTAAATATGTGAGACAATAGCTGTAGCTTGTGGAATTTCTGACTTTATACTCACATGTGTGGATTCTGAAAAGGAACTCCGGGATTCAAAGTAAATCGTGCTGTGGATTTGAAAGGTGGGTTTGCAAAATTCAGCTTCAGTGCTCTGCGCTTACCTGTGGAATAAACACAAACTCTGGTCGGGAAGAGAACATACATTACTCTATTAAGAACATTAGAATAAAACTGGAATTTAATAACCTCTTCCTTGCAACATTTCAGATTAGCACTGAGCAATTTTTATGATATCACTCACAAAAACAGTAGGATTCTCGTATTTAGCACCAAGTTATGTGGCTCAAGTTATGTGGCATCAGATAAATAACTTGATTGCTCCTGATTTATCTTTCATTGGTGTATTAAATAAATTACATTATTTTCAGAATAGTAAAAGTATATGATTATAACATATCTATTTTATATAAAAACCAAACACCAATTGCTTGAAATTATGAGATGTAAGGTGTAGAACATATGAGAGTGAATAAAAAATAAGAGTGATCACAAATGAATTACAAATATTTTGAGTAATCAATCACAAAACCCGACTAAGATTTCCACCGAAGGAGAAGAACATTCTGTTGCCATTTACTGATGGATAGCATGGGATTCAGAAAACAAGAAAAAGTGCATGTCACTATAGTTATAAAGATTGTGTTACAAGTGAATATACACAATAAACCATAATTGAATCACAGTTTATTGAATAAAGCACAATTTGTTGCTTTTAACTAAAATGCCTAGGCCATGAATTATGATTTATAAAGCATAAAATTTCAAACCCAAATCAAATAAATTTAGTGTTTTGTGGGAATTATTAATACCTGTAATTATTGAGAAAACAAATGTAAATGTGTAAAGTTGTTGTTCTCATGGCCAATTAACATAGGAAATGTGAAATTTCAGAATAAAACAAAAAAATACTGTATTTCTAACTTAAAAGCTAGGTACTAGTCTTGCGTGAAGAACTAACTTCCCAAACTTGGCTGTGCATGCATGTGGATATAGCAAAGACCCCTCCACTGGGATTGCTGCAAAGATGGGAGTTTTACCACAGCTGCAAATAATTTAGTGCCATAACATTTTAATCAGTAGGCTTGAACATGAACAAAATGTTCATGTGAAACATGACATTGTATAATATATGGCATGTAATACCTGGCATAGTGATATCTATTATGAGCATAATCAAGTGTATGGTGCATTTGCTAAGATGTACATGTTCCTCGAGAGAATTAAATCCACAGTAACATTAAACATGCCCATAAAACACTTTATTGCCATATACATTTTAATGAAATATAGGTAATCCTTGACTTATGAAAACAATTGAGCTCCAAATTTCCATTGCTAAGCAAGACAGTTGTGGATTTTGCCTCATTTTGCCACAATAGTTTTGCGATTGTTAAGTTACTAACATGGTTGTTAAGTGAATCTGCCTTCCCCACCGATTTTTCAGAAAGTCCGCTAAAGGTGATCACATGACCTTGAGACATTGCAACTGTCAAAAATAAATGCCAGTTGCCAAGCACCTGAATTTTGATCACATGACCACAAGGATGCTGCAAGAGTTGTAAAACAGTCATAAGTCACTTTTTGGCTCCACTGTTAATTTCGAATGGTCACGAAACAAAATTTTGTAAGCTGAGGACTATCTATATGTTTCTATTTCTATTAAAGAAAGCAGAGGAGAGGAGAGACAACCTTGAGAAACACAATTTAAAAGAAGTCTTCCATATTTGGTTGCCATTTCTAAATATAAATTTAAACTAAAATCAAACACAACATGCAAATACTTTTCTTTTTCCTGAAAAATCAGTCCCACTCCAAAGTGGAATTTATGGTCTTCAATATCTACATACTGAAGATCATATAAAATCAACTATTGATGAAACTGTATCAACAAAGCATAAAAGTAGACAAAAGTGGATTTAGATTAAATATAGGAAGAGTTTCCTGACAGTAAGTGATGTGGATCAGTGGAATAGACTGCCTTACGAAGACATATATCACTAATGATCACTGGAGATCATTAGACTGAGAGGCTAAACGGGCAAAATGCTTTAGTAGATCCCTCATTATAGAGGATCAGAAATATTCCATACTTAAACTGATTTTTTTATCAAAACTTTAACAGAGGAAGATGAAATTGTGTTTTAATAAGCAAGATGATCAGAATTATCATCAGAATTGAAGTTTTTTTTCTAGTGCACCAGCAAATGTCCTCCAACTATATCTATATTTTAAAGAAATATACTTTTATATTTATTTTTTTTGTTGGAATATTCATGAACAGGAAGAGTCATGTGGTAACTCAGTCAGCCAATGTGAAGAAAGTGCTACTGAGTCTGTGCAAAAGAGTATTGAGTTAGGAGCTGGATTTCCAGTCTCAAGGTTTTGTCTCTTGTTTGTCTCTGTAAGAAGACTTCATTAAGCTATGTTGCTGTAAAGAAGAATGGTATTGTAAATATTTTTATATAAATATAAAGTTATTTGAATCAGCTAAATGCAGTCAACTGTGAGAGCTTCTGATTTATTTTTTCACCAATAGAGAAATTAAAATTCTCTAACAGGTTATGGGCCCATTGTAATTTAAAGCTGGAAGAAATTGCCTGTGTTTAGAAAGTTTAAGAACAAGGCAGAATTAGCAGAATGGCTGCAATGGAATTTGAGGAAAACTCTGTGCCTCGTTTAGGCCAGAAGAATTACATTGTGTGGGCTGCAAAAATGGAATGTTTGCTGAAAGCTAAAGAGCTGTGGTATATTGTAGAAAATCATCAAGTGTTTGCAGCTGTTGATCAGAAAAATTATGATAGAGCAATGGCTTATCTCATCTTGAATTTAGATGATGCAGAATTTCTAAATGTTGCAAATTTAAAGACTGCAAAGGAGATATGGTTGAAATTGAGAGCTGTGCACGTGAATGTTTCTGCTTGCAACATAGTGCAATTGTCAAGAAAACTTTACACAGCCTGTTTGCAACCAGGTGAATCTGTGGAACAGCATTTAAATAAAATGCAAAGTTTATTTTTGGACTTAGAACAGTGGTTCTCAATCTTCAGAGACCGGCGACCCTGGTCATGAGCAGGCGGTGCGCATGTGCGGCGGCGCCCCCTGCGCGACGTGCATGCGCGGCGGCACCCCTATGCAGTGTGCATGCGCGCGCCACCCCCATGCGTCGCCCCCTGCGTGGTGCGCATGCACGGTGGCGCCCCCTGCGCCAGCTCAAAAAAAATGGCGGATTGCGTTGTTTGGCAACCCCCGTGAAATGGTCGTTCGACCCCAAATTGGGTCGCGACCCACAGGTTGAGAACCGCTGACTTAGAACAATGTGGGATTAAATTCCGTGAGTCCCAGAAGGTTTTATTGGTGTTGAACAGTTTAGATAAAACCTGGGACACAGTTTCTGCAATATTTGAGTGCAAAGAAGAGAAAGACTTAAAGTTTGAGGCTTTAAAGGCATGTTTGCTTAATGAAGAGGAAAAACGCCATTTTAGAAGCCATTTTAGAAGCAGCCACAAGGAGGAGAAATTCCTGAGGAGGGGGTCCAGACTGCAAGTCTCCAGAGGAGAAGAAACAAGCAGATCAGACCTGGACCAAATTGCAACAAAGGAGAAATTTTGCAAGCAGAGAGCTTGCTACATTTGTGGAGAAAAGACACATTTGCAAAGGAACTGTTTGCAAAGGAACTGTTTGCAGCAAAAGACATTTGTGCATGCAAAGAAGACTAATTTGCAAAAGGAACATTTTGGTGTTGTAAAAGTTTGCTATAGCAACAACAGAGACAAGTGGCTAATAGATAGTGGGGCAAGTCAAACAATTGTTAATGAAATGACTCTGAATTATTGTGCTGGTTTGTTCCAGTAGCACAAGAAGCTGTGGCTTTGGCAAATGGCCAGAAAGCAAAAGTCATTGGAAGAGGCGATGTAAAAATTCCATATTTGGAATCAAAGTTTACCAATGTGCTTTGTGTATCTGAGATGGAACATAATTTGTTAAGTGTGTCTAATTTAGACAAACAAGATTTTGAGGTCATTTTTGTAAATGGGAAGTGTCTCATCAAAAGGAATGGGAATATTTGTGCAGAAGGCATAAAGGAAGATAATCTATATGTATTGCAGGGACAAAAGGTTCAATGTTCCCATATATATAAGAATGTTGCAGAGCATGATTCATGTGTTCATCTTCTACATAGAAGACTTGGCCATGCAAGCTTTAAGGTTTTGCAGCAAATGCAAGATTTTGCAGAAGGGCTAAATTTGAAGGGATGCAAAACATATTTGGACTGTGCAGTATGCAAAGCATCAAAGTCAAAGGCATTCCCAGTTAGTAACTGTAGCACAAGACAAACAAAAAGAGTTCTAGAGCTGGTCCATGCAGATCTGGTGGGACCTATGCAAACCAGTTTGGGAGGAGCAAAATATGCACTGGTAATTGTTGATGATTATAGCAGGTATTATAGCAGCGGTTCTCAACCTGTGGGTCGCGACCCCATTTGGGGTCAAACGACCATTTCACGGGGGTCGCCAAACAACGCGATCCGCCATTTTTCCTGGGGCGGCGCATGGGGCGCTGCCACGCATGCGTGCCGCGCTGGGGCGGCCCATGGGGCGGCACCGCGCATGTGCGCTGCGCAGGGGCGGCCCATGGGGGCACCGCCGCACATGCGCACCGCGCAGGGGGCACCACGCATGCGTGCCACGCAGGGGGGCGGCGCGCATGCGCAGCGCCTGCTTAATACCGGGGTCGCCGTATAAAAAGGTTGAGAACCACTGGCTTAGAGCAAAGACAGAGGTACTACAACAATTCAAACAGTGGGTAAGTTTTGTAGAGAGAAGGTACAGACAACAAGTGTGTCAGTAGGTACTGAATTTATGTCAACTAAATTCCAACAATAGTTGGGGCAGTTGGGGATATGACACAGACGTACAAATCCTTACACAGCAGCAGAGAACGGTGTAGCTGAAAGAAGGAATGGTGTTTTGCAAACAATGAAAGATTCATTATTGGAGGATTCTGGTATGAGCAGGTCATATTGGGGAAAAGCCATATTGACTGCTAATTATATAGTTAACAGGCTGTGGAGTTCCTCCATTAATAATACTCCATATGCCATTCTATATGGGAGAAAGCCATCACTGGCACATTTGAGAATTTTTGGAAGTACTGCATGGGTACATATTCCAAAAGCAATCAGAAGAAAGGGACAGCAAAAGGCAAGAAAGCTCAGGTTTGTGGGCTATGAGCCAGGGTCAAAAGGATATCGCTTTAATGATGGAAGTAAAAGAATTATAATTTCAAGGTCTGCTAATTTTGCAGAACAAAATTGGGACAGAATTAATGCAAATTCTGGGTATGTCTCACTTAATGACGGTGATCTGTTTAGTGACAATACCTCATCTAATGATGAAAAAATTATTATTGAAGATGTAATGTTCAGGAAGGAGAGGCTGAACAAGACATGAAGCCAGATAGACTTGAGACATAGGAGCAGTTAACACCACGTAGGTCAGAGCGATGTAATAAAGGAATTCCGCCTGACAGGTATTCTGCCAGCAAGGTAAAGGTTTGCAATGTGTGGTATGAGCCAAGAAGTTATAAAGAAGTGTTGGCATTACCAAAGGCTGAACAAGAAAGATGGAAGGAGGCCATGGATAAAGACATGAAATACATGGGAGACCATGAAGTATTTAAATCAGTGACTTTGCCACAGGGAACCAAAGCTGTGGGTTGTAAGTGGGTATATAAGGAAAAGGTATTGCCAAATAATGATATACAGTATAAGGCCAGGTTAGTGGCACAAGGTTTTTCACTATTAAGAAAATGTGTAAAGTCAATAGGTCTGATGTCTCTTCCTGTCATGAAGGGAGGAGTGTTGGAATATTCATGAACAGGAAGAGTCATGTGGTAACTCAGTCAGCCAATGTGAAGAAAGTGCTACTGAGTCTGTGCAAAAGAGTATTGAGTTAGGAACTGGATTTCCAGTCTCAAGGTTTTGTCTCTGGTCTGTCTCTGTAAGAAGACTTCATTAAGCTATGTTGCTGTAAAGAAGAATGGTATTGTAAATATTTTTATATAAATATAAAGTTATTTGAATCAGCTAAATGCAGTCAACTGTGAGAGCTTCTAATTTATTTTTTCACCAACAGAGAAATTAAAATAACAGTTTTTCTATTTTTACTTAGTATTTTATGATGTATTGTATATTGTTTTTATATATTGTATGCTATCAAGAGTCATGTTTTGTGACACAGCTATATAAATTCATTAAATAAGTAATTTTGAGGAAATTGTTGTATATACTGTCCTCAAATGAAATATTGATAAAATTTCATAGGCTTCTATCTTTTCCGTTTTTGTGGTTAACCTTGAATGTGAAATGATTACACAATTTTAATCGCTTTTCAGCTTCCAGAAAAAATTCACAAAGGCTACCATATGCAGCCAATTTTGGTCACCATATTACAAAAAAGATATTGAGAGTTTGGAAATAAATTCAGAGAAGAGCAGCTAAGTTGATCAAAAGCCTGGAGATTAAAACATACAAAGAACAGCTGCAGGACTTGGGCTTGGCTGGTCTAAAGAAAAGAAGAATTAGGGGAGACATGATAGCAGTATTCCAGTATTTGAGGGGCTGCCACAAAGAAGAGGAGATCACATTATTCTCCAAAGCACCAGAGGGCAGGACGAGAAACAATGGTTGGAAACTGATCAAAGAGAGAAGCAATCTGGAATTAAGGAGAAACTTCCTGACAGTGAGGACAATTAACCAGTGGAACAGCTTGCATCCAGAAATTGTGGATCACTGGAGATTTTTTAAAAGAGGCTAGACAGTCACTTGCCTGAGATGGTATAGGTATAGGTCAGTGTTTCTGGTATAGGTCAGTGTTTCTCAACCTTGACAATTTTAAGGCATGTGGACTTCAACTCCCAGAATTCCACAGCCAGCAATGCTGGCTGTGGAATTCTGGGAGTTGAAGTCCACATGCCTTAAAATTGTCAAGGTTGAGAAACACTGGTATAGGTTCTCCTACTTGAGTAGGGGGCTGGACTAGAAGACCTCCAAGGTCCCTTCCAGCTCAATTCCAATTCTAGTTAATTCTAATTCTATTCGGAATGATGTTCTATTTAATTGGTTTAGCCAAATTTCTAAATGGTGCATTTATTCCATACGCTACAAAATATATTATTGCATAAACAGAATAAATTGCACATAAAAACTGCAAAAAGTTGTAAAATACCCACAAAACACTACCTCATTGCTAGACAGATCATACAGAATTGATGAGCTTTCTTAACTATGCAAGCTCTTGCTATGTAGATTATATTCCCAAGTATAATTTAATAATTCAAATTATTTAGTTTTCATTAATTCCTTCTGGTGAGCAATAATGCTAACGTTAACTCCATTTTCAATGTTTTACGCCTAAGAAGAGGATACCTATATGATTCAGATTGGCAACTGTGGGAATAAACCTATGGTGATATACAGTTAAACATTATGTCAATATAGCACAGAATATAAAGAAATTGCAACTGAAAGTCTTATTTTATACTAACAACTTAGTGGAAGGAGCCACAACTTAATGCTAAAATTCAATGTTTCTAACATAGATAATCAGAAATAGGGAAGGGCAGAAGAATTCACATCAGGTGTAACAGAGAAAATGTGTCTTAAATATTTATTTTTGTTTTTAACTCAACCTGGAGTCTACAGCTGCTACTTGTACCAAGTGGGAGACCCACAAATTGTGCCCAAGTCCTTTTGTTAATTTACAATATCTAAACAGAGATTGTAGCACAAGCAATAGGTCAAAAATTGTCTATACCATGAGACCAAGTCTTGATCTTGGACTATGTGGTTCCTATTTACTTTAAATAAATATTCAAACAATTATCAGCTACATCAGTTATGTTTTCCACATAATTTGTCTAAGAATTCGAGTTTGTTATCCATGTAGACATCACAGTCTGCAAGAAGGACAAGAGGAAAACAGCATTCCATAGAACAATTGTTGTCTTACTGAAACAGAAAACAACATAAGACCTCTCCAAATTCTATGCAAATTGTATGCAAATTTGCAAACTATGCATATTCTCTTAATACTTTACTTGAGTGTTTCTACTTTCTTCTGTAGCAGCATCTTTTCCATATCCTGCATCTCAAACTGATTAGCTATAGGAAGCCTAGTATGATCATGAGTAGTAGTCTAACTTATTGGTTTAAAGATGTTTTAGTCTTTGTACTTTGCCTATAATCTTCCAACGAAAGATCCTCTTCAGAAATCTTAGAGATAAAATTCTGTCACAATTACTGAACATCCACAATTATGGCAGAAGCATTAATCACTTCTAATTTAAATAGGCATATTTATTATCTTTAAAAAAACATATAAATTAAATGCAGAATGAATATGTTTAAGTAAGTTTACCCAACGAAGAAAAAAAATGTTCTTCAACAGAGCTCCCACTACATCATGGCAGGCAATTATAAAGATATAATGTACATAGCAATTAAAAATGAAAGCCATTAAGAGGATGAAAAAAATGAAAACAAAATTGTACAGAGCTTCCATTAATCATCCAAATGCAATCTGACAAGGATTGATTAAAATGTCTAATCTTCACAGACATTTCAGACTCCTGACGTACATTCAGTTATGTTTCCACATCATTCTGAGGTAGATAAAAAGCAATGTAAATGATAAATTTTTCTCATCTTTTTTTAAAATATTGGGAGATTATATTCATATTAAAGAATAGTACAGATGAGCATGGTAGATCCTTTCTCTGTTGGCTTAGCAAATGTGCATCCCGGAAATCCTGCTCTCTGTATACTTTCTAAATCCTGCTCTCTCTCAAACTTGGAATACAACAACTTCCATCAAGTGGAAAGTTTTTTTTATAAACAGAGGAAATTGTCCTCTAGAAATGATAGGTGAATATGGTAAGGAAAGCTTGAACGTGCTTGTTTTCACCATCTCTGCAACAACTTTTCACTGTCTTTTTCAGCAACTTTTTACTTTAAGAGGTTTAAGGTAAAACCTTAACTAAGAAAAGAGAGTTATGACTTAAAAGTATAGCACATATTCTTTAGATGTTTAAAATCCAAGCTTTGTGCCAACATTTCCAATCAAAGAATCTCATGTAGCAGCAGTGGGAAATTGCATCTTATGATATGCTGGTGACTTGCAGGTCAATATCCTGGTCATTCTTAAACTGATAATCTAACCAAATACTTATGTAGCTTGATATCTGAAGGGGGGGGGAGCTAATTTACTGAATATCAGATCCCTACTGGTTTCCTTAAATACTTATATCTAGACATCATGTGAAAATAAGTATTTTTATATTACACAGAATTCAAATACATTTTTTATTTTTCAAAAGACAAAAACTGATTTTACGCTATTTACTGTGGGAACAATTATCCTTATTATCCAAGATAAATAACATTAATTAAAGATTTATAAAATAGAATCTCAATTTGGAAAATGAAAAATGGAAGCCCTGCCATTGTATTAATGCATGGCCTGTTAGTTAGATCAACAGTGGACACATTCCCAATACCAAGAATGATTTAAAAATAAATTAAAATAGCAGAATACTATAAAACATGTAGCTTACTTTGTGCTTTTTCACAGAAGTTTATCTGAAAGCCTAAAGCAAAAAAGATAAGTTCTAGTTCATTTACTGGAAATCACAGATGTTCATAACATTTAAAATCACATTTAATGTTCATTTTTTTAAAAAAAACCTAAGATACAAATTAAAAGGTTTAACATAGATAAAATAATATCTGAATTGCAAAGAACAAATTCCAATAATCGATTTTCTTGTTGATATCAACTGCAATCTCCTTAGGATACTCTGCCATGTATACTGTACCGAGGATATAATTTTCAGAACAGCAATGAAATTTAAAGTTCCAGAGAATCTGGAGTGCTTTAGCTTAGGAAAAGTTTATCTATTAAAAAACTGTTGAACAATTTTGTCCAAGACATTTGTAAAGGATCACATGAACATCCAGATCAGATCACTAATAAAGATTGCATATTAGTTGTTAATTTAAAAACAGAAAGTTAAAAATAAATAGCTAGTGAGGTCTCCATATGATGCCTTCTGTGGCAACATTCTAAAATTTAAAAATATAATTTTGAAAATAGTTTTTCCAGGTTAGGTTGGGTTTCACTGTAATGCATGGGTGGGAAACCTTTTTTGAATTAATCACTGCACTCAGACTGAAAGGCACAATAATCACAGAGTGCTCGGAGTGTGGAAGCCAGATTATGCGCTGGTAGATGCTAAGGTTTCCAATTTAAAAGGCAAGAAAAAAAGATAATCTGCATAGTAGCAGCTGCCTCATCCTTTTATGTACAAAGGAAGTGGAAATCTCCCTTTTTTTTTTCTCCCTATTATTAACACGAGCAAATCTTAGAAGCAGTAAATTTGGGGAAATGTGATTATGAGGGGCAAATAAATGCAGCGGCTCATTGCCAGACAGCACAGAAAGCAAAATGTGGGTGACAACAGAAGTCACCAAGATCAGCAGCAAGAAACAAACTAAGGATATGAGCAGAAAATTGGGGGAGAAAGACTTCTCAAAGTTGTGGACAGAAACACAGAAGTTAGAAGACAATAGAGAAGAAGTATCAATGTTACTTGATAATAAATGTTAACAGCAACTGAAAACTGCTACCAATATGCAACTCACAGATTATTCCCCATGGCTTTAAAACAAGGGTAAGGAACCATGGCCCTTTTATGACAGGTAGACTTCAACTTCCAGAATTTCTGAGCCAGCATGGCTGGCTCAGGAATTCTGGGAGTTGAAGTCCACAAGTCATAAAATGGCCATGGTCCCCTATCCTTGCTTTACAGATTAGGGACTGCCATTTCTACATAAAAAGGTACAGTTCCCTGCCATTCGATAGTTCTGTAATTCATATGACCAGAATTATACATTGCATAAAAACCAATTCTGTTTCTTCAACTTGTATGCAATTAGGCAGACACTGATTTTGCTTCCTTTGGTTATTTTACCTAACTGCTTTATGTTATTTTTGCTGGTTTGGAGAATAATTAGCTTTCCTTGAGCTACCAGGATTTCTTTTAAGCATCCTCTGCGTGTTTTTAAGGCTACCTTCACAAGTATTTTAAGTCTCAGGTTTATGAATGCTCTTCCCAGTACCAGTTTATGAATGCTCTTTCCAGTACCAATCTCTTGCTTGTCAATGAACTGAGACTATTGCATTCAAAAAACACATCATTACCTCTTTAGGTAATGCCTCCTAAAATATCCCATCTTTCCTTTGGTAGTACAAAGCATAAAAGGTAATAGTACAAAGCACAAGGTAATAGCCACCATTTTGCCATTTTAGGATTGAGAAATAAAATCGTAGTAATTTAGCAACCTATAGAATTTGAAGATATTTTAATGGCAAATTCATCTCTAATTCTTAGTAATACTTCAATATTACTAAGGACATTTTTACAGTAGATACATGTATGAGAATTTATAGTACCCTTCTCTGATGACTCTTGTGACCTCAGCTACCATCATTTATTTAATAAAATGTTTGAAAATGTGTTAGCTTTGAAACAGCACCAAATGATCCTTCAAAATTCAGAAGCAAAAAATTAATATAACAATCAAAGGTACTGTAAAAAGCCTTTAATCATGAAGCTCTATTTAACTATGGACTATTCCAGTGATGGTGAACCTTTTAGAGACCGAGTGCCCAAAAATTGGCCCCACCCCCCACTCCACCCCCAACCCCCTCCGGCCATTCTCCACCCCACCTTCCCTCAGGGCCACTCACCGTCTACAAGGCCCGCCGCAGATCGCCCAGGCAGCTCAGCAGCGCTATGGCGGTCATGCCCTCTGCCCACACCCTACAGCATCAACTGTGCACGATGGGGTGTGAGGGTGGAGTCTTATCTACGCTGCCTGGCTGCCATGTCTTTGGCTGCGCTGCTCCGCGTGGGCCACGCTCAGGGGTGACTCTCCTTCAGGGGGGCTCCTGGAGAGGAGGGGGTCGCGGGGGAGGCAAGGCTGGGGCAACGGCACGTGTGCCCACAGAGAGGGCTCCAAGTGTTGCCTCTGGCACCTGTGCCATAGGTTCACCACCATTGGACTATTCTATCTTTATTATTAGATATAATTTCAGGTCACACTTAACGAACTACTGGTATAAAGAATAAATTTAATCAAACATTACAGTATTGTTAGCTTCTGATTCAGTAACAGCTTAGAGTTGTAGCATCACAAATGGGATTGGTTGCCTCAAATTGTATTGGGCTATTTTATTTACTGTTTTTGGCATCTGACAAGTTGAAGATTTCAACTAGTCTTGCTATCATATAATCACAGTGAAGGGTTCAATCTGAAGGGAAATTTGTAGCAAGATAAATTATTTACAAATAAAATGAATACATATTTTAATTCATCTCAGCCAATAGCAAGAATAAGGAAGTACACAAAGTTGACAATGTGCATTCCAGTGTATGCACAATCTGAAAATTCTATGTAAACTCATAGGTGTGGTTAAGTGTCCTATCCATGTTATTACATGAATTATAATTAATAGTAACAGAAAACCTTTGCTCTAAACAGTTTCAGAAACTGGTTCACAATGAATTAAGTCTTCTAAAACCCTGTTTGCAAATACCCAATAGGAAACAATGGATCTACAAACATAAGCAAATCAAAAGGAAAGAATCATTTATCAGATATGACCACCAGCTAGAAACATACTAAGCCACTCACATTTAATATATTTTTTTTGAAAATTTGAAACATGAAAATTTATACTTCCTGAAGTTCAACCAAGCTAAGGGAGACATAAAGACTACCAATGATGAAACTCAAATAATATGCTAAGAGGAAAGTGCACCAGGACAGCGAGACAGGGAGAGGAAGAGAGAGAAATATAGCTGTACGTAAAGAACACAAAGACAATTATTATAGTGTGATTATATAGTATTTAAAACACTATAATTACTATAAGCTTAATAGATCCATGGGGCATGCCACGAACATAATGATCTTTGATCTTAGCAAAGCATTTGATAAAGCCTCTCATGATAACTTATTCATAAAAACATGAACCAGATGATACAACTTAGAAGGATTCATAATTGGATGAATGTCCATTGCTACAGAAGACTAATAAATGGTCCCATAGCTTGTGGGAGAGTAGCATCAAATGGAAAGGCTCTATCCTGAACCCAATGTTCTTCACCACGTTTATCAATCACGTAGATTAATGGCTGTGGGGATGATTATAAAATACAGGCTTGAAGAGAGGCTAAAACAAACAAGAACTTTAATAGGAAGTATTGGATAGGGGAGACCTGGCTTGTCAGTAGTTCATATGAGAATGATTTCATTTTAATAGGTCACAAGCTGAATAAGAGCAAACAATGTGACACAGCTGTCAAAAAGCTAAATGTTGTTTTGAGATGTATTAACAGAAGCACAGATTCAGGATCACAGTAAGTAACTGTCCCACTCTATTCATGTAACACTGAAGGTGCTCTCAGAATTGATCCAGCTATCCCATTCAGGCCCCTTGTTCTGAGAGGCCAACTGCAGCTAGAAAATTAGGTACCTTTGCTGTTGCCACCCACCTTTTTTTTTTTTTTTTTAATTAAAGAGTTTTATAAATTTTACAAAAAATAAGAAACAATACAAAAACAAAAAACAACATATACAAATAAAAAACAAACATTACCCAACAAAACCCCCCTTCCCCCACCCCTACCCAAACCCCCCCTTCCCCCCCCAGGACCTCCCAGAGCAGAATATAGGCTTAATTAAAGAAAAAGTTAAAAAAAATTATATAAAAAAGAATAGAAAATAGAATATATATATATATATATATAAAGTTAAAAATTATGAAAAAACTATATAATATTTTTTATATCAAATTTAAATTGTATGAATTTTATCCATTTATCCCAAACAGCAAAAAATTTCTCTTGCGTTTGTCCCTTTAAGAAAGCCGAAATCTTTGCCATTTCCGCCAAATGAGACACTTTAAGAAACCATTCCTGCAATGTAGGCAAAGATTCCTTATTCCAATATTGTCCTACTAACAGCCTCGCAGCTGTAATCAAATTTAACATCAATATAACCTCCTTTGTATCACAATCAATAACTATACCTAACAAAAATAATTGTGGAGTAAATATTACCCTCCTTTTAAAAATTCTCTGGATATTCCACCATATCTTAATCCAGAATGCTTTTATCTCTCTGCACGACCACCAAATATGATAATAAGTAGCATCCATACAACCACAACCACCCAGCCCTTTATTATAGCCAGTTTTGCCCTTCCCACCAGGGGAAGACTATAGGGCAGGCATGTCAAACTCACAAAGTCACGTGATGTCACGCAATGTATCGGGACGTTTTTGCCATCGGGTTGGCGCGGCTTCCACATGACGCGTCTGGCCCACAGGCCGCCAGTTTGACACCCCTGCTATAGGGGAAATCCTTACCCCATCCTGGGTCTGGCTGAACTATGGTATGGGGAAACCAAATAAAACTTTGGGAGTCTATAACTTAGCTAAGCTGAGCCAGGTGCTAGAAGGCCACCACCAGGCAACTCCAGTACTGAAACAAAATTCAACTTTATTAGAGGTGCCAAAAGATAAGGTTCCACAAAAAGTTAAAAGAGATAAAAATGTTTAAAAACTATCCCCAGAAACATAAATCTGGTTTGTTATTTAAAAGGCCAGCTGCTGCCCACCACAGTTTAAATGGGTGCAGGCTACAAACAAGGTGAGGGAACTGAAAGCTAAGTTCTAAGAGAAAAGGTTAAAGTATGGTAATAATAATAATAATAATAATAATAATAATAATAATAATAATAATAATAATAATACTGTGGCAAAAGCAAGCAAGGATAGTACCAATAGTCAAAGGCTCCTTGGGTGCGATCCCAAAACAACTGGAGCACCACTTGAACACAATTGGCATTGACAAATTCACTATTAGTCAATTGCAAAAGGCGGCCTTATTAGGAACTGCTTCCATCCTGCGACGATATCTGTAATACCATCAGACATCCACATCTGCCTATCCCAGGTCCTGGGTAAGGACTCGATAGGTAGACAAAATGCCAAATCCAGTCTGAACATTTGGCTGACTGTGCGATGATCCATAATAATAATAATAAAAGTTGGAAGAGACCTTGGAGGTCATCTAGTCCAACCCACTGCTCAGGCAGGAAACCCTACACCATTTCGGACAAATGGCTGTCCAGTCTCTTCTTAAAAACTTCCAGTGTTAGCCTGGAAAAGGAAAGAAAGCATGATAGCAGTCTTTAGATATCTAAAAAGGACCATTACACAGATGAGGGAGTATACTTGTACAGTTGCCCCAGAGGGCAAGACCAGAACCAGTAAGTTGAAAATACAAACAGATAGATGCAGGTTAGATATATATTAGAAAAATGTCCTAACAATTGTCAAACAATGGACAATGTTGCCTTATGATGTGGTATGTTCTCCTTCAAACCTTCACTTCTTACACATGAAGCTTCAGGTCTACAAGGAGGCATGCTAAATACTGCTGACTAGGGCAGAATATTTAACCATGTTCAAATTTTACAATAGATTACAATAAAGTACATTTGCAAATTATTGTAACTTGTATTTTAGTGATATTAAGGGCTCATTCCTAGAAAAGATTAATTTGCTCTTTGTTTTATATTAAATTACTTCTCTTCTAGCACTGTGCAAAGATCCAGTGTCAAAGAACAAAATGTGATTTGGAAGCATCTCCGGTAAGCCTGTTGGAAAAATCTTAAGTCAATAGTTTTTTTCTCTTGGGCTTGCATACCTGATACAAGATCCCAGAAAAAGATGCTTTTGGCTTAAAGAAAGATGTTATGCTTACACTGTCTACATTCTGGATCATATTTTGTTCTACAAATCTGGGTTTATTTATAATTAAGATTTATAAAGCTGCCCAATTCCATAAGGATTATAGGCATTGTATACTTTTAAAACAATAAATTGCCTAAAACAAATAAAAAGAGAACATAACAATAGCAGAGATGAACAAACGTATCCTAACTAGACACTGCACATCAAATGGGTATATCCTGACCTATCAAAGACTTGAGGCAGCGGGCTGAAGGGTGCAATCATGTTTTCAAAGACGTTTTAATGGCCTGCATGTTCAGCTTAGTCCAAACCTTAGGGCAGGGGTGTCAAACTGCTGGCCCGCAGGCCGGACACGTCACGCAGAAGCCACACCTACTCCATTGCCGGCAATGGCAAAACTGTCCTGATACATTGTGCGACGTCACATGATGTCGCGAGTTTGACATGTTTGCCTTAGGGAGAGGGAGATGTTTTCTAAGGGGCAATTGCTGTGACAGAGAAGGTCTACCTCATAAATCCCATCAGAAGATTTTGCTTAATGGAAAAATATGAAGCATGTCAGCTCTGTTAGATCTAATGATAGGAGAGAGGTGGCCTCACAAATACACAGGCCCTGTGCTATAAAGCACCAATAGGGGATGAACAAGATCTGGAATTGCACTTAAAGCTTAATTGAAACAATGCAACTCATATAATAGGGGTGCCCCATAACTGCTTGCACTGCTACATTCTGGAACAGGTGTACCTCCTGAGTGGCGTTCAAGAAGAGCTACAGTAACATACAGCATGTTGCAGTTCTCCCCACATAAGGGGACCAAGACATACGTGACCATGAGAAAATGGAAATTGCACAGCTGGTACACTAGCAAATCTGTAAGAAGCCCGTCCTTGCCACAGCTGCCACTTGATCTTTGAGTAGGTTCTGTGAATCCAGAAAGATTCCGAAATTATGTATTAGTTCTGCATAGAAAAGTACCATTTATCCACAGCCAAACAGAGAATCACTATCCCCAGAAGATCCATGCATCTATTAAGCATTCATTTTTATCAATGCTAAACCTGTTCTTCCTCAACCAGATCCAAATATCTTCCAGGAAATGGAACAAGCCCCAACAGAGTAACTTGGACAACTAAATACAGATTGATGAATGAATTCACTAAGCTGAACTCACATAGAAGTTAAAACAAGGAAGACTAGAAGGTCAAATCCTGAGGCACCCTGGTTTGTTTTGGGCTGGATTTCTCCCTACTTCCCTCCTGCATCTACTGGAACCAGTCACAGAAAACCGGTCTACAGTACCAGCATGGCCCTAAAAAAATTCCTTCATCTCCAACTACCAAACTCCTTAGCCAATCTAGAGAGATTCCATGATCAATGGTTATCAACAGTCACTAAGAGATCAAGAAGAACCAGGATGGTGGTATCACCCCAATTGGTTCTGTCAAAATTCATTGTCAAGCATAATCAATTTTGTCCCAGCCTGAAACTCAACACAAATAGGTCCATTTCTTCCACAGCCCTCAGCAATTTAATCCAATGGAGACTGGACTAAAATCAATAATAAATGTAGGCTCCAGCAATGGCTTCTTGAGGAGGGAGCACATCACTACCTTTTAAATATGATTACAATACAATACACAGCTCTATTCTTTTTCTTTGTGAGCAATTAATCATTCTTGGTTCATTCTGAAAACTACCTAAACTTATCTAGAGTATGTGTGTGTTGTTCACCATTTGAATACAGGAAGAGAAAAGAAACATAATATTAAATCCTCTCCAAAAGAGACAATGACCAAAACAAGTCTATACTTGTTACAGTGGAATCATGCATTTAGCAAGTTGGAGATCAGCAGAATGGGTTTTGACCTTGAACCATAATATGTGACTTGCATCCAAGGATCTGTAAGAGCGATCAAGCATTCAAGCTTCCTTACTCGAGTTATTAATATACACCTTGTATTCAACTGTATGTCACCTACCACTGAAACAAATGGGAGGACTTTTGTACATGTGTAAACTGGTAGTTATTGAAGCACCAAAAATCTCACAAACATTCAGAGACTAAAAAGATAACTGATCTCTTAATATTTGATCAAATCTAGAATGATAGAATGGTAGTATGAAACAGTTTCATATGTAGACAATGAAACTATTCAATTCCTGTATTAAGAACTATATTAAGAACTATCTAAACTTACTTTTTCTACTCAAGCTTACCATCTATTATAATGCATATGTAACAATTTTAAAAATGAGGAATCACTTTATCAATAATTTTTAGAATTGAGAATATAGTTTCTTCTATAAAGTAGTTAGGACTTGTAAATGAAGCAGAAACAAATCTGCTTATTATAAATTATTTAAATGGTTGATAATCAAATAATGGTTGGTAATCATGATAATTCATTCTATTGCTCAATCAGATCCTATCAACAGAAGAAGTGGTTCATTTCTCCAACTTACAACTTAACCTGAGAGCCTGTGGAGTAGATTGAAGGAAGGAATATGGCAGGTTTCTGGAAGAAGTAACACATGGCAAATGTTGTTGCATGAAATTGGATTTTTCTCTTTTTTTAAATAGTGATTTAATGCAGTTTAATTTTAATTAATCGCAGCTGGTTATACTGTACTGTGTGATGAGCACCATCATGTTCTGAATGTTAAATGTCTTGGGAGATTCAGTTCTAGTCCCACCTTAGGCGCAAAGCCAGCTGGGTGACCTTGTGCTAGTAGTCTCTCTCATCCCTAGGAAGAAGGCACTGGTGAACCACTCCTGAAAAATGTTGCCAAGAAAACTGCAGGAACCTGTCCAGGCAGTCTTCAAGAAATAAACATGATTGAATGGAAGGGAAAAAAAAAAAAAGACAGCAATACATAAGTATTTAGAATTTAGTTTTTTTTCCCCCTTAGGAGCAGCCACCTACAGCAGTCTGTCTTTGGATAATTTATTTGAAATAATTCAAGACTAAGAGCTTCCAATTTGATTATAATGTCTTTCAGACAAATATAGAAATTGTTAAAGTACAGAGTGCCTATTATAAACTATTAGTTACAATAAGCAGATTTTGAAAATAACTTTAAACAAGATGTTTTCCCAAATATATTACAAATCAAAAAGTCCTATCAATTCAGCACGTTTCTAATATCCAGGGAAAGTAATATTCTTTTACTATGAAACAAAACATGGAAGTAACTAATACATAAATGCTACAAAGTGATATAACCACTTCTAGAAATTAGACTGAATAAGTCAAATTTGGCTACACATGGTAACCAGATACTATACTATACTTATAGTTTAATCAGAGGTAGCAACCTGTGGCACTACAGATGTTACTAAATTACAACTCCTAGCATTCCTAGGAAGTACAGTCAATATATTTATATTATGGTGTTTTGAGACAGAAACACCAGAAAAAACAAATTCATATAATTTAATCATGAATAAGACAAACCAGAAGAAAATTTACCGTAATTAATGTACTGTATTAGTGCCTTACTCCATCTAGTATAGCTTCTGAGATAAACTAATGTGTCCAAAACTAGATTTTACAATATACAGATAATTGCTGAAATACTATATTACATATTTCTCCTCGAATAGGTTTTGAATACCATCCTGATATTAAATATATTACTTTGATTATTCTTATACAGTAGTACACTGCTTCAAACACAAAATTTGCACATTAAGCAGAATATAATACTATCTTATCTGATATTTGCAAAAAAACATTTTAGTGCACTTTTAATGCAAGGAAAAGTCAATCACAGTTTTCTAACATCTGTGATGAACACTTTATTTAGTCAACTACTGGCTTGAACAATTTAACATAATCAATATCCCAATAACAGTTACTGTTCTAACCTCAGACCCCGGCATTAGAAATCCCCTGAAACAGAAATACTACGGTATTAAATCCAAGATCTTTATTATGCTTTACAAAACATAAGCACTCCTTCCATAGAAATGATTCTGAAGCAGCAATTACATTAAAAACTCCCTGTCCGGTCTATTACCATAGTGATCAGTTGGCCTGGAGGAAAATGCATATTTTGCAATCTCAGTAATACTAAACTCATATTTATTATCGTACTAATTGTACTGACATGCTAACATTTCCAAATCCTGAACTATAGAATAGAAAATTAAGGAACTCAAGATAGAATTTTAACTTAAACGATAGTGAAAATATACTCCTACCTCTATATGTCAGAATGCTTTTCCTAATAGAATCTAAATCATAGTGTAAATGGAAAGAGTATGTTTCTGGATTTAACCAGCAATACAGGATGTCAACCTCATACTCCATATACACATATCCTGAAAAAGAGAGCTCTCACAATTTAACACTGTGATTTACACATTATTGTAAACAATAATCATCCTCTTTCCTTTCCTATAAAGAGGAATGCTCATAATCTACTTGTTTTGCCTTTTACATTCCACACTTACTGTTATGTCCCGAGCCTGTGCAAACGGCTCGGGCGTTTGCAGGCAGTCCCGGGCAGGTGCAAAGCTGCCCGGGACCAGACAGGCTGTCGCCAGCGCCGTGCGCATGCGCGGGTGCTGGCGCGGGAAAAGTAACCCATTTACCCGGGAGTTGCCTATATAAGGGGCTGCGAGGCGTTTGGGCTGAGCCGAAGCCATCTTCCTGTAGGCTGAACGCTGAATAAAAGAACCTGAGGAACTCCAGCTGCTTCTCGTGTCTGTTTTCCCGCCAAGGACGCAACACTGGCGACGAGGATGGGATGCCTTGCACTACCTGGAAAGGAAGAAGTGTAAGCTTACCCAAGGAGTCCTGAGCGGCGGAAGAGGAACGGCGTCGACTCGGCAGCTGCCCGCCAATCCGGTGCGCATCGGGGGTAGGCTGGCTGATAGACCCGTCTCCTGAAGATCCGAAGATGGCGAAAATCGGAAGGCTTTCGGAATTCGACGTCTCACATCCAGAGCGGTGGGAGTCCTACGTATCCAGAATGGAGAACTACTTCAAGGCAAACCAAGTGAGGGAAGATAGCTTGAAGGCTGCCACCCTGCTTTGCGTTTGTGGCCAAGACGCCTTCGAAATCGCAGAAAACCTTGCAGCACCTGTTCCAGTAGAGTCTGTAAGCTACGCAGACCTGAAGAAGCTGCTGAAGGAGCACTTCCACCCCAAGGTGTCCGTTATCTCATGGCGCCACACCTTCGAGCAGAGGGATCAACGGTCCGGTGAGTCAGTCAAGGAATACATCGCCGCGTTACGGAAGGCCGCCAAGCCCTGCGAGTTCAAGGACCTCGAGGAACGACTGAGGGACCGATTCGTGTGCGGGTTGAGGCATCGAGAGCTACAACAGAGACTTTTCGCTAAGGAAGAATTATCCTTCCAAGACGCTTTAAGGGAAGCCACCGCGGAAGAAGCAGCAGGCGGCGCCGTCAAGAACATGCGGCCGATCAGAAGCAGTGCAGAGGGTGCGTCCGTGCACCAAGAAGACGTCCGACGAAAATCCGAGGAGGATCCGGACGAAGAAGTCGACCGTCTACACCCCGCGAAGGGAGAAAATCAGAAGGAAAGCTCTTCAGCTCCGCTCAAGTGCATCGGCTGTGGAGGTCGCCACAGGAGAACCGACTGCAAGGTCCGCTCCGCTACCTGCCGGGCATGCGGCAAACAAGGGCACATTGCAGCTGTGTGTCTGGGCCGACGAAAGGCACAACCTCAAGAAGAACGCCTGAAGGGTACCAGAGGCCCCAGCCAGAATAGGGTAGGTTTTTGCGCTTCGCGTAGAAACATTTGTAGGACAGGCACACACAAGCCCATGAAGAAAAAGCTGTCACTCAACGTGAAGCTACAAGGGTTTCCATTATCTATGGAACTAGACACAGGGTCTGCCCTTTCCATCATTTCATTGCATACATTTAGGAAGATTTGTTCCAGTAGTGGGACTAAGGCCAAGTTAAGGCCTTCTGATATTGTATTAACTGATTTTCAGAACTCAAGAGTGTGTGTTAAGGGGGAGGCCACCCTTAACGTGCAATACAAGAGTTTTGAAGGTCCACTAGACTTGTTAGTAGTAGGGGGTGAAAGAACGAGTCTCATAGGACTCGATTGGTTTGAGGCCCTGGGGATACACGTCACAGGACTCAACAGCTTACAAACACTCGACCTACAGGAAGTCTGCAAGGAATTTGCAGATGTTTTCAGCCCCCAGCTGGGCACATTCAAAGGACCACCTGTGTCCTTAAAGCTAGACCCCACTGTCACTCCCATTAGGATTAAAGCAAGAAGGGTCCCTTTTGCTTTAAAAAGTAAGATTGACACTGAATTAGACAAACTAATCCAACAAGGAATCCTAGAACCTGTTGATTCCAGCCCATGGGAGACCCCCATTGTCACGCCTCTAAAGGCAAATGGGGACATTCGCATTTGTGCTGATTACAAATGCACACTCAATAAGGCATTGCAGCAACATGCCTATCCTGTTCCTGTGGTCAGTCACATCCTGGCCTCTCTCAAGGGGGGGCGTGTTTTTGCAAAGCTTGACCTAGCTCAAGCATATCAACAGCTGCCTGTTGATGATGATGCTGCCATAGCTCAGACTATTGTGACCCACAGGGGAGCCTTTAAGGTAAAAAGGCTGCAGTTTGGAGTGAATGTCGCTCCTGGGATTTTCCAAAGCGTAATGGAAAACACACTACGAGGTATACCAGGGGTCTGCCCCTACTTTGACGATGTCTTGATTGCAGGAGACTCCACACACATTCTAGCTGAAAGGCTTAGGGCTGTCCTGTTAAGATTCAGGAAATCAGGCCTCAAGCTCAGAAAAGACAAATGCAAGATTGGGGTGCCTTCTACTGAATTTCTGGGATTCAAAATTGATGCTGCTGGGATTCATCCTGCTGAATCCAAACTAACTGCTATTTTAGAAGCACCCAGGCCAAAGTCTAAGGCCGAACTTCAGGCCTTCTTAGGCCTCCTGAATTTCTACAATTCTTTTCTTCCACATAAAGCTAGTGTAGCTGAGCCTCTTCACAGGCTACTAGACAAACAAGCTGTGTGGCTGTGGTCACAAGCACATGAGGCTTGCTTTAAAGAAGTCAAGGCCTTGCTCACTTCTAACAGTGTTCTTGCACATTTCAACGAGTCTCTTCCTGTGTGCATCGCTTGTGATGCATCCCCTACGGGGTTGGAGCTGTCCTGAGTCACCTCAGGTCTGATGGAACTCAGGTTCCTATTGCATACTACTCCAGAACATTGTCTTCTGCCGAGCGCAACTACGCTCAGATAGACAGGGAGGCTCTGGCTGTTGTTGCTGGAATTAAAAAATTCCACGATTTTCTATATGGCAGGCATTTCACGGTCTTCACTGACCATAAGCCTCTGCTGGGACTGTTTACCACACGTAAGCAGACTCCCCACATCATTTCCCCTAGAATGCTTAGGTGGTCTATTTTTTGTCTGCATATGATTTTTCATTACTCCACAAGCCTGGGAAAGAAATGGGCCATGCTGATGGCCTCAGTAGGTTGCCTCTGCCAGTAGTAGAAGCTGACCCCGCGCCAGCTGTCAACATTCTATCAATCCAAGCCTTGCCCGAGCTCCTCTTAGTGCCAGGGATGTTACCGCTGAAACAGGTACAGATCACACACTTTCACGTGTCCGCTCCTGGGTCCTGTCCGGGTGGCCTGAGCACTGCCCTAGTCCTGAGTTTCAGAGTTTCTGGTCCAAAAGGAACGAATTGTCCCTTTCTCAGGGTTGTTTGCTTTGGGGAAAC